GAAAGTATTGTGAACTTGCTTCATACACCCCCCACCAGGCTGTCAGAGTTCTGGATCTCGAATCTGAATCAACGAATCATTAATATCCAATTACAGTTTTGCCATAAAAGCTGGTCTAATTTGCACGCAGCGCGTCACAAATCATAAATCAAAATTTTGAATGAGCATGGCCAGCTACCAGTAAGCGGCTTTTCCGCAACAGACGCCAGTGCCAGTGCCAGTCAGAAAGATCAGAGTTTCTAGTTTTTTTGTTTTTTGGCCAAGAGGCTTTCCAGCCTACGACGGTGGAGCAGCAGCGTGTGCGCTCAAGTTGTTCAAGATTTTTGTTCAGATGTCTTGGATCTTGGAGTGCTGTGCGCAGGCGTTTCGGTTGAGCTTTTGTCATGTAGTTGGATAGAAATACACTCGGAACAGATAGATAGATAGATATATTCACGGTGCAGCTGTGTGCAAACGTACTTGTAGTCAAAGTCACTTTCAGCTTCGTTCGGTTCTGTGTTTCTCATAATTTGTGCCCAAATTTAGATGATTTTTGGGGGCCACGTGGGCGACCGACAGAGTTTTTCGTAATCTGGCTGGTTGGGTTGGCTAACCTGCCTTATTAGCATATGGTGGCTTGACTTCTTGGATCTTAATTCGGAACTCGGATATCCACTCTCCACTACATAGGTCAGTTATCTCTCGAACATCAGCTGATTCATGCCAAGATCGCTCTGCCACCCACCCGTAATCTTACGGAGCTCTGTCTGGGGTGGGTGTGGTGTGGTGTGGTGTGGCATAGTGGATGTAACATGAGCACGAACATGAGCTGCCCGCCGAGCTACCGATGTTATTGACACAGTTTCTGGCCTCGATCGGTGGGACTACTGGGCTGCTCTCGGTTAGGGTAATGCCGAGTACTGTCGCAGTATTGTGTCATTCCTCTCGGACCATGAAGTACTCTCAAAGGAATTTCGCCGAAGGTGGGCTGCTGCTACCAGATAGCCAGCCAGAGGTAGCTATCCGGCCATCCGGCCAAGTTGATTAACTTGATTGGTAACGCAAAACCGATTCGCCAACACACGTCTCGTTGATTTGCCGGCTGTGTAGAGTAGAGTAGAGTGTGTTGCCCGTTGCCTGGCTTAAGAATCCGGAGGCAAAGGCGAGCGTAGAGTGTAGAGCGTGGAACGTGGAACGGCTTAACGGCTGGGCAAGCTGCTAAGTAGCTAAGTAGCTTTCCATGTCGCCATGTCGTCCATGCGCTGGGCGTTGCTCCAAGGACGGCCATTCATCCAAGCCAGCTCTCGAGCTCTCTGGGTGCTGATGTTAGGTAATAATTCTCGAGCGTGCCATTAACTAATTAGCGATCACCTTTCTCTCATTTGCAGTTTCGATGACAGCATCTCATCCCGCCGACGCAAGGAGCGGTCGAAGCGATCGCACCGCAAGTCGCCAGCCTCGAGCCGGCGCCAGCACAAGAACCGCTACAGGGACGAGACCTCCCACTCGAGCTCCCGTCGCCGGCACCGCGACCGGGCCAAGGACGAACGCGACAGCGGACGCAACAATCGTCAGTCGCAAACTAAGGTAAAAACTTTTCATTTTAAACCACAACCCCACACATAGCAAACAAAGTGAAAAATTATAGGAAGGGCAATGAAAAAAATCGGTAAAAAAAATATATATATGTATATATAATAGTATAGCAACTAAAAACAGAATTTATAAACAAATGTAGTGATAAAGAAAGCCCCTAAACAAATGCCGAAAGCAAAACAAAATGGTAAATGAACAAAATTAAGCACCGAACTTACAGATCAATGCATTTTCAGTTACATAGTTGCCTCTTTGTACCCTTGTAGTGCTTTGCCAAAATCTCTGCCGACTAATTGATCAATTAATTCAGTTCAGTATAAGACTATAATACTATAGTACTCTTGAGTACCATCTTCCCCCGCTATGCTGTTCTTCAAGCGATATCTGGAAAAGTCACAGCAGGTGGCCGAGCACTTTGAGAACTCACAGATCCCGTGCTACATCAAAATGCGTGACCTGCCGGCGCCAAAGGTGGTCGATCACTGTCGCGATCTGATCTTGGCCAGCTGCCCACTGCGCTTTATGCAATACACCGAGGACTGGATAGTGGTCGAGTACTTTGCGGATCACGACAGTGATTATCTAGTAAGCGTGTCTGCCGGCTAGGCCTCTATGTTATCAGAATACCTGTTGACTAACCCAACCAATCGCTCTCGATAGCCAATCAGTGGAGTGATCAGAGAGCTATCTTCGCTCTCCTTTCCTTCACTATGGCTATCTTCTTCGTTGAATGCTTATCTATGTGGCAGCGTGCTAAATTTGTCATTAGATGTGTCTCGGTGTATGGTTTTGGGGTCCTACAGTGGATATGTTAAAGTGCATTCCCAGTATGATACGGAATATTTAGAACTCCAGTAGTCAGTCTATGTGGACTTCAAGGGCCCAACCACTTAAAATCTTAAGTTGTATCAGTCCCGTGATAAGATAGCATAAAAAGTAGAGCAAAGTTATGAGATATGTTGGAAGGAAACAGAACTCTATAATATAAGAACCTTAAGAAATATTTCAGATCCCAGTAGTTTTTAATTTCATAATCAATTAGCCATGACCTTCTCTACAATAAATTTCACAGTTTTCTTAATTAATCAACCATGAACCCTCTTTATAGACAGATACACTTGACAGACAACCGCTTATTAGCATAAATTTCGTTGAGATAAAAATTAATAAAAACCTAGACAGTGAATGAAAAGCGAAAATACAGCCATCCAAGTCGTAAAAATATTAAATAGAGCTGTTAAACAACTACACTTGCCATTTTGCAGTGGAAAGCTCTTAATTAAGCAAGATCTTTATAGTTCCCGTCCACTGTCGAGGGGTTGGGCTCTCGTCTCCTCCCCGCTCATCTAGCCTTCCCGCTGTCCTAGTTATTTTCGTGTTCAATTGATCATTTGACATTAACTGGTGGACGGGCGATGGACGAGACGTTGCTCCGAGATGTGATGAGATAGTGCTGTTGCGACTGCCGCCTGCTCCTCGCCAGCTTTGCTGCCAGTTGCCCAGGCCGTTGTCGCCAATTAAGTGGGCTGAGCAACGCGCATAGTGTTTCCCGATCGTCATCGTTAGGGTTAGCCCGCCAAGATTCAGTTCTTTCGCCAGTTGGAGCAACGGCTCAACATCCAGAATGCGGCGGCTAAAAACGGCTGTGACCTGGATCATCTGGAACCGGACGAGGAGGAGGATGAGGAGCGGGTGGCCGTCACCCGGTGCCTGCTGATGAAGCGGCAGCGCAACCACTTTGATCTGGTGGCCCTCTGCGATCTGCCGGTGGACAAGTATGAGGGCGACAACTGGATCGTCGAGGAGTACTTTGTGGATCACACCGATGACTACTTAGTGAGTCGGCCGATGCTGAGGCATAGATTTCAGGGTTTGGCGGTTGAGAGATAAGGTTTATGATTAAGTTTGCATGATTATTGTGCTGTTTATCATCCAATTCATAATATTAATAATTTATTTAAAGCCCTACCCTATAAAACATATTCTAGATGTCTAAGAGTGCTAATATTTTGCCCCAAACTATACACACACTGGCTGAGTCTAGACCCTAGTCTCTCCCATCTCCCATTTGTGTGAAATCTTTCTCCTGCCTCCTGATAACTGAGAGCTGCCATGACTCGGGGGGATTCCCTCTCAGTGCTACCCGCGCATGCTCTGTTCTTCCCCATTCGCCCCAAGGCTGCCTCACAGCTGATGCTGCCTCCCGACGAGTACACTTGTATCCGTAGGATGCGCGCGCATCTTGTAGATACTTGTGTTGGGCCGTGTGTTTGGCCATTCGCTCTAAACTGTATGCGCCTTGCGCCATTGGAAAATTATAAAAATACACTCTTGCCTCTCCGGAACCGAGCACTTTCTCGGTTGCTGAGAATTTTCAGTTTTTAGGAAACTGAAACTGAAACAGAAACAGATTGAAATCTTCGTTTGTTGGCTGTGTGTCGGCTGCCACTGCTCCAATAAAAGCCATATACCTATATATCGCCTTCGTCGTCGTCGTCTTCGTCGTGTAACGGTACTGCGGATCATCTGCCCCCCAAAACTCTCCGGGCGGAGGGACTCCCTCTCGAGATCTCTAGAGACCCCATCTCTAAACATCTCGCTCGTCGTCGTCGTCTCCTTTCGCGCATTTGTTTATCGATGTGTGTGTGTGTATCTGTGTGTGCGTTTGTTTTCTCAACGTTTTCGGCATATTATTATTTTATTTTTTTTTCTACCGAATAGAAACAATATATTCAGAGGTGCATACACGGCGTATGAGCAATATAAGAACGCAGTTTACACCGCAAGGAAGGTGAAAATCTAGGTGGAACAGGTCGAGGGATTTTAAACAATTGCGGTGGGCAACGTGACATAATCAAGCCGTCAGAGAACGAAACCCAAAAAACTTAAGAACATTTAAGTGTTTTAAAAATAAAATCGGAAGCAGCAGCAGCACAGCGTGTCAAGAAAAACGAATTAGAAAAAGAAAACATCAAACAAAAAACAGAAAAACCAACCCAGTGTTTTAAAAAAGTGCGCGATATAGGCATCAGACATCAGTTCATCGTTCATCGAGAGGTGTGCGAACCGAATTTGTTTAAACAAAGTAGTGATCCTCTTGGATCGAGTAGCAAACTGTTTTATTGACCCCCCCGGGAACTAGACGTAGTCCAGCTGGGATACATCCCAAAAGCTGATAGTGAACTTTGCACTCTTCCCATCAAGTTTGCAATTAGCCAGACGAGAGAGATACTTATAATAGAGTCATCGCCGGCGGAGTAGCACCCCGGAGGAGAGCCGGAGGAGCCAGAGGCTGTGGCGGCGAAGAAGACAACGCAGCGACCAAGAAAATCAAAACAAAAACTCAAAACTAACAAACGCAGCACAACAGCAATTGGAGCACACAAAGACACAACTATACACACAAAACTATTGTACATACATACATATACACACTATAGAGGTATATATAGAGCGGATTATTCATCAGGCCTGCTGCTGCCACATCATCATCATGATGATCATGCTGATTATGCCGCCGCCGCCTCTGGTTTGCCTCCAATCTCCTCCTGCAATCCTCCACTTTCCGCTTAGCTGGCCTGGCGTCTTTTTCTATAATTTTCGAAAGCTATTTTGGTACGGCTTGCATTTATATTTAGTGGCCACAACAAACCTATGGCGAAAAATTCAAGCCACAAACTACAAACTTGTACATAATACAATTTTTGGCCATATGACGGCTGGTGATGCCAGCCAAAATAAAGTCAACTGGGGTGGAAAACTTGTGTAGTTTTTCCATCGCCCCGGTACAGTGAAAGCTCACCCGAGACCAGCCAGACAGGAGATCGGGAGATGAAATTAATGGAAAACCGAAGTGTATTTAAGATGCAATTAGCTCGCTTGGCAATTAATAAGAAATCAGAGATCATAGTTGAGAAATAATGAAAAATCGACTTATGAAATAGCTGTGTGTGGTGGCCAATGTGAGGTCTCACTGTACTGGGGGGGCACCAGCGTCACACGGACACTGGGTTGTTGTGTGTACTAGGTAGAAATGCCCGGCTGCGCCAATTTGCGTGCGTCGTCTTTTGGTTTTTCTATTTTCTTTAAAAATAAAAACAGATTTCGAACTGGGAGGGATTCTAGAACGAAGGAGGAGGGTGGCCAGTATAGTAGTGGGAGGAGGATGAACCCCACCGAGATATCACACATCAGACAGATGATTTCTCCAGCGGGGATATGCATATAATGGGGGATCTGGGGCAAGGTGCAGATCTTAGGGGGAGGGAATCTTTCGGCAATATATAAATGGGATTGTATTGTTCTTTCTGGCGATCAATGAGCTCATTGCCTGTTTACGATCTGTAACTTGTATATGTGCCCTGCTCTATATACGGCTAAGGTATATGTACATACATATGTACCTTATAGAGATGCCTTATACTTTGAATATGTGTGGGCGCCAAAGGAAAAGTCTATTGACGACCATTTGGGTTAATCAGTAAGTCAAGTCGGCGAGGCAGTTGCCAAAATGCCAATGAGACATTGACATTGAGCGTGCGATCGAACCGATTGGACCCGAATCCGATTGGATCCGGTCCGATGGCGCAGGTTTCCTTTGCCACCAGTTCTGGCAGCCTCGCGAGTCTCACCCAGCCCGTCAAACCCAACGCAATTCGAGGGAACGACCAGTGCACGATTAGATAACCCATTGCCTTTTTCCCCCTTGGGATCCATATCCAGAAAAAAAACCATTATCCAGAGAGTGAGTGAGGGGAGAGATCACAGATCACGGAAGAGATCATGTCCAACGAACTCAGTGAACTCATTGCCCTTGGCTGTCCGGACCTGGGCGCCCAGAAGCCAGTAGAGTTGATCCTGAACACGGAACGACGTCTCAGCATCAAGCAGATGACGGCCACGGATCTGGCCAGTCTCCGGGCGGCGGCGGCCGCCGAGGCGGAGGCTAGGGCTCGGATGCAGGCGGAGGCGGAAGCCCGGGCCATAGCTCAGGAACAGGTGCGTATGGCCCGCGAGGCTGAGGCCAAGGCCAGAGCACGAGCTGCCCTCGAGGTGCAGGCGCAGTTGCAGCGCGTCATGGAGAGTGAAAAGCGACGTCAGGAGCAAGAGCAGAAGCAGAACCTCGAAGATCAGGAGGATGAGGATGAGGAGGATGAAGAGCCGGAACCCAAGGGCTCCTTGCCTTCGAATTCAGCGCCTCGCGAACGCATCACCTCGCTGCCCAACATCCTGGACGACGCCATGGAGATGCACTTGCTCAGCGTTTCACAGCCCAAGGCCGAATCCAAGGATGAGTCCTCGCCAGAGAAGAGCCGCTCTCACATAGCCGATTCCATCGAGCTTTTGCGAATGCAGCGCGCGGCCCGGGATGCCCGCTCCCACAATCGTAGCCGGGAACGGTCCATTTCACCGGCCGGACGTAACCGCGAGCGCAGTGCTGCTCCCGATCGCCTTCAAAGCTCGGCCAGCATGAGCAGCTTGGATTCCGCGAGCATCAGTGTCTCGGCTTCCGTCAGCAAGGCGGCTAGTCGACGCGGAAGCACCTCCAGTGCCACGGGAGTGGAGCCCCCACCGCCACCGGCTTCTCTGACTTCCAAGTTTCCACTCTCCAAGACGGTTTCGGCCCCGAACATGATGAACCGGCGAAAGAGCAGCCTCACATCCATGTTTCCGGGTCCTTCGCCGTTGGTGGCTCCCGAACCATCGCTCCACACCAATCCCAACGCCCTGCCACCGGACGAGGAGCATCTGCACAGGCGCCAGGAGGACGGCTACCGCGAGATACCCAGTGGGAAGATGGTCCACCGCACTAAGACACCCCCGCCAGTGGGCTCCAATCTGGGAGTGAGTCTAAAGCGAGTGCAAGCTCCCAGTGGCTCGATCCAAATCAAGCCCAAGGAGTCGCCCATGCTGGGCGTGGTGCTCCGCAAGGTGGAGAAGAAGACGGTGCCGCAGAAGAGCATCCTGGACGACGACAAGCCGCTGTACCACTTCTCTATAGTGCGCAGCGACCACAAGGAGCACGTGCCCGCCCAGAAGCCCAAACCGAAGCCCGCACCTCCGGCAGCCAAGCCCAGTCCTGGCGGCATTCTAACCGGACCCCAGGTCATCCGTAATGCCCAGCCAAGGCAGCCTGTGCCGGTGAAACCGCAGCGCCCACAGCCCGGAGTGCCCATCACCATCACCAAGATCGAGGGCGACAAGATAATCATCATCAAGAAGATAGTGGTGCCGAAGAATAGTAAGATACCGGAGCAGTATCTGCAGGTTGGTCGTCCACGCCCACGTCCACGTCCTCGTCCTGTTGGTGATCGTTCAGGTGTCTGGTGTTTGTTGGTGTCTCCTCCTTCGTCCTGTATGTCCTTTGTTCGAAATCTGTTCCTATAGAATCTACCTCGATAGCAGGTACACTTGAAGTAGCCAACACACAGTAGGGACTTCTCTCAGACTTGATAGGTTTCTTGAACAAATTTTTTTTATGAAACTAGAAGACTTGATAGCTCAACGCACACACAGAACACTCGAAGAAGTAAAAGTTCGCGGTCGGGTCTCGAATTTCAACGAAAAATCGAAACTTTTCGCAGTTCGCGATTGTTGTTCCTCTAGATGAGTGAAGATGCGGGCAAGCCAGCAGTTGGAGTGCCCCACACGGCTCCCCCCGCAGCCGCAAACCTGAAACCCAAAGAGGACACCAGCCAATCCCAGCCAGCAGCCATGCAGAAGCCCACGCCGCCGCCCGCCAGCGGCCAGCAGTTCTTCCAAATGGTCTCGCCGCAATTCGCCTCGGTTATGTCGTCCAGCATCCCGGAGAGCAAGTGCGCCGTGAGATCTCCCATATCATCGCCGTTGGCCATACGAAAGAGTCGCCCGCCGATGCTGCCGGCGAGTCCCAAGTCCACGCCTCCCTTGCCCCGCAAGCACCATCCTCTGGCCTACAATGCTGCCACCGGGACGATCAGCAGTGCCTCTGGCCCGGCCTTGCCGTCGCGGCTTATGGCCACCATCGCCTCTAGTCCGGCGTCAAGTATATCGCTGTCGTCGTCCAGTTCACCCTCGTCGTCGCCGCCGCCGCCAGTGCCGTGTCGGGCGCCCAAAAATGCCGCCAAACCGGCAGCTCCGGAGATCAGTCTGGACAAGTTGCTGCAGCAGCAACAGGAACTGGAGGAGAAATCGGCCGCTGCCACGAATAGTGCCAAGTTGGATGCTAATTTCTACGACGCCGAGATCGAGATGATGAACAAGTATCTGAAGAGCCTGCCCGACTACAGTGAGCTGGACAGAAAGCTGCATCAGGAGTTCCAGGAGTGCGAGGATCTCTACGACAAGCTCAAGCGCCAGCAGCACCCATTGGCGAAGTCCAACTCCCAACAGTCGGTGACGAAAACAGCCCCAGGAGGGCCGGTGGGAGGGGGTCTTCCCACCACCTCCTCGGGCTTGTCCAAGTCATCGTCCATAAACTTTGCCCAGAATCCCAGTAATCGTGGAGTGGCCCCCCGCATGGCCTATCCCTCGATCTTTGCCCAGACCAGTGGTGAACCCAAGCTGCAGCGCAGCATCTCCAGCTCCAACATGCCACTGAGCACCCCGACCCCGATGCGCCCGCTTCCCGCCAAGAATGGACTGCAGAGTGGCTCCAACTTGTCGCTGAACAAGCAGCTGATGAACGACTTCTGGAGCGAAAACCTGACCAGTTCCCAGAAGCGGCAGACCCCGAAGCGCACCTTCTGGAACTACGAGAAGATTTGTGGCGCCCAGCTGGGGGATGCGGGCCAGCCCTTCAAGGTGGACGCCAAGACGGCCAAGAAGTTGGCCATCTTCGACCCCACGGTGGCCGAGGCGGCCCAGAAGGAGCTGCAGCGACCGCAGCAGAACAAGCTGCAGAAGAATGCCTCGCTGTCCCACCTGGATCTCAAGGTTCGTCAGGCGGTGACCAAGGACGATCTCTACAAGCTCATCTGCAACGAGCAGTCGCCATCGACGGGAGGTGGTAGCTTCGTGAGCAGGGTTCCTGTCAAGCAGCCACAGCCACAGCCGCCCCAGACGCAGCCTCAAGTACATCCGTTTCAGTCCCAGGCTCTGCCCAAGAGCGTGTCCATGACGCATGTGCCGGGCGCAGGAGGACCAGCTCCCCTGTTGCGAACCTCTAGCCGCACGCACATACCCTGCTACATGAAGCACTTGCCATCGCTCAGCAGGAGTACTTCCAACTCGGCGATATTGATGACATCGCAGCCTCGGAAGGAGCAGCCGCCGACAAAGGAGGCTCCCAAGGCAGCTGTCCCGGCTGCAGTGGCCACAACGAAAGCCAGCGGCGTTCTGAAGAGTTCCAGCAGTTCGTGTGTTCCGTCGCCCAGGTGTGCGGCTGCCTTCTTCCGCCGCCCACAAGAGACGTACAACCCGCAGCCAGTGGCGCCCAAAGAGGCCCAAGTGGCGCCACCAAGTGAGAGTGGTGGAAATCCCGGCGACTCTGTTTCCCTTGAGCGCAAGTCGGAGAAGAGCAACAGTACCATTAGCACCAGCAGCTTCACTGTGACCAATTGTTGCACCACTCACCTGCCGCAGCTCTCCAAGTTCACCTCATCGTTTCACATCGCCCCGGCCACTGCCACGACGACCGCGACGGCAACTACGACGGCGACCAGTGCGCCAACGACAACAGCAACATCGGCCCCCAGTGAGCAGCAGCAACCACAACAGCAGCAATCGCAGTCTAGTGGCGCTGCAGCTGCCAACTTGGAGGTGCCAACATCGTCATCCTCGTCATCGGCATCGGCCGGCTCGTCAGCAGCGACCACAAAGTGCCAGAAAGATGTTGACAACAAGCTAGAAAAATGCTTGAACGACATGCTAAAGTTGAAGACCAACAACGCCACTGGCAGCAATAGCAACAACAATAGCAACCACAACGGCGGTAATAATAATGCACTCATGTCGATGTCGATGTCGCAGTCGCAGTCGTTGGCGGCGGCGGCAGAGGGCGATCACAAAGAGCCGAAGACCACGGGCGAAGGCCCCCCGAGCAGCAATAGCAGCAGCAACACCAACAATGGGACCAAGTACTTGGGTGAATCGCAGATTCCCGTGCCAGTGCAGCTCTACGATCCGCAGAAGCCGTTGCTTCAACAGCAACAGCAGCAAAGGATCTGCTATCCGATAGGCAAGTCCAACTCCACCTCACAAGTGCCCATGGGTGGATATCAGAGATTGTTGCAACAGCAACAGCAGCAGTATCAGGATCAGCAGCAGCAACAACAGCAGTATCCTCAGCATAAGCGACCTTTCCTTAACTGGAACAGCTTCGCCTGCTCGGCCATGAATGGAGCCAGTGATCCCTTCATGCAACAGCAGCAACAGCACATGCCCCACCAGCAGCAGCAGCACTTGCCGCACAAGCTGCAGCAGTCTTACTCCTCCTCGAATGTTAACAAGCAAGCGCCCAAATCGGGCCTGGCCATGTTCCTCCAGAAGAACACCAACAAGGAGAATAAGTTTGGGCAGCCTTTGTCTCAACAGCCGCCCGGGATGATGCCGCAGATGTACGGCTACCAGGGGCCCTCAAAAATGGGCTACCCGCGATCGGGAGGAGCTCCCCTGACGCACTCTGTCTCCTTTAGTTCCGCCCAGCGACCCACGGCCCTGCACTTCCATCAGCACCAGCAACAACACCAACAGCAGCAACAGCAGCAGCAACATCAGCACCCCCAGCAACAGCATTCCAACTTTGGGCTGGGCATGATGAGTCGGAATTACTATAATCTCCCCAAGCAGCAGCAGCCGGCGCTGCCGGAGCGGAAGCCGCTGCAGACCTTTGATCCGTATGCCTATCCCAAGCCGAATCAAATGCAACCGGTCAAGTACCAACAACAACAACAGCAACAGCAACCACATCCGCATACGCCGTTTGTGAATGCTTCCGCAGGCGGTGGAGGTGTTGGAGGTGGTGGAGCGGCTGCTTCTGGGCTACAATATGATCCAAATACAAATACGCAATTGTTTTACGCGTCGCCGGCGGCGGCGTCATCCTCAACGGGCGTGCAACCACAGCAACCGCAACAGCAGCAACAACATCAGCAGCAACTACAACAAAGCAATTCTGTCATATTCAATCATCAGCAACAACAACAACAACAACAGCAACAAAATGAAATGTCCAAGTCCGCTTTGGGACTGCATTTCATCGAGGTAGATTCTATATATTCCACCAAACAACTTATTTTCGTCATTTTTGCTGCGCTTGTGTCTTGTATCTTGTATCTTGTATCTTGTATCTTGTGTCTTGCGTGTGTTGCACATGTGTACTAGTAGTTGTATTGCAAACTGCCCACTAACCACAACTAGCTGCCTTGCTTTCCGCTTCTTAAAAGAAAGTATTTCCCCGAAATAGACGACTGACTCATAGGTCTGGGCTCCAAAAGGGCCTCCGACGAAGACGATAATTACGCTTCAGCTGCCTCGGGAACGTGCCCCTAGCGCTTGATGGCCCCCAAGTTGCCACTTCCTGTACTTGTGGCGTTTCAAGTGTGATGAGGCGTTGTTCCCAAGAACAGGCACACATAATTCCCACCTCCCTTGGCAGTTGCACTTGTCGAAATCACCGACATCGACAGCATTGCACAATCGACTGCGAGAAATTCAATGTCAATTTCTTTCGCGGACTCGGCTGGCTGGCTGGTTGGCTGGCTCTTCCCTATAAATAGTAGTGCTTCTAGTGCCGCCCCCACCTCCCTCTATTAATTTATGTTTATTTGTTTACCTGATGGCTGGATGTGATGCTCTTGCTTCCAAGAATTTTATTTGTTCAACTAATTTATTGCCAACTACTGCCGAACTCTCAATGCCATGTAATTGTTTTAATAATTAAAAAACACTAAACAACACAGCACAGAAACGGCGAAGAAGGAGTGCTCCTCCTTCAGCAAAATCCGATGTCTAAAAATATGTAACACTCTCGATGGCTCTCGTGCTCTCTTAGGGGGCTTGGAGATAGCCAAGATAGCCGAATAGTTAATACCCTTTACCTATCAGAAGAAACTATCCACTGATGATGTAATTTGAAAAGGTTTTCTATTCAAAATTTCTTACAATTTTATTAATTTTGATTAGATTTTTAGAAGAATACCCCTTTAAGATGCATATCCACACCACTCATACCTGATCTAATGGCTTCTTTCCTTGGGCAGCCCCAACAATAATAGAAACGGGGGAAAAACACTCTCCCGCACGGTTAGAAGAACCGTGCTCTCGCCCCTGTCCCGACCACTGGGGGCTCCGACATCGCCGATATTTTCAATCTTTATAATTAGTATTTGTGGCTGTGGCGTGCGCTTTCGTTCATGTTGCGCTGATTTCGGTTTTGTTTGTTTCTTCGGATGCCTCGAATGTGAAAAGCTGAAAAGCGCTAAGGAAATATTAAAAATTCGAAATTGAATGGCTCAAAGTGCGTGTGTGTTTCTGTCAAGTGTTCTCCAAAGATAGGCTCTATCTGCTCTAATCAGATCTTGAATGGAGTTAAATGTTGCCAATTGTCGGGGCTGTAGAGCAAGTACAGTGGGAGCTCCTGCTCCTGCTGTTTTTGAGTCTATTTCCGTCGAAGCTGCCGAATTCTCTTACAATTTCAATTATTTTTACACATAAATACGCTGTGCTATTCTGGTCCATTATACCAGAAAACTCAGCCACCACCATATTGCTATTTTGCTACTTCGAGAACAACGTACAATTCATTTTCTATTTTATTCGATTCTACAACAAATCACAACGCTCTCGCCAAAAACAGCACAACAAATACCAGAAATCAGTACAATTAATGAAATAGACCAAGTCAGAAGAGCATACGGATACGGATCCGCGGTCGTATCCGCCAAAAAAAAAAAAAAATCAAAATTCGGACGCGACTAGACGAGTAGAAGTAGTTTCCCACCAAACACCACCCACCTACCCAATCCAACCAAACACCCCACAACCCCACACACCCGCGAGGCAGTGTATCTAAGTGCTAAGCGGATTGTCGTCATTTTCGCGGAGGAGACGGAGACCCACGCGAATACCAAACAAAAAAGGGGCAAGAGTAAAGGCCAGAAGAAATGGCCACATTTCTGAATCGTTTTCATCGCGAAAAAAGCGAAAAGATTCTGCCAATTGCCGAGAATGGGAAAACAGCTGACTCGGAGGCGTCTGCTGCAGCGTCGCAGTCGCAGTCACAGTCACAGGCGACAGTGCATCAGCAGCCGCGTCCGCAGCGACGCTATATGCGCAGCGCCACCGCTGCCAGCGTCACTCAGCTGCTCTCCGAAAGCTGCAACAGTCTGCTGCAGCGATTTCGAAGGAATCCGAGCGAACGACCTGATAATAAACATCAGCAGCAACAACAGCAACAGCAACAGGAGCAACAAAAGCAACAGCAACAAGAGAAACAGCAACATCAGGCACGCAGCAATCGGTAATCGATGCAAAAACAAATCAACCAAAAGATTTATAATTTATTTTTAATTTTGCGTGTCGCGGTTTTTTTTTCTTTTCTTGCGTTTTAAGAAAAAAAAAAAAGTCGGTCAAAAATCGCTCGCGTCCGCACTCAGATCATCATTTATTTTCCTTCTATTTTCATGGCACTCACCGCCTCGGTTTTAATTGCAAGTTTAGTTGCAGTGCAGCAACGCGCTGCTCCGCCTCGCTCCGCCGCTGAAAAAGCATCTCGCCGCGCGATCTGTGTGCGATCTGCAATCCTCCACCAGCTGAGTAGCCAGAAGGCCAATTATGTAAACAGCTCGAGTGCGTTTTTAATCGCGTTGAACCCGCGCACGGTGAACTCGCGCTGCCAAACTCAACTCCACAACTCACCCACCAGGGCCGACGACCACGAAAAAGTGTGAAAATCGCATTGCCATAAATCTGTCAGGAGAGGGGGAGGGGGAGGGGGCGAGTGGGTCTTGATTTTGATTTGATGAGAGTTGATTTTGATTTATCATCTTAATTGTGGGCCGTAAATCAAGTGGAGCTTAACACCTGTAATCACCTGCAATCGTTAATTAAAAAAACAATCTTTCGGGTTGTGTCCAGAGTGTGATTGAATATTTCATATCTGCCTTTCAATTATTCTTTTTTAAATGAAAACTTTCGATCGAGAAAAGTTTGGGAAAAGCTTGAGAGCCTTGAGAGCTAGGGAAAGCTTTCCTCTTGACCGACTCTCTTAACTTGGCCAACACACAATTGTGATTCTCTTGGCATGTTCCCGAGGGGAATACCAAATAAATTCTCTAGATATCTCAAGACCCCTACTTCCTCAACAGCACTCACTCTCTCTTTTGTTCGACTGTCTGTTTTTAACTGCAATTGCTCCTTTATTATGGTATTAAGATGCGCAAGCAGGTTAACATTTAAAATAAAACGTAAATCGCTTCGCTTTGTTCTTTTTATTTCTTTTCCGCCAAACAGCAGCAGCAGTTTTATTGTTCTTCTGGCTGTTGTTTTTGTCGGCGAGAGTTCAAGGCTTTCCCGCAAAGACTTTCGATCATTTCCCGGTTAACCTGACGGAAGCGAATCTCTTCTGCCATTTACTACATACTATATATATAATACTATAGAGTATATACCAACGTGAAATGCATTCTGATGAAGCGTGCGATTCGCCACCAGCAATACCTACCTACCAGTCATCCAGACAAAAGAATTATTTTATATCGAATTTGGATCTATTCTATATGATCGTCCACCACCCACCCACTCGTCGTTGCCTACATATGTTCTCCTCAGACTCACTCGCTCATCTTGTTTTCCTTCTCTGGCAAGTGCGCAATATTTTCACACTTTTCACAAAAATAAAAACGATTCCTCAATATTTTCTGACCGCAGCAGCCCCAGCAGCAGCAGCAGTATTTCCCTCATCTACTTCGGTATTCTTCGCAGCAGCACCCGCCTGCCTCTGCCACTGCTGCCTCTTTCATGAGGCTTTTGGGGATCGTCGTCGCATGAATTTTCCGAAAAACCGAAAAACTTTTCCTCAGTTAATTTTTGGTCCGTGTCGTGGCAGCGCGCCGTTCCGTCCGTGTTGTCGCGAGTCGCATGGATAACCGTATCCAGGCATTCGAAATCGGAATATTAATCTAAATACAACACCCCCTAGAAATTGTATTGTGTTGGGTTTCTCTTTAAAGTGCCGAGGATTCGAGACGCAGCCACTCCAAGACCCCAACGAATGACAGCAACAATAATAATAACAACAAGGGCAAGAGCGGATCAGCAGCTAATCAGTCCCAGAAGCAGAGCAAACGTCGCCGTAGCTCGGACAAATCCTCAGCGTCTAGCCGGAGGCATCCGGAAGGGGAAAGGGAACGTGATAGGGACCGGGACCGCGATCGTGATCGAGATCGAGAGATGAGCGATCGCCATAGACGGTACTATGCAGGCGGCGGCCTGGGCTCCACCGCCGGTCTGGGCTACCATCCCAGCAGCAGCGGTAGCGGCAGCAGTGCCGCCCTGATGGGTCGCTACCAGAAGAGCTCCACCACAGCCAGTGCCCTGGACAGACTTCGCACCCACCTGAGTCCGGTGGGTGGCTACTACAAGCCCCTGATCCGGGGCCTGGGCAGCGGAGGCAGGAGGGACCGCGATCTAGACGATGTTAGTATGTCCACAGGGAAAAGGCCGCCCAAAAGCGAGCGGTGTGCAAAGCAACGGGAGACAATCAACAACCAGACACAGACCCAGTTCGAGATTCCCAATTCGAGAGTCTGACTCACTTCTTGGGCATTCAGATTTTTGGAAAACACGAAATCATCTCACCTGTCCACCTGTCCCTGCTCTCGGGAATGAGTCAGCCAAAGACACAGAGACACAGAGTGTCAGTGCCAGTGACTGCCCTAAATAAGTGACATCTTTTTAGAGGTTGGGAAATGTGCGCAATTAAAGTGAATACTTTCCATATATTATTGCACTACAGATAGCAGATCTGCGCTACCCCTATTGCCACACATAGCTATAGAAGCTCTCCCCCTCGTCGTATATGCTGGTGTGTGGGTTTATTTTATAGCACTGCTGCTATATTGTAGGCTATATATTCTATATCTTGGGCATCATTCTTGCCGTGTGCGTTTACGTTGTCGAATTTATTTTCGATTCCAACCCAACACACAGCGCCGAGTCGCTTTTCCCTCTCTATTCCGATATATTTTTGTATCTCTGCTCGGCACAGATGTGTGTATAAAGCTATTCACAATTTTCACGATTTTTATATATAAACTTTGAAGGTCGTCGCGCCTTGGACTTTTTTGTTTAGATTTCGGAAGGCATTTCTAAATAAAAATAAAGGGTATTCTCCCGCCTACCTATCTATCTAACAACCCCATGGCCAAAAATACTTGGAGAGAAAGCCGGATAGAGTGGCTTTAATGTTGGTGAAATTGTGCGAAATGAAAAGGCCAAGCAACCCCATAATTAGCCATTGCCGAAAAGGCCATTTAAATGGGTCTAAGTCTGAACTAGAGTCTGGGACTGGGTCTGGGTCTATGTCTGGGCCTGCTTCGTTCGTGGAGCGGAAAAAGTTTTACGCCCGTCACCGTTGGTTTCACACGAGCGCCGCTTCTAAGCACTTTCCTTCTCCATTAACCCCTTGAATCCGAAACTGAATCTTAACTGAAACCACTACAGCGACGAGATCTGCTCTTGGACAGAGACAGAACACCCACCACTCTCACCTCAACCACCTCCTCCTCCACCAGCACCTCCACCGGCGGCAAGCAGTCGGCCATCTCCCGGCTGGAGAACAAATATTCGGACATCCTGGAGAGGGCGGCCGGAAGGCGGCGGCACGAGGAGGATCGGGACAAGACTTTGGAACCGGACGACTATGGCGCCAGCAGCAGTAGCGGGCTGCTCCGTTCGGCCACCTCCCACCAGTTGGCCAAGTCGAAGCTATCCTCCAGCTCCTTTAACGCCTCCGACCGCAAAGAGCGCACTCCCTACCGCACCCGGGCACAGAGGCAGCGCTACATGGCCGACTCCACCGACAGTGGCTACCTCACCAGCGGCAATCGGCTGCTGGACGAGAGCTACCCCCTGGATTACGGCCAGCGGTATGACTACCACGATGCCCTGCGCCTGGGTGGGGCCACGGGCTATCCGTCCAGTCGGTATGGCCGGCGAGGGGGCGAAGAAGAGGCCGCCCCCTCCCAGCGATCGGCCAGAGCCTATGGCCGGACCAAGACCATGGAGGGGCTTCTGGCTGCCGACATTCAGACGGACCACCACCCGGTGGAAGATCGGCCCCTGAACTCGAGAAACCGCTTCGCCCACCGACGCAAGGAGCAGCCACCGCCAGAGCTGACCGCCGAGGAACGCGAGATCCTGGCCGATGACCGCTCGTCGGAGGACAACGCTGCCATTTTGATGCTGCTGCGCGAGGACAACCAGTTCCTCGAGGCTAAGAAGTTCGAGGAGCGGATGCGAAAGCGCCGCGAGCTGAGGGATCGGGTCAAGCGGATGGAGGAGGCGGCCGAGGAGGCAAAGAAAACTGAGGCGGCAGTGGCGGCCGCCGAAGCGGAGGCTGCCGCCCTGGAGCAGGAAGCCAACAAGGCCAAGGAGACGGCGGCGGCAGCAGCGGCGGCATCTACAGCGGCAGCAGCAGCAGCGGCAGTAGTGGAGGCGCCACTCGAGGCGCCCAAGAAGAAGTCGCGAACCAAAAAAGTAACTAGTGACGATAGCGATGAGAGCACGTCGGGGAGTAGCTCCGATGAGGCCGAGACAGAAACCGAGACCGATTCGGCGGCGCCCGGTGTGCTGCAACTAACCCACACAACCACGCCACAGACAGCCACCAATGGCAGCACCACCACATGCACTTCTTCTGCCACAGCCAACACCACCACTACTTCCTCCTCCAACACCACAACTAGCTCCTCCACTTTATCCACTAGCACTTCCGCTCTATCTTCCGCTAACCACACGACATCGGCAGCGGCGGCGGCGTCGACCTCGAACCACCTCGGAACCACCAACCAGAGTCGTTTTCTGACCACCCACTCAGATCGCAACAACAATGATCTCGCCAAGTACAAGCCCGGCAACCAGCTGATGCACTCCTCCAGCTCCGGAGCTCTGGCTTTTGGCGGAATCGGGGCACGGCTGGCGGCTGCGGATGCGAGGCGGCAGCAGCAACGCTACCAGGGCGCCAGCTCCCGCACCGCGGCCGTGCTCAGTGAGTTCGATCGCTACAAGCCTGGCTCCGGATCGAGCTACCTCCAAGACTCGTACGGCAGCAGCACGAGTAGTAGCAGCCGGCGCTCCAACGCCCTGGGCCTGGGTTCCTCGCTGTATCCGCAACGATCCCACCTGGATGGCTACCAGCAGCAGCCGTCCACCTCCTCCTCGTACCTGCAGCAGCACGACAACTATTCGCTGGCAAAGAGCGCCACCTCGTCGGCGCTGTTCTACAGGTCACGCATTCCAAAGACACTCTCGACCTTTGTAAGCAGACGACTCACCCTCCACCTAAGGGGGAAATCCTAAGCTTGAGCTTTGACTTGGCGCCGCCTCTTCTAACTGCAACTGCAACTTGTCCCTGGCTCCCATTGTCCTTATCCCCAGTCTTCTTTTCGACTCCCTCTACTACAACCATTCCCGAAAACTTCTCGCCACAGACCAGCATAAGGCTATCGATTCCATCGATGACTCCTATGCTCCACCACAGCAGACCTACTAGAACAGCAAAAGCTAACAGCCCTGCGGACTATGTTCCATGTTTCGTGTGTTCTGTTTCACTAACCGATGCCTGCCCGTTTTGCATGAATTTTCGACAAAGTAAGACCCACAACCTGACCCAAAACTGCTTAATATTGTTCATTTACCATTTAAAATTAAACAAACTTAAATAATTAATAAGAAAGTTTTAGAAAAAAAGAAAACAAACCATATAAAGAACCATAAATGTTTGTTATTTTTTTCATTGCCCGCTAAAGAGGAGCACACAAATGGGTGAATTTCCTATAAAGATATATAAAGATATATATAATACGTTATATATACCATATATATACGATATATACCTATTTGCCATTTTATACATATATATGATATTGTTTGTACATGTTTATGATTATTATATTAACCATTTTTGTAAACACAAATCTCAAAAATTTGTCCGAACTAATTTTCTTATCGAACAAACGAAACGTATTTTTCTCGTGTTTTTTCTGAATATGATGATGATGAAAATCACAATGATGATGATGATGATGGGTTGATGTACATACTACTTGATGGGGATGATGATGATGATGTGATGATTTTGGTTGGTTTACGTTACGGAATGACTTCGGCCGATATGGAAATGGATTTTGAAACGGAATTGCGATTGCGATGCCAACGTGGGAATCTGGATTGGATTGGATCTCTGGGATGATATGAATATTGGCTTGATCACCTCTCACCTGATGACCTGGACCTCTGGACCTGGCTGAACTGGATCATCCTCCCCCTGGAAAATATCAATTTTTGTTTCTTTTTCTCTTTCTTTTTTGTTTCTTTTTCTCTCTTTCAAATTACATACTTTACCTTCTGTGTACGTCTGTATCTTGCAACGTCAACAACAACAACAACCACGCCCCCCCCAACTTCTACAACAACTTCGCAACCCACTACCAAAACAATCGAACTCGATTATCCTTCGACTGCGCCCTGCCATCGTATCGCATCGCATCTCAACGCAATCGCAATCGCAACTACAACCTCACACCGTCAACTGCCACTACTACCCCGTCGTCGTCGTCGCCTTCGATCGCGCCCCGCTCCGCTCCGCCCAATATGATCCGACCTCCGACCCGACCCGATCGATCGCTTGCTCGAACAGACAGCAAAGCCCGTCATACAAGATGATGCTGATGGTCACTTAATTTACCACACCGGAGACATTCTCCATCACAGATGTTCGTGACAATTTTTTGTTTTTAATTTTTCCATATTTATGTTTAGAAAACAACAATCAGAGCAATCAGAAACTGAAACTGAAACCGAAATCCGAAGAAAAATCTGAAAAGCAAGACACTACTCTTCTTCCTCTTGTAACTCTCTTTTAGTTTAAACTATTTCCAAGTTTTCCTTATTATTTCTTAATTATTATATACAACAGCAAGACCAAGATCGCGTCGCGTGTATTTCAGAAATTAAGATATGTTTTGCGACAAAAAAAAAATGTTAAAAGAAAGGAAAAGCAACAATCGAAAAGATTTCACATAATTTTCGTCAGTTTCGCGTAAAACTTTTCCAACTTCCGAAATTTGTCTTTGGAGACTTTTAATTAAACTGTTGCCGGCAACAATCTTGTTTGTACCCCTTCACCTTGAAATTCAGCTGGGAAAGTCTCACGTACACAAGCACAAACTTTGGCGCCCTAATTAACGAAATAATATTGAAATAAGCAAACAAACACAAACTCCTTTCCGTTGACACTTAGATTAAAGTCGAAATTAAAGCATAGGTCTACCTTGCCCAGACCTCATCATGCAGTATTCAGTTCCAGCTACAGGTTTAGTTCTAGAACAAAAAAAATAAACAAGTCAGCTAACGTTTAACACTTTCGAAGGACACTGCCCGAAACACTACTATAACTCGTCTTCCTTTTCCCAAATTTCAGATAAGATCATGGCCACACTGGGCGAGGGTACTTTCGGACGTGTGGTCAAGGTCAAAGACATGGAGCGGTAAGTCTGATTACTCATTGGTAACTTTTACACTCAAGCAACCTAACACGATGTTCTATTTTTAAATTCCAGTGATTACTGCATGGCCCTGAAGATTATAAAGAACGTGGAAAAGTACCGCGAAGCTGCCAAGCTCGAGATTAATGCCTTGGAAAAGATTGCCCAGAAGGATCCGCATTGTGATCAGTGAGTTCTTCAAATATTACTTGATATCCAATTCCTAATCTGTAATTATATTACAGCTTGTGTGTAAAAATGGTTGACTGGTTTGATTATCACGGGCATATGTGTATAGTTTTTGAAATGTTGGGATTAAGTGTTTTCGATTTTTTGGTAAGATCCCTCCTATATCTTCCATAACTTCGTTACTAATTATGTTTTTTTGTAGCGTGAGAACAACTATGTGCCATACCCGCTGGACCAAGTGCGCCACATGGCCTATCAATTATGCTACTCCGTGAAATTTCTTCATGACAATCGTTTAACGCACACAGATCTCAAGCCGGAGAACATACTTTTTGTCGATTCGGATTACACTGCTCACTATAATCATAAGCTTGTAAGTCTACTTGTACCCCTCACAATGTGAAACACATTTTCTTAAACCGAATACTTTGCAGAACCGAGAAGTGCGCCGAGTAAAAAGCACGGATGTGCGTCTTATTGACTTCGGATCGGCCACCTTCGACCACGAACACCACAGCACAATTGTCTCGACGCGACATTATCGCGCGCCCGAGGTCATACTGGAGCTGGGTTGGTCACAGCCTTGTGACGTTTGGTCCATTGGGTAAGTACCTCAATCAATTAGTAAATATCTTAGTGCGCATATTAATGTTAATTTCTTCAACAGTTGCATCTTGTTCGAACTGTATCTGGGGATCACGCTCTTCCAAACGCACGACAATCGCGAACACCTGGCCATGATGGAGCGAATCTTGGGACAAATACCATATCGCATGGCACGGTAATACAATGCAGCTCATGCTTTCATTTCCCAAGGCGCAGTTCCCTTCACCGAAATCGTTTAACGTGTAGCAATCATACTCTTTACAGCAAAACCAAAACAAAGTACTTCTACCATGGTAAGTTGGATTGGGACGAGAAGTCCAGTGCCGGCCGCTACGTTCGCGACCATTGCAAGCCGTTGTTCCTGTGCCAGTTGAGCGACAGCGAGGACCACTGTGAGCTCTTCAGTCTGATCAAGAAGATGCTGGAGTACGAGCCCTCATCCCGCATCACGTTAGGTAAGCAAGCTGCTTAACTTCACTTTACTAACAAATGTAACCTAACCTATACCTTCTCCATTCTAGGTGAGGCCCTGCGACATCCGTTCTTCGACAGGCTGCCTCCTCACCAGCGGGTGGGCGAGATGAGCAACAAGCAACCCCTCTCGTCAGGCAGCAGCAGCCGCGAGCGCTCGCACAGTCTGTCCAGATGAGAATTACAGCGATTTGGTTATTGTTGACAGGCAACGCTAATCGATAACTCAGTCATGAAAACATACACACAAGGCACTAGCATTGTAGATTAGACCAACAACCAATCGACCATCCAACAAACGGCGATATTTTCTATTTTTTTATTTTAAGTTCAAAAGTTTTATGCTAAATTTTTTTCAACTTGACTTGTATATGAATATGTTTCCTATACACAATCCTATTGATCTATTGTTTGTTAATACAAATCCTGCGCATCCAGCTGTGCATTGTATTGTATCATACCCCGCCAAACAGTGTTTTGTTCTGTACTGATAACCAAATCGTGTATAATATTGATAGTGCGGTGCTCTCACCCGGCACTCGATCATCCTAATTGTATATGTCTTGAAATGTGCACACCTATACACATACACATACATAAAAACACACACCCCAAGGAAGAGGGGCTGCCCCCAACCGACTGCAAACCGATAAATTGAATATATAAAAATGTAATTGTAAAATAAGAAACTCGCTAACACGCTAGTTGAAATGCATCCCCATATGCACCTCTTTGCTCTGCAGTCCCTGCAATGGGATCCAGACTAATATGTAATTAATACACCATTTTGAGAGCGTGAACTGTAAGCTAATTCAAGCCATTATGACATAAACACACATAAACCACCCACTCGAATGGGAAAATTGTAAATGTAAAGAGCAATTGTTATGCCGCCCTGTGTGCACCACAGCGATCGCAGCGCATTTTGTGTAAATTCAGTAGCAGCTCAGAGTCATCTCTCTCTTAGAATACGTTTTTCAAATGTGTGGAGACCATCGCCGGCCTGTTTTGTTCGTTTTCGTTTTACTATCGAATATCGAAAGATCAACTCATACACATTGATACCGCCATGCAAGCTTTGCGTGGGCACCCTAGAAGAGTATGCATATGCATACACTATACATACTTAATTCAAATGATTGTGAGTTAGTTTAATATTACATAAATATTAATTATAAATTACATTATTTGCAATTTAACCCGATCAACCAGAATATAAGATAAAAAAAAACAATATTGTCAAGTTATTAAAATTGAAATAAATCCTAAATAAAAAGAAATCTGTGTGAGTTGTTTATTTTATAACTACCTAAATGGGAAATCTTTAAACTATTTTAAGCCTGAAGGGATATTTTTAAATTTCAAGAAACGTTGCATACTTTTGAGGACTCAGACGATGAGAAATGGCAATTTCGACCCCTCATCAAAATTGAGATTCCAGGCGATCAGACAAAATGGCTGCCAATCTGCAGCTTTAGTGATGGCCGCCGAGAGAGAGAGCGCAGCTGATGCTCCGCCATGTGGCTGTTATACGTTCTGAGAAACTGTTCTACTGAAATCGGTTAAAGCTGTTATACTTAATGCTGGTATCTCTCTAAGCGTTTCTGCTATCCACGTAGATTTATTTGGGAATTTACGATTTTCTACATGTTTTGCCCTTCCGATTGCCAAAGCTCCTACAATTTACATCGGATCGGCAAAAGATATACATTTCTGTGATTAGGGAGTAGCTCAATCCCTCATACCAATCCTTCCTAAAAAACCGTTTTGAAATTTGTCAAATTTTGTCCAAGAGGTACCCCTTAAAAATTGGGAATTTACGATTTTCCACATTTTTCGCCCTTCCGATTGCCATAGCTCCTACAATTTACATCGGATCGGCAAAATATATACATTTCTGTGATTAGGGATCCGAGTAGCTCAATCCCTCATACAAAACCTTACATAAAAACTGTTTTGAAATTTTTCGATTTTTTTTAAGGGGCACCCCTTAAAAATTGGGAATTTACGATTTTCTACATTTTTTGCCCTTTCGATTGCCATAGCTCCTACAATTTACAATTTTACCCCTTAAAAATTGGGAGTTTACGATTTTCTACATTTTTTGCCCCTTCGATTGACATAGCTCCTACAATTTACATCGGATCGGAAAAATATATACATTTCTGTGATTAGGGATCCGAGTAGCTCAATCCCTCATACCAATCCTTCCTTAAAAACCGCTTTTAAATTTTTCGAATTTTTTCCAAGGGGTACCCCTTAAAAATTGGGAATTTACGATTTTCTACATTTTTCGTCCTTCCGATTGCCATAGCTCCTACAATTTACATCGGATCGGCAAAATATATACATTTCTGTGATAAGAGATCCGAGCAGCTCAATCCCTCATACAAAACCTTCCTTAAATACCGTTTTAAAATTTTTCGAATTTTTTCCAAGGGGTACCCCTTAAAAATTGGGAATTTACGACTTTCTACATTTTTCGCTCTTCCGATTGCCATAGCTCCTACAATTTACATCGGATCAGCAAAATATTCACACTTCTGGGATTAGAGATCCCGAGAAGCTCAATCCCTCATACTAAACCTTCCTTAAAAACTGTTTTAAAATTTTGCGAATATTTTTCAAGGGGTACCCCTTTAATTCGGAATTTTCGATTTTACGACAAATTGAAATTATAAATAAATGAATAAGACCAACTTTTGGATTACTGTTTCTTTTAATTCTTTATTTGTTTTGTGTGTTTCAGCTAAATGTGATTTTGTTCATGTAATTTTTATAATTATAATTTTACAATAGTTTCAACTAAATAAATAATAACAATTTTTAAATACAATTTCTCTTTATCGCTTTAATATGTGTTTTTGTATTTCGTGAATAATTTGTTTTCGATTCGCCGGTTTAAATAACATTCTGGGCAGAAACATGAATTAAAATTAGTCGCTTGTTTTTTGATTTTTCAGTTGTTTGCTGAATTATGCATTTTGTTATGGGGTTTTCACTTTTGATGGTTATTCGGCTGCTTTAACTTAGTGGCTAAATATCGGCTTACTCTAACTATTTATAAAAATATGGCTTAGTCTAAAAATTGCAACGAAAACAAAACCTATAGAACCAAGGATCTATACGCAATAAATAAATACTTAACAATTAAAAACCGTAGCTCGTGTTGTTTACTATTTACAAAACAACATAAATGGGCGCTCCCTGCAAGAAGGATGCCTTCTAAGAAGCAACAGAGGTCCTATCGCCTGCTTATTGTTTGAATTCTTTGTAACTTGATTTCCATTAACATTTTCTTTGCTGTTTTATTGTCTATTTCGAAAGTGTGGCATGACATCCCGAGCCGACGGAGCCGACCGAGCCGCCCGGCAATGCAACTAAGCAGAGGGAATCGTCTGTGGGTCCGGAAAACAATCAATACTAAACAACAAAACCCCAAAGCTGCGGCCAAGGATGACTTCTAACGCTTAAACCCTATGCTCTATACTCGTAGTACTCGTACATGGAAAGTCTCTATCCTATCCGATCCTATGAGGCCCGGCTCTACTGCTTGGGCCCGATGACGAGCCTGTAGTTGACTGTTTGTGTTGCTGTTACCGTCGCCGACATCGCCGACACGGCTGGTCATTTGGCCAGCTTCAGGGTGTCCGGCGACCGTCCTGCTCCGGTCACGGTTCCCGTTACGGCGGACACAGTCGCAGGCGGGGCGGGAGCAATGCGTATCGGCTTGGGCCGCTGCTGATTGAAGAGGACACTCAGCGTGGCCGAGGTACCGTTGCTCAGCACCATACTGGGCCCACTCGAGCTGGCCTGCCGCTTGCTCCGTGCCACTCCATTTGGTTTGCTGTTCGTTGAAGAGGGCTGTGGTGGTGACTGCTGCTGCTGCTGCTGTGGCGGATGATGTTGCTGCTGCTGCTGATATTGCTGTTGTCCGGCAATTAGAGTTGCTCCCGTGGAAGCAATGCCACCACTAGACGAGGACGTGGCTGGGGGAGTCGAGGAGGCTGAAATGTTATCCAACTCAGTCATTGCTTCTTGTATGGCCCGCTCGAGTTGCGAGTTCAGTTTGCGGCTCCTTTGTGGTCGCAAGGTGGGTGTGTTGTATGTGGTTGAGTTTTGGTTGGTTTCAGGTTGGGTTCGGGTTGTTGTTTTGAATTTTTTTTTTTTTTTTTCGTTTTCGTTTCGAGTGGGGTTGTTGTTGGTCATGATGATGTGATGATGGTTATGCATATACACACACAGAGTTATACACGTTGGGGTAGTTGGCAGGGCAGGGTTTAATTTTTGGATTTGGTTCAGCGCATATTTAAAAAAGAAACAAGAATATTAATTAGCAAATTAAAATTAAAATGTAAACAATTATCAAATTAATAATTAATAGATTTTGAATGCCGATTCATCTCTAATAGTTTCAATGCAAAATAAAGTCTAGCTACGGAGCAATAGTATTCTACAAAATACATATTATTTTATCGAAAATAAATTTAATTTTCTGGTCTAAAAATGCTTTCAAATCTACAAATCAAGTCTAAATATTTCAGGGCTATAGAAAATTAAATTTTAAACTATAAAGATTGAAATTAAAATTTCGCACAAATACTGAAAGCTTTTTAATAAAAGTAAAATAAATATTAAAATATATAATATTCTATCTAAAGTGCTGGTCTGGTTTTCACCTAAAGCCGTGAATTGCCTAAAAATCTTCTGCTTCGGATGATAAACCCCTCAGATTCATTACCCCCGATCCCCAACCGATGCTCACTTTCTGGTATCCTTCTGGGCCTTGTGGTGCGCCTCCAAGCCCTCGGACAGGCTTTGCAGCGAGTTGACAGGAATCAGCTCCGAGGTGGACCGGCCGCCACCGCCGAACCACTGGACCCACACGTGATCGAAAAGCTGCGATGGCGTGCATACACCGTCCGGCATCTTCACAATCTTTCCGGGCCAGGCCGGATGACCCCTGGCTGGACCCCAGATCAGTTCCCCAATGGCGAACGAGCGCGGCGGCATCAGACCCCCAGTTGATGTCGGCGTGGCACGAGCCGCCCCTCTTTGCGGACGCCGTGAACGTTTCGTTGGTGTCCTGATCCCCGCCGGCTTCTCTGGTGGCTCTGGGATTGGAGTGGCTGGTGGATTCGGTGTCAGCAGCTGAGTGGTGGTTGGCGACTCTACGAAAGGCACACACACATAGAGACTGGGGCTACGGCTTTTTGGGTTTGGTTACTCGGAAAGGTGGTCCCAGCACCAGCGAAGGATTACAAACTAAACAAACAGGATGCATAGGTGCAGGAGTGCAGAGATCATGCAGTGGCCAAATGAGTGGAGTGATGGTTCTTGTGCCGTATTAGAGGGTGGGTGCAGTTAGTCAGCAATGGGACCTTACCCTGGTAGTCAACGTTAGCTACTTTTTGGCTGTGGAGGAAGGTGTTCGTGTTGGAGATGGTTGAGTGGTTTGAGAGGCGCTGCACCAGGTGGCGCGGGGCGACGGTTGTTAGTGACGCTGCCGAAGATGATGGAGATGACGATGTTATGGACATGGATGCGTTTGTGGAATGGTTGTGAGAGTGCGGCAGCCGCATACCTTGCCCTTGCGTCAGGCCCAATCCATTCTCCAGGGCGGTGGCTGTCGCGGTTCCCTGGGAGTTTATGTGGATGCGTCTGATCTTCGTCTCCGAGTGCTTGTATATACCGCTGGGCTGTGTGAAGACGGTGGCTGTCGAGAAGCAAAAGTTAGTTGGGTTTTCTAGCTGGATCTCTAAAACTTACTCCTCTCACAGTCCGTTGATGAAGGCGACTGCCTGCTTTCCACACTCTGTGGGGATATGGCAGCATCCGGCTCCGAGCTAGAGACACATTGAACCTGGAACAAAGAAGGATATTGATTAGATCAGAAGGATCATTGAATATCATGAATACTTACCATGTCGCTGCCGGTACTTCTGTGACTTGGGGGGCGTTCCGGACTCCTTGGACTGCAGGTGGTTGTGTCCGGAGGACTGGCCGCCGTTCCCTGACGACTCAATGTCGACTCCGTCACGTAGGTGGCCTGGGGCGGATGCAGACTAATCTGCGTCGGCTGCGACGCCTGCTGCTGCTGGATCTGGATGGTGGTGGTCGTAGGACTGGCCTGCACGAAGGAGGCCCCGCTCTGTTGGCCCGTCGGCATCACCAGGCCCATCGGCGTGGAGTAGATCTGTCCAATAGGACTAAGCTGACCATTGGCCCCCACGATATACTGCTGGCCGCCGGCACTGGGCGAGATAAAGGATGGCTTGTTCTGCGGCGAGGGAGTGCGCAGCATCACGGGTCCTTGCGGCGTCAGCAGACTGGTGGTGGGCATGTTCTGAATCTGCAGCAGAGTAGTGTCTGGGGCCATCACCAGTCCAGCTGGCATCAGCAGCTGCTGGCCGATGAGGTTGACTTGCTGTAGAATCTGTCCATTCTGGAGCAGGAGCTGTTGCGTTGGCTGTGGTGTCGGCTGGGGATTGGGCTTGTTCACCACAATGCCCTGGATGCCCGGACTGAGCTGGAATTGCTGCGGAAACTGAGGGGTAGAGGCTGCTGCCGCTGCAGCCGCCGCCGCTGCTGCTGCCTGCTGGTGGAGCAGAGCGGGTGCCTGGCTGGGGATACTGGGCGAGATCTGGGGCGAGATTGTTTTGGCGGGCGAGGCACTGGGCGGCGGAGTATGGCACATGGAGCTCTTGCGTTTCCGTGCTCTGGGGCGCTTGGCTTCCGGCGAGCTGATGATCAGGGTCTGCCCCGTCGATGGCTGCTGCAGGGTGAGCATCTGCTCCGTCTGTTGCTGCGGCTGCTGCTGTGGCTGTTGCACAATGTAGCCTCCATTGGCCAGAGTGTTCAGCAGCACAGTCTGCGGTTGAGATCCTGCTCCGGCAGTGCCCGCCTGCGAGGTGATGATCTGGTGGTGCAAAAGCTTGGCGCCACCAGCATTGAGAATCACGGTGCCGCCGCTGCTGTTACCGTTCGAATTCCCGGCTGCGGCCACAGAGGAGGGCTGACTGACAATAAAGCCACCTCCTGGCTGCGGATGCAGTTCGGTTCCCTGTTGAGGATGCTGCTGGATGATCACTCCCTGACCCGGCTGGGCACCCGGGCGGTGATGTTGCGCCGTTTGCTTGCTGGCCGTGGGAATGACCAGCAATTGACCCGACGAGGTCATTATCAACTGACCCCCTCCAGGAGCTCCGCCCATGGACTGCAACTGCGTCACTCCTGTAGCGGCGCTGCTTAAGGTTGTGGTCATGGGCCGGCCGGTAACTGTTGCTGTTCCCGCCGTCGTCGTCACTATGCTCCTCGTCATCGTAGCCACTGCTCCATTGCTGCTGGCTACGACCGGCAGCCTCTGGCCGGTGATGATCTGCGCTGGCTGCTGTTGCTGCCGCATCACCCGCAGATGGGTGGGCATGGTGACGGACGTCGGAGCCGTCAGACTCGCCTGGGGCTGCAGTCGCATCTGGAGAACCTGCGGCTGCATTTGCTGCTGCGGCTTGGGCGAGGCCGAGGGCGTGCTCTTGGCCGTATCAATGGAGTCCGTGGGAGAGGAGAGGCTCTGCCTAGGACTCTCGTGGCTGGTGGAAATGGCTCCGACCTGCTCCGGCCGCTTTTCCACCAGATCTGCTGCCATGCTGGTGGACACAGGGGACACCTGGGGAGCGGGCACAATCGTCACGCTTGTGATCAGCGGGGTCTGGGGTCGGGCAAATGCCGTGTCCACCTGCAGGCCTCGGGTTCCTGTCTGTGAGTTAGTGGTCGGCGATGACTCCGTGTTTTCCCATTTTCCGTAGAGCGATAGGCGTCGGATCCGCTGGCGCTGCTGCATCTGCTGGAACTGTTGCTGATGATGCAGTTGCTGTTGCTGGGAGCTGTGGACAATGGGCTCCTGGGGCAGAGCTCGGGCCGTGGCGGTGGCAGTCGGCACTGGCTTGGACACATCCAAGCCCACTCCCAGGGTGTTGTGCAGAAGGGCAGTTTGCTGTTGCAGATACCCGGCCGGGTCGTCCTTGAAGTTGGGTTGCTGTTGCTGGCCTTGTGCGGCTGTTCCTGGCGGAGGTGGAGCAGCTATGCTTTCTGGCTGCTTTATCACATGTCCCAAGGCCGGACGCTTCGGAACTCCTCCCCCAGCTGCTGGCTGACTAGTTGGCATCACAGTCGGAACCATGGACGCGGGCGTAGGCGTAGACGTCGCCGTGGGCGTGGTTCGGACAGGTAATTTGTTATTGCCGTATTTGGGGCAATCAGCATCTGCAAATGGAGCAACAAATTGAAAAGGCAAAGTCAGTGAAAGGTCAAGAGATTGTTGATTCCTGATTTGGTTATGCAAAGCGCGTCGCGTCCTTAAAGTGCCCGCAACGTGTCCTTTTACCCAAAAAAAAAAAACAACAAATAAAGTGCCCAAAGGTCGGGTAACTTTTCGAGAAGTGCGGGGGATGTGGCAAGAAAATGGAGATGAATGTGGAGAAGGATGAAACAACCCGAATAAAATCAGAACACAAACGTGCTGCGCCCAAGGGGGTTTGTTGGGGCAACGTACCCCAAATGGTTTATCAGCGTAAGCATATAATGGGGGACTTATAATTAAAAAGCTTTGCTAAAAAGAACTCAGAATCACCCCCAACAAAAAAGTACAATAAACCGAATGGAACCAACCACAGAAAATTTAAATCCATTTTGGCTGGAAGCTAGCAAGAGCAGAGCTATTCGGCAAATACCTGCCACACCCGCCCATACGACTCTTGCCTGACCACCAACTTTTGCACCACCCGGTGGCACCACCACCACCCTGGGCACCCCAAGCTATTGCGGTTCGCGAAAATTTTCTAAATCGTTCGAAACTTTTGCTTTGTGCGGGGTTTTTAATGCGACGCTGATTGGACTTCCCGACTCTGCGACTTGTATGCACTGAGAAAAATAAATATTAGCTTTCTTTTTGTAAAAATTTCTATATTATGGGCAGCTATTTCGACCTGTAATACGATTGGCTAAGTCTGTTTCATAGTTTTTTGTCTTGACTCATTTTTTGTGCCGTGCATGTAATAGAGGATTGCTTCTGTCTGTCTACAAGGCCTTGGGTGTGGGCGTTGGCAGCGAGTGGGCGTGGCTGATAGGCGGTTCGCAGCGGACGCGCTCGACCAAACTTTAGCCATCAAGTCCCTTTTGTTTCAATTAACCTTTTCATTTTAAAGTTTTTAACTATGTTTGCCAAATGTTTGCCTCAGAGAACCCACTCCGACCATCCCATCCTGTCACTTCGTCCTCCAAGCCGGACTGAATGTATGAATGAACTGGCTGCGAAAACCCTTTTCCCCAAATTGGCAACAGTTTTGCAGTTGTTTTGCCTTTTTCCCTGCAGTCGCACTCGCACTCGCACTCGACATTCGCACTCCAGCAAATATCTCAAATGGAAATCAAATTGCTTTGAATTGCTGAAAGAAGGCCCTTTTCAAAAAACGCTGCCCGCTTTCTACCCAGCCATCCAGCCATCCTGCCAGCCTGCAGCGGATGCTGATAAAAGGATGGGGTGGAGCTTGAATTGCTGGCGGTGTCAATAGAATAAAAGTTTGCGCAAGTGTTTCCTCCAGGATCCTGAATGGGGATCCAATACAAATAATCCCAGAACATCACGGCAAGTATTTATATCTCAAAGTGAGCATAGGAGTAGTTTGAAGTCCTGAAGTTCCAGCAGCAGAGATTTCAAACGGAATTCAAATGTCCTTTGAGCCTTGTTTGGTTTGTAAAGTTTCGTAAAAGTTGCTAATTGGCTTCCTGGCTGAACAACAAAGAACTTGTTATGTTTTTTCCGTCACCTTTAAAGGCGAACTAAGCTACTATTTTTAGGATTTAAGCATCCTGGCCCCCATTTTCCAAAAACAAGCTTGCTCCCCAGACCTGCCCGAGGCGTTCTCAAGTGTAAATGGTATCCAGCAGTTGGGGGTCTTTAATAAACATAACATTTATTTATCGTGTTGCTTCCACTCGGCTTAAAGGGCCTCCAGCTGTTGGTCGGCAGATAGTCGAGGGGCGGTTGGGCGGCTGGGTGGCTGGGGGAGTGGGTGTTGCAATGTCTTTGACTAACACGTTGGTTTGTTGGAACGCGTTAAGTTCCTTTGACTGTTCGCACAAAAGACAAAATCAAAACAAGCTGAAGAATAGCGCCAGGCGGGGGCCACATACACAAAACAGAAAAGGAGACAAAGAGTCCACAAACGATGCGGGGGACACACATATCCGAAATGCACTTCCTGTCAGGATATCTACACTGGCAAAAAACGATTGAACCAAATCCCTTATAGAGACTAAGATACAGTCTTTGGGTTGTTTTTAGTGCACCACCCACATATCCTACTCCCGCCCTTTGAACGCCATTTTAAGCTTGTTGAACTCGTGCTTTCGCCGGTTTGTGTTTGTTTGCCTGCTTGCCTTGCATTTTTATCCTTTTCTTTGCTTTCACTCTATCCATGTTTATGTATATGCATAGCTATGTATATATTTATCTGTATCTGTATCTGTATCTGAATCTCTCACTCTGCAGCTGCCTGCCACCGTGTGCGTGTGCTGGCTTGGAGTCCCTGTGTGTGCAGTTTCACTTTATCATTGTCTAGGCATCGTTTTTCACTTGACAGAAAAAGCAAAAGCAGCAACAGCAGCAGCAGTAGCCATAGTCGACATCGAGCACCTTTTCCACAATTGCATCAGTTTGTGCAACCACAGGCGACAGTTGTGGATACAAAATTAGCTTTGGCTTTGGATTGTAAAGCAGAATATGCTTTGAAAATATTTTTTAAAAAAGCACACTTCTATTGAACTTTAAAAGTAAAACAAATTTGAAAGAAATTTACTATTCTTGTTGAATAAAAAAGGTTATTGACATGACCTTTACTATAAGCATATGTGTGTGTATGCACTTCCTGCTGTGCTCCATTTTGGCATATCTGACTTTGCTTTCCTTCGCTTCGCTTTGCTTTGCTTTGCTTAGGATTTTCCTTGGCCCAGCCAGCGCTTTTCGCACGTATCTACACTAGTTTTCCTTTTGGCCTGACCTCACCTCTATCCCCTGCCCCTCGTACCTCTTTCAACCCATCTCCCCTTTCCCCTGTGCATCCGACTTTGCTTCGTCTTGCTCGTCGTCGCTTTGCAGTTGCGCAAAAATGCAGGCATCACATTTTTCCATTTTCCATAGCACACTTTTGAGCGTTGCAAGTGCCCGCCTGCAGGGTCGCTTTGACAGCCAGGGTTGCCATGACGCCGATAAATAAGGGAAACGGAAGAAATGCCTCGCATATAAAATGCCAAATTTGTCAGAAGAACTTTTCGCTTGTGTGGCTTGCTTTGCCTCATTAAGACTTTATTTGATCATATAAGTCGGTGGTCCTTAATTATGTTTGGAATATTTTTAAAGAGACCCCTAAGACACTGCCCCCTATTTACATTTAAGTATATTATTTCTCACCTTTGTTGGCCAATTCAAGAATGGTTGTGGTGGCTTGAGCCGGGGGTGTTGCTGCTGTTGCTGCGACAGGCGTAGATGTTGTCGCCGTTCTGGCTGTCGATGTCATCAGTGTTGGGAACACATCGTTGACAGCTGTTGGCCCAGATACGGATATGGATACATCTTTGATGCCATGTTGTTGCTGTTCCTCTTGTGGTGATAGCTGGGGCAACTGCTGGTGCTGGGGCTGCTGCTGAGATTCAAGAAATCGCCTTTGGTGCAGGCAAGGTGTTGGCATTGACGCGGCTGTGGCGGGCGATTCCGCTCCCGCTGCCGGCAACTTGAGCGGCATGTTGGGCACCTGCAATTAGCATAAAGCAACAAATTGGCATAATTAGTATAAATGCCATGCAACAATCAAATTAGGCGCCGCCACTCGGCACACAATCGACGATAACGACGACCACAAAATCCGCAATCCGCAATTCGCGAGCAAACAGGGCCGACAAGCGCGCTTCGCCGCCTGCTGTCAAATACGTACATATGAAATCGAAAATTTAATCAACAAGCTTGGAATGCCAAACACACATATCGGCCAGGCACACACATTAGCATACACACACAGTGCCTCTATTAATTTGCATGGGAAACGTGAGTGGCATTCGCTAAAAATTAGATAAGCGCTTTGGCGCTTTGAGTTCCCTGTAATTACGGGCATTTTAAGTTCTATTATAAGCGCTTGATAAAGACCTTTCATTGTTTTGTAAAATTTAAAGTATTTATTTTTGAAAGCAAACCAAATACAGATTTTATAATTCCCTTTTAATCAATAATCCTCTGCCCTCGCCCTTGCTATTATGTTTAATCATTAGAGTATTGAGTTGATTATTTTTCGACCTTGCCCTGAGGCTTAGGCACAGTCCAATTAGCATTTTGTAAATGAATATTCCACAGAACCCGTTCATACTCATGGAGTACACATGTAATCCAATCAAATGCACCAAATTCATCAATATCGAGTTGGGCAGATCAAAGAGTCGCAAAAGTTTCCATGGCGACCGTGTCGGACCACCCTCTTATCCCTGTTGCCTTTGGCAGCAGGTGCGCCTGGAATTTATGCAAATGAGTCGCCGGCAAAGGTTTCGATGGGCAGGCCTTTTCCCTCCTTCATGGGGCACTGATCCAAAAGGTAACAACGGCGAGGAGATGGGGGCTCTACGGTGGATGATGATGAAGAACGACCCTTTTGGGGCCGTGCACTTTTTTCTGGCATTTCAATCAGTGGACGGCAATTGCTTCATTGGCTGGGCAAGCGATGGAAACGTGTCGCAACCATTTTGGGTCAGCAATTTGTACAAAACACACTCCGGCCAGAGCTGCAACCGAAACGAAACGGAACGGACCTTTTAGGTACCGATGACAGCTCCAAGTGAGCATTCCGCAGACCAAAGTTGGTTATTAAACATTAAAATGTCTCACTGGAGGAGTTTTATGGCCTCACTACCGACTGACTACTGACTGACCAGGGCAACGAGCCAAGTGCCGGGCAATTGGAGAAGGCAATAAAAAGTGGGCCCCAGTAACCTGACGAACGACCCGAGACGAATGCCCCGGGGATTGGGAATGGGACTTGGAATGGCCACTGAAATTAAATCATTGGCAACCTAAGTAGAAGATAATGAAACGTGAAACTGGTAACCATCCCGGGCGTAATTGCTTGATTGAAGTTTCTTAAAGATTTACTGGTTCTTGGGGTCTCCTCTCCTCAATTGAACTGACCTTTCGAAAGCCAATCTATTCATTGGCTAAACAAACAGCCATTCGTCAGCTCTTGAAATGCTCGTTAAAGTTTATTAATTGGCCACGCCCAGCCAAGAATGAAATAAATCCATTAGAACAGATCCCATTCCAGATCCTGGCGCCCCCAGCCTCCTGTCCCCAGCCCCTGTTGTCTGGACTGTTGCAGCAACTTGTGCTTCTGTGTTGCCTTTGTGGCAGCTTCAAGTGCTGTTTTGCTGCCGTAGCTTTGGCTGCCACTTAGTCAAAAGGCAGTTGGCGTCCGTCTTGCCGCAGAAAGCAAACATAATTTCAACTTGTGAAATGCAATAAAACCACAGCTCATCCCGGTCGGGATGGTCCCCAGGCCCCCCTCTAGAAAAGCTAGAAAAGCACAGAGCACTCAAAAACGGACAAACAAACAAAAATGGATGTAGAACATTTTCCGTTTGCCAACTGGGTCGTCGTCTGGTGCTGTTTCTGCCACCACAGAGACCTACCCCTTGCCATATCCCATCCTAGTTGTCTGACTCGCAAATTATATACACACTGTCCCTACATACATACATATCATAAAATTGTACAAAATACAAAAAAATTACGGGAAACGCAAATGCAATTGCAATTGCAATCAAACGTTGCCATGGAGAACAGAGTCCGGTTTTCGGACAGAAATTTAATGCAACTTCTGAACATAATATCCAAATTTAATTGCCATTTAATGGAAAAATAATTAAGCAAAACTGCGCACGTTCTCGACGGATGTTGCAGCTTCTGTTGCTGACAGCAACGAATGCAACATCAATGGCAGCTGCAACAGTAGGGGCATGAACGACTTTTGGTTGACTCTTTAAAATGGTAGAAAATATTTCCAATAACTTTAGTTGATTTGTATAATATTACTATATTTGTTACAAAACAGGTTATGATATATTATCCCAGACTTTACAATCTAGATCTATCTTAGTTTAAAATTTTAATTACCCAGCCACATTCCACATGTTACACGCCTGACTTATTTCCTGTTTCCAGAAGCCCACAATTATCTTGAAAATAATTACGAGTTCCTTTATTGACAATTACTCTCCGCATTGATGGGAGCCAAACCGAGCATATCCTTGCTGGCCAGGATAATGGACACCAAAATGGTTATTAGCACCACAGCAGAGCCAGCGAAGCGATGAAGCGACGCGTTGACACTCCACCAAAGCGTGCGGCTAATGAATACTCGAATTACATACGGACAAGCGGACAGATGGACTGGCGGACAAGCGGACATGCGGACAGACGGACAGGAAGACAGACGACCCGTACGTATACATAATTGAAAATACATGGAAGGTTACATATGCATATATGTATACATATCTGCAATATTTACATGAACCCAATGGCCGTATAGCGAAACATGCATTTTGCATATTTGACGTATTAACTGGGCTTATTTCGGGAGGTGCGGAATGGAGGCCAAGGCGGGAAAGGGGCGGGAACAACACGCAACAAAATGCCAAACGAAAATGCCAGCGAAATACCAACAAACATTGCACTTTTGCATGCATAATTGTGAAAATTAAAACGAACTGTGCCAGACACCAGCGTTAGGGGGTGGCAGGTGGCCATCGGCCAGTTGGCCATTTGGCCAGGTGGGGGGTGGTAGGCGTTTGGGGGCGTGGTACATTGTCCAGGCAATATGCAAACGAGCTGGGCGAGACTGAGTGCTGACGGCGGCGGAGGCGGTAGCAGGACAGCAGGTGCGAACCAAGCACAGGTGCACGGTCGGTGTTGCTTTTCATTAACATCATAATGACGGTCGAGCGGTGGCAGCTTTAATCCTTTCCAGGACGATGGCGTCAGTCTCGGGCTCCGACACTGGCACAGCAGCGGAGGCGGATGCGGACATGGACATTCGCTTTGGACACGGTACCTCCTTCGGGCAATTGTGCGCGCACTCACAACAGGAACTTGCGGCGCTGCCGGATATGAGTAATCGCTCAGTCACGTCGCCATCGCTGCATTGCCAAGTCCTGGAGGACTGCAGAAAGATTTTTTACTGTCCAACCCGCCTCGCTCTTGCCGAACAGCCAAACACAATTCAGGACACAGCCCAGCGCAGCCCAGAGTCCTCCGTGCATGACGTAACCCACAGCGGAAATCGCTCAACGTTAGTTGGGCGCGCGTGCAATTCTCTGGTTAATGCTCGACGGCTGCCAGGGAGGGCTGGAGTGGGTGACTGTACAGGTGGGACAGGTGGGCCAGGGCCTGGGTGGGTCTTCAGGACGCCCATTTAAACTTAATTGAAATGCAGAAGCCTGGAAAGAACCCACCCAAAATGTATAAATTTCAATGCCCTTGTCACTGTTTACTGCGGCAGGACTCACTTTAAGCGGAAATTAAATCAAATTGAGACGGTAACTGCACTGCAAAAAAATAGAAACTAAATATACCTATACAATGCTAGCCAATAAGTTTATTTAAAGTTAAAAATGATTAAAATTAATTGATGTTGACTCATTTTTCTCTACAAACTGGACCACTTTTTTGCGGCTATAATCTGGTCATGTGTGCTGTTTTTACGGCCATTCGGCCATCAAACCATATTAAATATCACTCTCCAGGCTAAAAAAGGATATGGGAGAAGCCCACCGACTGCTGCCTGACATCGATATCGATTGAAAGGACATAGTTTTTGGAGGGCAGTTGGAGAAGTCACCCTGAAACACGAACTCTTTTTCCCAAGAAAGTCGAAAAACTTTTCGCAGTGAATTACAAGGTTCAAGTATGTCAGCCAACCATGGACACCTGAAGAACCACGCCCCTCAACCGCTGTACACATCACCGGTTCAGTCAGCCAGGCCTTCCCCGGGGTCCTTTTGCACTTGAAGTCCTGCCAATGGCACTGCCTCGGGCAATGCCACGCTGTCTGCTCATGGCGCGTACAATATTTAATTTGGACTAATGAAGTTTCTATAAAAACGAGCGTCTGGAATTCAATTTCTGCCACCAAAACTGCTAAAATACAGCCAGTCAGGCAGCCAGCCAGCCAGTCAGCCAGCCAAGTGGGGTGAAGTCAAGACAAGTCAACTGAAGACGCGGCAAGTCAAGTCTTCCTGCTCACATTCGAGTGACGTGCAAATTACCACCGAAAAAAAAAGAGCTGAAAACAAACGACTACAGAGTGGCCAAGATGCGGATGAAGATGCGCGGAAACAGGCAGGGAATCGCCAACAACAACAGCAACAATAACAGGCCCCATGAAACATACAACAGCACACCATACAGCCCGATGGTTTCCCATCCCACCGTCCAACTGCCACCTGCCGCCTGCCGCCTAATTGTTTTAGTTGTTGTTCCATGAATATGCTAAATTGTCTGCCACAGTTCTGGCGTGGCCTCGCTCTGCAAATGTTTATAAATGCAAATTGGCCGAAAAGTGCAGTACAGCAGCGGCAACAACAGGAGGAGGATGAGAACAACAGAAGGAGAACCTAACTGGAGGTGGAGATGGAGGGATCGTGGATGACGGACGTGCTTGGTTGCATTTCGGCGTCAAAAACAGGCGAGAACCGAAAGTGCAGAGGAGACCCATTAACTGCGCCAACTGGTGGGAACTGGTGGGGACTATTGGGGCACTGTTGATTGAGGACTGAGCATGGGGATAGCCCTGAATGAACAGCCCTAAATGACTGACAACAATACAACAATGTTCGGCGATAGCCCTCCGCGATAGTCCGGGCAGGGCTCACTTTCGTTTTCTGGCCCTGACACCGCGATACGCGGCTGGCACGATTCGTGATTTGCGATACGAGTCCGGACTCTCCGGGGCTGTGGGTTGCCGCGGATAGCCAGCCGCTGATTGGCAAGTAACCTTCACGCACCACATTGGGTTCAAGTCGGTTGGCAGTCATCTGGGTCGCAAATTAAGTAGCTAATGGGTGTCTCAGGTTACAGAGGTTACGAATTGAAAATATAAGATACAACCAAAGATAATTAAGAGCCTGCTTGTCGCAAAGTCACAAAATCAATATTTTTTGAAACAAAACCCCCTTCATTGTGTCGCCTCTGACATTTTGGAATGGTGCGCCTGTATGCGTATCGCGTATATCAGCTGCCACAAAAACAATTATTTTGTTGCCTTTATTTTTATTGTAAGCTGTAAATTTTTGAAACAACGTTGCCGACGCGACTGACATCGTTCGGCGCTGACCTTCTCAAGTTTGTTTGCTTTTGTTTTCCTCATTGATTTTGCTTTTGCTTTTACATTTGTTTTTGTTTTTACTTTGGAAACGAGCTGGGGCCAAAGTTTTATTTATTTGCCCAACTTGCCTGGGACTTGCCCTTGCCCCACCCATTTGTACCACAGTTCACAATTCACAATGACGACTCTCGGAGGCCTGTGGCACTTGTGCTGCAAAACGCTGCGTGCAATGCTCTCGAAATAGAAATCCATTGGGGACGCCTTGTGAAAAATCAATTTCAATTGTCTCGCACTTATCGAAAAAATCGAAAAACGAGTAAGGAGGATAAAGTTTGGGGGTAACCGAAGGCTGTATACACTTGCGGACATCGACATCGACTTCTAATACATAAAAATAGGGGAATATCAAGTATACGCCGTGTATGACTCACTGAGAGGTCTATAGTTTTGTTAACATTTATCCGATCCTTAAACGGAATACCTTAAAGAAAGGTCTGTATGTTAGGTGTTGAACGATATTAGACAACCCTCTGCTAGAGTATAGAGGTGAAAAACAAAAAACAGCCGACCAACGAACTTTCCAAAACGAGTCAATCTTTTTCGCTTTTGTTTGTTTTCGGTTTTTCATTTGCACTTAGCAATTGAAAATTTCAATTGTAAATAATTGTTTAATTATCGACAATTGCAGCTGACTGGCTGGGGTAGCTGAGAGCTGAACGCCCAGCAGACAACAAAAGCATTCGTTTAGCCTGGCTGCGTGGCCTCCCCTGGCCACCCATTTCCCCATCACCCACTGACTGCCATCAAAAGGCCATAAATCGAAATCTGAGTCATGGACATGGAAATATGCGAATGGATATATGAAGGTATACATATATGGGATAATTAAAGAGCCAGAGCCACAGCCAGAGAGCTAAAGTCGATTCCAAATGCGCTGTAATTACAATGGATTTTGCTTGGTGCGTATGTCTAATTAACCACATGGCGTATACGCAATTCACATTACGTATACGCCGTGGTGTCTGAGAGTCCATTATGTGCAATACATAAATTATACATCAATCAGTGTGGCCAGCCTAATCGGAATTTCCATAGCGCGACATCGATTCCATTGAATCGAAGATCGAGGAAATAAGTTTGCCATTCAGACCGAATCTCGGCCGGTTGACTGGAAAACTAGTTATGTGAGTGATACTGCAACTGCAATTGTCTGCCGCCAGCAGCAGCCTCTCTGCTCCACTTAACATTTTTCAGCCTCAAACTTTCCAATCGCAGCCACTAAAGCGCTCAAACTTTGGCAGCCAGCCCCAGTATAGTCCGCCGCGACATCATAATTTGCAGGCCCAGCCATGGAGTGGCTGACAAGTTGCGCGCCTGCCAAGCAATACCAGCTCCGATGACTGACAGCCGCTTTGTCTAGCTCTGGCTCTGGCTATGGCTCTAGCTCTGTCTTTGGCCAAGACTTTCACCGACCAAAAACCCAGACACACACACTCATTCACTCACATATGTCATACTGGAAAGCCGAAACCGAAAAAGGGGCTGAGAAAGAGAAAGACAAACACAAGAGACTGAAGAAAAAGAAATCCCTAACCTACCACACCTCAAAAGCTCAGAGCTCCGAACTCCGAGCTCCACCATAAGAAAGAAAGGCAGTTAAGACGACAGCTCGAAATTGGCCATAATCAAAACAGAAAAACAGAAACGTAGACCTCATCATGTTCGACCATCAATCATGGCCAAAAAAAGAAACGCGCGTGGCAAGTTGAATGTGCCACAAAATAATAAAATGAACAAAAAAGGGCATCCTTCGGGGCGAGAGAGGATAAAACAGTTGCCACTAAATCCACGATACCAGTCCCCATGCAGGAATTATGGCCAACAAAGAGCACACACAGCACACAAGACACAGCCATCGACTTGTGGTCAGCAGATGTGAGAATCCAACCAGAAGACAGAGACCGACACTCTCGGTTAGACAGAGACAGGACGACAGAAGGAGTCGGGACTATCGGTGGCACAATGAAGTGTTTAGTAAACAAATTGCGGTTGCCTTTGATAATACGCAGCTCAGCTTAGCACATCGAATGGAAGCTGGAGGGCGCCCGGAGGCGGACGAGGTCGAGGGGGTGGTGGTAGTTAAGCGATGCGCAGCCAAGTGGGTGGCGGGAGGTGGTGGGCGTGGCAGGGATGAGCCAAGTTATAAGTGCATTGCACCGAAATATCGATTGACAGAGCAGCTGGAGCAGCAGAAGCAGCAGCAACAAAAGACGACAATCAAAGCTGGCGGGTTCAGACGTTCAACTTAAAATGCGTGTGTGTGCACTGAGAAAAATCGGATGAATTTTAAATTACAAGTTTTTTATATTGTTTTTCTATTATTATCCAAGATATACGTTAGATTTATTAAATAAAACATACATTTTTAATCTTAAAATGCTTTATGTTAAATTCAACCTCTCGATGAGGATAAATACTAGTGACGAGCATGCATGGTCTTTCTCAAATATGATTTTTTGTGACGAAAGAACATGTTATATTGCTTAAAATAACTAAAAACCCAAAATCTGGCATTAAAATGGCCATCAAAATAAAATTAAAAGCTTTCTTGCCCGAAATTCCTTAAAATCCAGGTCACATTTTTCCACCCGGTGCAGTTTCTTAAGAGTTCTGGGAGCCCATTAAAAGGACATTGAATGTGCGCGGGCGGAGGGCGGTAGGGCGGTAGGAGTGGAGGCTATAAAGTGGGGGAGAACGTTGGTGGGGCGTTGGCGTTGGCGCTTTGACGGCATCAACGTCACGCAAAAAAACCAAAGGGAAACCATAAACTCAAATTAATGACCTCGGCCGGCGGGAGCAGAGACAGTCACTGAAAAAAAAAGAAAGAAGACAACGGACAGCGTCGTCGGACAAATGCTGAAAGACGAGACTGAAGCCAATAAGACCTCCAAGAACAACAATGAGCCGGGGCACAAAAAAAATAATAATAAGACGATGGACTAAAAACCCCAAGACAGAAGCAGGAGCTGGCACTGGCACTGGAGCTGGAGCGGGAGGAGCCAGTAGCAGAAGCAGAACAACGGCAGAGCAAGTCCAAGTCGATGTCTGGGCGTGATTTACCGTTAACAGTTTTTTGTTGTCGAAAATTAATCTTATTGCAGGCGATTTCACTGCGATTTTCACTGCACTGCTCTTCCACACAAACCTACATGTACTATATACATATATAGAGATTTAAGATATATACAAATTGGAGCTACTCCCTTTTGGCTCTCGAATCTTGAATCTCTCCTCCGGAGTCCGGACTCTCCATTCGGCTTGCTCTGTGATTATGCAGTCGATGTCTCAGTCTCAGGCACAGTCTCAGTCTTCGTCGTCACAGTCGATTTGTTGTCAAACTGGTTTTACAAATATTTTGCGTTAATCTGGAAGCCCCAGCGATGAGGGCCAGGCCAGAGTGGGGGGGATAGACGACGGAGGAGCTGGGGCATCAGTTACATTGCAGCACAGCTCAGTGAAAGTCTCCTGTGCCCGCCAATCGCCCCCTCTCTCGGATAGTCAGTGCCACCAGCACATTCAATTAGATTTAGCTCTGGCTTCTCAGATTCAGCTACAGCTCCAGCTCCAGTATTAGCCGCAGCTATAGCTTGGCTGTAAGCCCCCTTCTGTTCGGGCTCATTCATGGCTCGGTATTTACAGCCAATTATGAGACAAACAAGTCCGACTCGCTGACACCAAATACCTTACCTACACTTAGAACACGGTCTTAGTGGGTATTATTTTGATTTAAGTGCAACACTCACCTGGGCATTAAAGTCGAAGAGGTATTCCGGTCGCAGCGGACACGGCAGGCCGCACTTGCAGGTACCCTGGGAGAGCAGATAGTCCTTGATCTGGAACTGGGTGCGTAGTGTCCTGCCCGAGGGGCTGTAATGGTAGAGAAGAGGAATGGGGTTAAAATCCGTTAGTAAGATTAATTAAGTGACGGCCCTAAAGACTAAACGCACAATTTGTTCTATGGAAATTATGCAATTACCCAAGGCCACTCGCCATATGCCCTTTGAGTCGCCCACCGCTACGCCGCCGGGCAATTAGCCTGGCCAGAGCGAGGCACGAGTGCTGGCTGGCTAAGCGAGTGCTTGATTAGCCGCTAATTAGCATAATGGGCATTAACATGACAATGTAAAACGACAATCCGAGCGCATAAATTAATCCCAATCAGGGCCGATCGCAGGGCGCAGAATAAGTGCGCCTCGATCTGCGCATAATTCTTCCATCGGGTAACTGGTTTGCTACAGTACTTCCTCCTGAAGGAAGTTTGTTTCTGTAACTAGGCATGTTTTTGGGGTGAACCAGCTGGAGAAAATGCGCAACAGATTTTTGGACCAGAACTGAGATTCTTGCCTCAACATCTGCGGGAAACAAAGGAGCTCCTAACTCATACATATGCACATATTAAGCGATTCAGAAAACACGCCTATGCGCAATAAAAAAAAATTATGAAAAGGCAAAAAATTGATTTAAATTTTGGGCACTTAAATACCAAAATGAAGAATGGGCATAAACCCAAACGAGGCAACAAGGAACCCTGCGAATCAAGTTTTGAATAAAGCCAAGCCCCTCGAACAACATCGAACGGGCGGTTTCCACTTCTTTTCAGTGCGACACGTTTAACCCTTTAGAGCCCGCCGTTCTCATCCGATCCGGGCCACGCATGACCGCAAATCTGACGACATAAATGGGGTTACTTTTGCACAAAAAAAAAAAAAACGAAACGAGAAAACCATGGGTATATAAATAAAATAAGAGGGGGAAAAAAAACAGTGAGGAGGAGATGCTTATTAATTGTAAAGTGTGAGCACGTTGAAGGAATCAAGGGCGCTGATGATGACGCCAGAGCACTCGAGTGGAGTCTGATGCCGGGGCTCAAGTTCCCAAAACCCATGCCCTGGTCCGCCCTGGTCCCTGGCAAAGGTCCGTATGGGAAATCTGAATAATGCATGAAGTGTGAAAGCGGCAAGGGCATTAAATGAAACGACGACGACAGCAACAGGAGCTGCATCAAGACCTCTGGTCTGGAGCTGGAGCTTGAGCTCGGCTCGGGTGAAGGAGCTGCTGTGGAATCAGCAGAGACAACAATATAATTGTGCGACAGAAACATCAGAGAAACGGCAGCAACGAGAATCGTGTTACGGGTTAAACAAGTATGCGAATTGTCAATTGAGTAGCCCTTTTAGCTGGCCAAACAGGAGATGCTCCCATCTACCATCTACTCCCAGCATCAGCATCAGTCTCAGCATCAGCATCAGCCTCATCCCCATCATCTTCATCTTCATCAATGGCAATGCGAAACGGAAACTGGTTCTGGTTTGTTTTATTAATTATTTTTAACTACTTACGAGGCCCAGAGGTTTTTCAGACTGAGACTTGTTTGAGATTGGAAAAATCGATGGCAAGTCGATTGCCAGACAACACGAACAGCCAGGTCCTTCGAGGCAGGAAGAGCGAGCGGACGAGGGTAATGCGATTGAAAGAAACAGAGAATCATCAACGCCAAAAGCTTATGGCTCAATTTGTATGCAGCTGGCGTGGCGAGAAGCTTAAGAGCCCACCGCTTACCACTGGGCCAGGTTGGCATGAGAAGGGTGGGATTGCCATGGCATGGCATGGCATGGGTTTGAGTTTCCAGAGTCAGAGTCAGAGTCTCATGCAGAGAACAAAATAAGTCGCAATAAAAGCAAGTTGAAGACACCTCTTTAAAGGTAATTGAAATTTTTATAGAGCTATACAGTCCATGGAGGACAATGAAAAGGGTATAGCCTGTTTTTTAAAACAAAGGCTGGTTCCTGTTGGTACTTTCCATTTCACAGAACATGTTCTCCTCTCGACGAGGAAAACTGTGTATTTCCTTTCGGTGTGCCAGACCGAGAAGTTGGCAGCTCATTAAATTCTTTTTCTTCTCCGCACTTCGTTTTTTTTTGCGTTTTTTTGTGGTATTTGCACAAAATGCGCTAATAACGTGAGTGGCTCTGACTGCGGCAAGAACCGCAGGCATCCCCCCTACCTCAGCATTTCACTGTGGCCACATGAAAGGCGTTAAGCTAACGAGTTAAAATAATTTAATAAATTACACACAAAAACGCCGAGTGCCAAAGAGTTGCTGTCGAGTGGCCATCATCTGGTTATGGCTCTAGCCATGGCTATAGCCTCCTTCCCCTTGAGACTCTGGCCAAATAGGTGGAAGAGTTGCACGCCCCTGTGACCTTGAGGGCACCCTCGAGCCGCGACAGACAGCTGGGACTGGGAAATGGGCCTGAGCCTATTACTAAATTAATAATCCCAAACAGAGCAAACACAAAACCGTCAGCACTAGCAACAGAAACAACAGCAAGATGGCCCAAAGGCAAAATCAGCAGCAGGACCAGGCCAGATACTCTCTGGCGCATGAAACTGTAAAAAATTATCGCACAAAGACAGACAGACAGAGTGGAGGACAGAGGCCAGAAGACCAGAATTGGGTGGGCGCAGCAGTTGGGACACACGATGCCAACGAACCGGGGCAATCCTTTCCCACCAGCCGTTTATCCGTTGTCCTTGCCAGCCATGTCCTTGACAACGCAAAGGCAGGCAGCGAGGCGGGCAGCCCACAAAACGAAAAGTGAATCATGCCCACGCCAAAAATGAATAAGTATTTTTGGAAAGGAAGGCAGATGTCTGCCACTGAGTCATCGGAATCATCAAATTTTGAGAGTTCTATTGAAAGGAGTTTTATAGAAATTTCATTAACTTGAAGATGAAGTGCAAACATAGATAGATCCTAATAGATTTATCAGAAAAGTTCATCGCCGAATCAGAAAATGGGCTTTCCCACGACTCCACTCGGGAGACAAATTCGCATGGTGGGCGTTGACCAAAGTCAACAAGCCAACACTAAGCCGAGGGATTTGCAACGAGGGCCGCCTAAAATGTGAACAAAATAAACACATTTGAAAGGCCCGAGAAGACCCATGGCTGAGTGTCTCAGTCTGCCTGTCTGTCTGTCAGTCCGGCTGAGTGACTAACTGACTGACTGACAATGCAGGCAGGCAGCAGGCCACGGAGGACGGACCTCTGCTGATGCAACCTACGCGTTTGTTGAAAGGTAAAAAAAAAAAAGAAAAGGTAAGAGCGGGCCAGAGGCAGCGGGGTATTCGCATTAGGAAAATGGAAAACTGCTTGAATGGCTGGACAGGCTGGACAAACTATTCCGCATTCTTGTGCGAGCTGGCGGGGCGCTTTCGATTCGCCTCGAGTTTCCTCGATCGGCGATCTCCAGCTGCCGTTTTGGATTTATGATTTATGAGCTCAGTGGGCGGCCTCTGGCATCTCTGGCTCTGGCCCGGTTGACCTGGTCACCTCTCTCTCCTCTATCTCATAGTTTTTGCAAATTTTCCGCCCTCTGCTGATGTCACGTTGCGCCGAAAGCATTAGCACTTGAGCAAACAGCGAACGGGAAGAGATTCAAATGCTTGCGCAACAATTATTGATTTAGAACACAATTCGGGTGCAACATTCCTTCCAAGAAACAGCCAGACGTGGCCGGGGCCTCGACGGAAGCTAAACAACAAGAGGTACTCATGTAGCTCGAGGCCAGAGGTCTACTCGGCTTGATTGCTAAAGGATTTGGCTAGTTTCTTGAGAGGACTATGCTTTGGCTTTCAGCGACAAGCTCTCATAATATTAAGTGCTCGGACTTGAAGTAAAGTCGCCTTTTTTGGTAGTTTTTGTACCTTTTAGTTCGCCCCTTTTCAACCCTTTTTTATTCGCAAAATCGACCATTGAAGGTCCAAATACAAATACCAACGAAGGGTCTGGAGGGGTTATCTTGGTTTGCGAACCACGAAAAGGAATGCCCGACTCGGAAATATGCGAGGGGGCCGAGTCGAGCCGTTTGGCAAACAGCAACATCTATAGGAGACCCGGCAGCAACACGCAACATGGAAGTGAGCAGCTGCTATCCGGTGGTGGACAATGACAGCGCTTGACACACGATGGCGATGGTGATCACAGAGAGAGGGACACGACATGGCAACCGAGGCGAAGCGGTGCCCTCAAAGTGTGTCCTGCCAGGGTAATGTAAGTTAGTGAGTGAGTTGTGACATTGCCCGGTAAATGGAGTGCGGCGGATAAGCTGCAACATCTTGGCGCTTCTGCGACGTGAGCGCAATAATCATGAAGCCTGGCCAGGCACGTAATGATTTCTGTCATAAGCAGCCCCCCAGGCCAGGCTTTAGAAGGCAAAAACAAACAGATTGGGACGGAATATCCCTGAAAGCTTTCAATCTGCCAATCGACCGTAATCTGGGCCCTCACCCTTCTCGGGGATATACAGCTGCGGGCTAAACTATCCGAATGGAACCAGACGAGACCAGTCAAGCACCTCAGAAGTGCCAGCCACTTATAAAATCAACAATTACCCAACATCGGCAATGGCCGAAAGGCGCCAGAAACAGCAACGGCAACAGCCACAAACTGAGTTTGCACAGAGCCCAAAAAAAAAAAAAAACTTGCATAGTTTCCAGGCATTTCCCCCCTCTGGGCGAGCGAGGCAGTGAGAACAATTACAAGTACCCCTGGCAGATATATCCACATACCCGTGTACTCGAACTCGATGCTTTTCAACATATTTGAGTAAACATTTTATTTGAGTTTGTAATTATGTGTGCTTGATGATAACTCGCAGATAATGCCAGGTAAATATTTGCCTCGACTCGTTGATGGCTGATGGTTGTACTGCCTGGTTGCAAAAACATTTCTGACACGACTACTGCAACCCCCCAGACGCCCACTAACAATATGCCACAGTCAGGTCCCTCTCTCTTTATCCCACTGACCCCTGGACACTGGCATTTCCTGTACAGTGAGGCCCGAGAGAAGGGGCTCTGAACATTTTTATGGTTTCTCGAATGCGTTCACCAGACAATAACCAGATTGACTTTTAGCCCGAGCCCCCAAAGTGCTGTAAATGTCATGTCCGTAGTACGTACAACACAGCCCCGCGGTTGCTGTCGAGAGTGCTCAACCAGGCGATATCCTGTATCCTATATCGGTATCCGATAGCTAAGATTCTCCCCTCAAATAGTGGGACACACTCACCTGATGTAGGCCACTTCATTGTTGTTGGTTAAGCGACGCCAGCCAGGAGCCAAATTCCCATTATAGCTAGTATTGAACTTCCTGTTAGGTTGGTTACTGTTGCTGCTAGTGCCGCTGGGGATGGGGTTGTTAGCTTTGGCAACATTCTTGGCATAGAGCTGATTGTTCTGACTCAATTGACGCGATGCAATTGTTGTCGGCAGGCAGTGTGCCCCACTAGCAACAGTGGCGGAGGCAGCAACAGTTGCCGCCGCCGCCGTTGTCGATTTAACTGGCAACTTTATTTGCGCCTGTCGCTGTTTGGCTTGATGCTGCTGCTGTTGTTGCAGAAGTTGGGGGCTGCTGGTGGGGCAGACAAATATATGCTGTTGACTGGTGCGCTGCTGCAGTTGCAGATTCGTCGCTTGCATCATGTTTCCGCTGCCATTTCCATTGCCGTTTACCAAGCCAGCTGGTAGTATCTGTTGCGTATGTTGCTGATGTTGCTGATGCTGCATCGATGTTGCACTTGTAACGACCCGCGATACAAATTTCGTCTGTTGTTGTTGATGGAAAAATTGATGTTGCTGGTGCTGCTGCTGCTTGAACATATTGATCTGCTGGTGCTGCTGCTGTTGGTGATGCATTTCGCTTGCAACTGTCTCAGCACTGCCAGCAATGTTTAGCTTGTGCTGGTGCTGATGTTGCTGCTGCTGCTGTTGCTGTTGCTGTCCAGCAGAAGCAGCGGCCATGGCAGCCGTTTATGAGCCTCTCCGCGAGTTAGGGGCTGAAAGAAAAGGTCAATTATAAGTTGAGCTTTCAAAGGGATAAATGCCCAATTTGAGGAAATATTTGTAGGAATGCCCATGACACAATAGCTCTTAAGCTTTGGTTTTGGGTGACTCAGTTAGGGAATTGCGTAGTTATGTGGCCTTTGTTTATGCGTAATGGCCAATTCCACAGGTCTAAGCCCAAAACTATAGGGCTTCCAACAAATAAGATGGCTCTTAAGTAGATATTGCTATTTGGAAACGACAAATCATGGGCAATCTTAGGCCTGGCGCACCTTTTTCTCTTTATTTATATTTATGGCCTGTTGGTTTTTGCCATATTCTGCTATCTGCTCACCTTTTAGCTTGCTTGTCGGTTCGGCTCGCTCATTTGCCAGCATATTAAATTAATTTTGAGTTATTGTGTAAACGAGACGACGCGGCCATGTCATGTTTATGTTTTTTTGCTTTTATGGTTGTGGTTTTGGTTTTGTTTTCAAAAACACTTAATTTCACTTTTTTTTTTATATTTCTTTTTTACTTCTTACTTATACTTTGTATTCAACTTTTCCTTCTGTAATAATGCGACAACGACTTTTATATTTTGCCTTGTGGCTGCCTCGCTGCTGCCTTGCCCCCCAGTTGTTGTTGTTGTTGTTGTTGTTGTTGTTGTTGTTGTTGGATGGCTCTTTTTTTAACAATCTGCTGCTCATGACTTCATTTGGAATTCAGAAAACGAACGTCAGCAGCACACAGCACACACAGAGCTGTGGAGAGCAAAGAGCGCACAACGCGTAAAAGTAGGTGAATGGAGCATGAAGACGCCAGCCCAGCCATGCGGCAGTAGGAGGTGGAGGAGGAGGGTGGGTGGACTCTGGCTCGTAGGACCAGGACGTATGCAGATACATTTGTATCTTTAAGATCGCTTCGTGGCTATTGTAACACAATTATTCGCCAGACCGACCGACCCAGACGCAGACCGATATTATATCTATAATTAATTAATGCGTGCTGTGGCGGCCGCCCTGCCTATGTGGACACCACCTGCCCTCGGGTTCTGCTCGAGCGATCAACACACAAAAAACAACAACAACAACAACTGAGACAAGAGACAAGAGAGCAGCTGTTTGCCTTGGGCAGTGGGATGAAAACGCTTGTAGAGGGTATTGGGCAATGAAAACGCGTGCCTTTGCTGTATTTACTGCTGCTGTTATAATATGTACAAAGTGACCTCAATACGCATTACTATGGGCACACACACACACCACACCACACCACTCTACATTCACAATTTATCTGCAGCTGCACTGGTCGGAGGCCCAGCAAACTACTGGCCCAGGTCGCACTTAGATTACAACAAAATACACTGAACGGCAATTAAATATGAATTAATTACAACGCTTTTGATTCACGCAATATTTCTCTATTTCGTTTCTCCGCCGCCGAGTCCCTCTCGCTCACGAAAATTTTTCGCTGCCTTCGGACAGGCCAGGCACAGGCACAGAGGCCTTTCGTTGGCCGTATTTCGCCTTTCGCCACCCCCTGGCCGTAACGCTGACGCTACCAATTGCCCGATTTACGCACCCAATTACGACTCGAACTTATCCGCATTTACTTCACTATTTGGGGGCTTTTTTATGGCCAATCGATTGGCCAAATTCCGTGCACTTTCGCGAAAAACAAACACCCGCACTTTTTTTTTCTCTTCTGCTGCTCCACTGCTCGGGTTCGAGTGCCACTGTGCGATTTTTTATTTTTGGTATTATTTTTTTATTATTTTGTTATTAATTTAACATTATTTCCGACCTCTTGTTTCTCGTTCCGAACGTGCATTTTTTTATCTCAACTGGCGCACTTTTGCATGTAACCGATTGCTACCCGTTTCTAGTCGATGAAGTGCGAAACGTATCTCGTATCTTTCGGATGTTTGGATGTTTAACCGATGGTCAGCTCCGAGATACTCAGCTGTTTTTGGCTTGAGCTACAGATAGCTAACGGAAATCTGGCTTTTTTAGCTATTTTGTCAACCCTGAACATGAGAGAGAACCTCTATTTACCTCTCGCTCGAACAGCCAGTCCGCTCTCAGCTGTTTTTGGCTAGAGCTAAATCTAGCGATTTTCGGCTATTTCAGCAGCTCTCAAGTTTCAGGGAAGTCATTCATCATAACCGGTTCAAACATTCGATATTTATATTTTTCTTACATAATTTTCTTAAAATTATAGTCTTAATATGTCAAATACATATTAATTATTTATTTTTTGTTATAATTTCTTAATTATCCTTTATATATTTTATAATTCCAATTGGATTTTAAAAAAATAACGACCACGCTGTAACCTTTGGTCACTCTAACATCAACAAAAGGCGCGCGGTACCGGCAGCTATTAAGAGAATTCGCGAAATTTGTAAATAAAGTGAATTAGTGAAAGGATAAATATGTCCTCCAGCAACGCCTGCAAGATGCTGCTGCTCGGGCGCTGCCTTCATGCCGTGCTCATGAGTGCAGCAATTCAGTTTCAGCTCCTGCTCGTGTTTCTACTCTTGGTAAACTTCCAGCTCCTGAGACCGCTGGATTGGGTTAGTGGCACTGTCGGTCTGATATGCAGCTGGTACACCTGGTTTGCCAGCATTCCGCTACTAGCGGCTGTTGTGCTCTACGGTGTGGCCCTGTGCCAGCAGCACTTGGTGGAACGCCCCTACTGTCCCACACGTTACCGATGGATTCTGCATTATGGGCCGCGAAAACTGTTCTTCCTGGGCGCCCACCTCCTGGTGGGTTTTCTTACGGCGTGGCTGTATACAGGCTATCTCCAGACCGACTACAGGTGGGTGAAACAAAGCTATACGAATGCCATAATAAAAACACTACCGATTTTTAGGCATCTTAGTTACAAGTGCTACGGCGAGGACTGCATTAGTGGCTACCATGTGTATATGCTTGGAATGGGTCTTACAGCTGGTTGCTATTACTTTGTGTCAGTGCACAAACGCCAGGAAGACTCCATTAAGTTCCCCATTGTGGAACAAACCCGTGGCGAGAAACTCCGTGAGCTTATCTACGCCACCCTGGCACGATCCTTGGTCCGATCAGTGGTTCCAACGCTCAGTTATACCGTGGTCTTTTCGATTTTGGGACGGCTGGTTTGCCTTAAGTTGAGTCATATCTTAGGCGTAAATATGGATGAGCGAATGGAGGGCTTTTTCGGTGTTGTAACTAATGTTAAGCTTCTGTTCTATGGCTGGTTGCTGACGGCCCAGATACTAAGCAACATGCATCTGATGCGTAGCTTCTACGGCATACTGCTCTGTGAGGATCTGCCTCTGGTTATAACCAAGCAAAAAGCCGCCTTTGCAAACGAGCAGGAAATTTCTCTAGTGTCCGCTCTTGGAATCCTCAACGTATATATTGTGCAGTGTCTGGCGGCCAACTTCTTCTATAAGCTGGCAATGCGCAAGGACTCAAAACTGCGAGCGGAAATCTTCCAGCTAACAGAACCCGGCAACCGTCCGGCCAACTGGCGGGCACTCTGCGATCAGTGCCTAGTCATTCTAGGCAGCTTTACAGATGAGCTGATCGAGTCCATGCAAAAGATAAGTGTGCTCAAGGGGTCACAAAACCTTCCACTGCCACAAACAATTGACTCCACTAGCACAAGCCTCATGGCAGAAAGGATATTGCTGCGCCAATATAACCAGATGCACGGTATCCGGCCAATAGCCTCGCCAACAAGGAATGCCGCGTTTGATCAGCCTGCTGACGGCATCCGGCACATGCCCAACTGGTGTGAGCGAGTTTCAACGCAACTAGAAGAGTCTGTGCATCGACTGGTGAACCGAATTCCTGGAATTGTATTCCTTTTCAGTGAGCCAGAGGGTTCTAAAACAAACTTTTTGTTATCCAACTCCCAGCACGTAGTCTACATCACCCAGGCTTTATCCCAAATCTGCGTGGCGTCCATAAACGAGGACCGGTACGGTGTGGTGCAAAACGACCTGCCGGCCATCATCAAAGTGATCAACAAGTTACGGGGTGAGCTTGACAAACTGAACAGCGTGATGGGCAACCTACGAGCGCCTAGCTCTGAATTCAACGTTCTGCGATCCGCCGTGCGTCGCAGTCTTTACACCATCTGTAACTCTTTCTTCGACTATCTGGGGGATCTGTTGCCCCCTGGAGAGGAGCTTCACCAACTTCAGGCCTTTATTCAACAGGAATAGAAGGATTTTTACACCACCTCATCATTACACTCATTTTGTACACTGTTTTTCATCTCTATTTAGTTGTTATTTGCGGTAACAATAAAAATTAATAAATACAACTACAAATGTACAATAGTTATATACAGCTATTGACTTTTTTACTTAGAGTACGTAATGGTAACACGCGAATTGATCATAACAAGCATCAATGAATGGTCTTCAGGTGAATGTGTTGTACAAGCGAGAGCACTTATTGTTCCTCCATGGCCACAGCGAACATAAGCAGGGCCACATCCTGCTCCAGTCGCTTGGGTCATTGTTCTACTTTTAATGGCAGGGAAGATGCAACGGTGGCCGCCTCACTGAGTGACTGCTCCAGCCGTTCCGCAACCTCGTCAATGTGCTGTAGGGCCTCCTTCTTTTTGCGATTGCGGCCATCGACGAAAATCTGCGTCTCTAGGAAGTTAAGGGCACGGAATGCCATGCCGCCTTGTGGATCATAAAAGCCTTCAAAACTCTTGGGTTTCCGGGCGTTGGCGCTCTGATCTGGTGTAGTGGGATCGAAGGGAACATACTCCTGCAGAGGCTCTTTATGCCATTTAAAGATATTGCGCGAATCTGGAGAAAGGGGATATCTTGAAGCTCTATTGTTTGGCAGAAAAAGTAACTCACTAACCCAAGTCAGCTAGTACTCGGGTCATCTCGCGTATCTGGGCGTCCTGTCGCTCCAGGCGGAAGCTCATCTCCGTCAGGGTGTTGGTCAGCTGCATCTTTTCCATTTGCGCGACCTCGTTCTTCTTGTTTTCCTTGGCGGTTTGTCTGATGGGATACGTCTTTGTTCAAATGAATGTCAGTGCATATTACTTGCAAGGTGCACCTACCGCGAGTACTCGAAAATCAGCAGACCGGCGCCAATGGCAAAGATGATGAACTCGCCCAGCAGATTGGCACCCAGCTCTATGGCCATTGCCTCGTTCAGGGGCGGCACATTGACACTCCTTCCGCCCATGTTCAGCGCCCACATCTTGGTCTTGACCTCTACCCAGTTGTAAACTGAAATAAGAAGGCATTTAATCACTCTCTTAATCACCGCCAGATTGTATTACTTACACTGTGCCGGCGGCATGCAAATATACTTCCTAAAAAACGGGCTGGACTTGGCGTTTGACTTAAGGACGTTGGCGATCGGCTTGCTGACCTGCTTGATGGCCAAGACGCCGAGCTTGGCCGCAGGAAAGACACCTATTACCATTTCTTGATTTATTCCAGGCTATTACAAAATATTCACGAAGAGCTTTGCGGACCAGTTCAGTGTTACCAAATGTGGGGAGTCGCAGTAGTCCAAACGCGCTGCTTCGCATGTCGGCCACACTGCGGAATTTGAATCTGCCATTTTGACAGAAGCTGACCGTAAATAAGGACTTTTCCGTTTCCGTTAGAGGTAAGTTTGCGAATTGGCCGAGAAATTTTCTTAAGTGAATCAAACAGCAGAACTAAAAAAAAAAACATGCCGGGAGTTACCGCAAAGGACATCGATCAGCACGTTATGACCAAAGCGTTGGCTGCTTTTTTGAAGAAGTCTGGAAAAATTGTGGTGCCGGAACAAGCCGACTACATCAAAACCGGCAAGTTTAAGGAGACAGCGCCCACCGAGGCAGAGTGGTTCTACACGCGTTGCGCCTCCATTATGCGGCACTTGTATCACCGCAGCCCTTCCGGAGTGGCTGCTTTCACCAAGATCTACGGTGGGCGCAAGCGCAACGGTGTGCGTCCGTCTAACTTCTGTCGTTCTTCAGATGGATGCATTCGCAAGGTAAGGTTCTCGGCTAACATTATTTTTCTTGATTTGCAAAAGCATGATTCCTTTCAAAGGCTCTTCAGGCTTTGGAGGCGGCTCGCATGGTGGAGAAGCACCCTGATGGCGGCCGCATTTTGACGCCCATTGGACAACGTGACATGGACCGCTTGGCTAACAATATTGTGGCCAAGAAGCGCGAGGCAACAAACCAGCAGAACCCCGTGGTACTTATTTCTTAAACTACATAAATACATACATATGTATGTACGTACATGAGTGTGTAGAATTTGCGCTGGACGCTTTCAAATACAAATACAAATGCAAATATGAACATGATTCGAGAAAATTTTATTGGCACGTGCACAAAATGGCGGACTTATTTAAAGATGGCTGCTTATGGCTAAAATATGGCTTCTGACAGCGCTAGCTTGTCCACAAATCAGTGGCTTTTTGATTTGCAGGCGTTTTGAAACCGCGCACTATGACCTCGGCCTGCCACCAACCGCTGCTCTCCTTGGAAGACTGACCGCAATGTCGGCTCTTGTCACATTCTTCTTCCGAGTTGTCCAGTTTCAGCAAGCCCAGATCCTCATAAATGTCGAGCTGCCTACAGCATCGCAGCTCCGCAGCAGCACTATCATGTTCATAAAGCAGGTGCAAATGCACATTTTTGCAACTGCGAGGTAGTTTACTAAGTACATCCTTGGGGATCCAGTTCCCCGTTTCCTGCTGCTTTTCGTGGGTGTTTTCAACGTCTTTAAAAAGTTCCATTTCTAGAAATACATTTGTAGCATTAAGCTCGGTGGAAAAGAGCGTGTATAGCTCCTCGCAGGTGAGAAGCCGAAGTAGGGACTGATTAATGCGGCCTTCGGGCAATGCATGATGCTCGCAATAGTGATGTCTGGATATGGAGTCGTGTGGGATGTGCAGGGTGTAAGACTCCGTAGGCATAAAAGTGTTTGTGCCAAAAAGAAACCTTATACTCTTCACATCCGAGGTCCTGAACGTATGACGGATAAGCTGAGGAAGGAGAAATGAAGGGGTCACATTACTAGGAAGGATATGAAAGGTTGTTCACCACCCACCTCTCTCATGTCGCTGATGGATTCCTTTGTCGCCTTGGCCCTGGACCGCTGCTGGTTGAGCTGATAATGGGAAAAAGAGTCCCGTTCATTTAGTTCGGCCTCATCCGACCATTTTTCCACGTAATATTTGTAGGTTTTATAGACAAAGGGAATCTGGCGGCGTTGAAAGAGGAGAAAGTCCAGAATGCCATTCACGAACTCAGCAGCTGTCCCCGTTGTCAAGACCTCAACGTTGTCAAGTTGAAGATTGATGTTTTTTATATTTGGATCCATTTAAAGGAATAAATAATAGAAATTCAGTTTTTAACAATTCGCGGCAGAATCCAAACAATAAACAAACAAACAGTGCTGCCTGATTAGGGCCAAGAACCAATCGAGTTGCCAGACAGTTATATTTCGGCCGTGTGTACACACTAAATAACCATCCGCAGCCAACTTTGCGTTGGTTATGACTAGTAGAAATTCTGTTTGTTGCCGACGATAAAAAAAAATTCACAAAAGATTTAGGCAGAAAGAAAGCACAGCAGCAATATGGTAAGATCCCACGCAAAAAACAAATGAATTTTCCCTTAACTGTAGTACTGGTACAGGGACAAAATCAATCGGCCCAAGGGGGAGCTGGAGACAAGAAGGATGACAAGGATAAAAAGAAGAAGTACGAACCTCCAATTCCGACCCGCGTCGGCAAGAAGAAGCGCCGTGCCAAGGGTCCAGATGCAGCCATGAAGCTGCCTCAGGTGACGCCGCACACCCGCTGCCGCCTAAAGCTGCTCAAGTTGGAGCGCATCAAGGACTACCTCATGATGGAAGACGAATTCATCCGCAACCAGGAGCGTCTGAAGCCACAGGATGAAAAGAACGAGGAGGAGCGCTCCAAGGTCGACGACCTGCGCGGTACACCTATGTCGGTGGGCAACCTCGAAGAGATCATAGACGACAATCATGCCATTGTGTCAACGTCTGTCGGTTCCGAGCACTACGTTAGCATTCTATCTTTCGTGGACAAGGACCAGCTGGAGCCTGGATGCTCCGTCCTGCTCAACCACAAAGTTCACGCTGTCGTAGGAGTTCTTAGCGATGACACCGATCCCATGGTCACCGTGATGAAGCTGGAAAAAGCCCCTCAGGAGACATACGCGGACATTGGTGGCTTGGACACCCAGATCCAGGAAATCAAGGAGTCGGTGGAATTGCCACTGACACATCCTGAGTACTACGAGGAGATGGGCATCAAGCCACCAAAGGGTGTTATCCTATATGGTCCTCCTGGTACAGGAAAAACCTTGCTGGCCAAGGCGGTGGCCAATCAGACCTCCGCCACTTTCCTGCGCGTTGTGGGTTCCGAACTGATTCAGAAGTATCTGGGAGACGGACCTAAGCTGGTTCGAGAGCTTTTCCGCGTGGCTGAGGAGCATGCTCCCTCCATTGTGTTCATCGACGAAATTGATGCCGTCGGTACAAAGCGGTACGACTCGAACTCTGGTGGCGAGCGAGAGATCCAGCGTACCATGTTGGAGTTGCTCAACCAGCTTGACGGATTTGATTCGCGTGGTGACGTCAAGGTTATCATGGCCACTAACCGCATTGAGACTTTGGATCCGGCGCTGATCCGCCCCGGTCGTATCGACCGAAAGATCGAGTTCCCACTGCCGGATGAAAAGACTAAGCGCCGCATCTTCACCATTCATACATCCCGTATGACACTGGCCGAGGACGTTAACCTCAGTGAATTGATCATGGCTAAGGATGATCTCTCGGGTGCTGACATAAAGGCCATCTGCACAGAGGCCGGTTTGATGGCGCTGCGCGAGCGCCGCATGAAGGTGACCAACGAGGACTTCAAGAAGTCGAAGGAAAGCGTTCTCTACCGAAAGAAGGAGGGTACGCCCGAGGGCCTGTATTTATAAGTCGCAAGAAGATCTACTATGTTCAGTTAATTTTGATAATTCCCAAACACATGCATTAAACCACATTAACATTATCAGTCTCCCTCTTTTGGGGTGTGAATAAATTAATAGTTTCTGGGATAGTTTGTGCGAACTGATCCATCAAATTGTCCAAGTATTTCGCTTGCTTTTCGGACACCTCGTTGAGGGGTACTCCTTGATGTATCAAGTATTGGAAGTGCGTCTTATCTGTGGCCTCTGGTAGGTCAAGTTGCTTGAACTTTTGGGTTTCGTCGGGTTTTGGCAAGTTTTCGGTTTCAAAATAGGCACTCAGTTTGGCCAGTTCAAAGCCTGTCTTAAAGCCATCCTCGTAGCCCCGATCGAAGCTGGCTTGGAAGACCTTTTCCCTTCCATCGGCGATGCCATCAACGTAGCTGATCTGTAAAATAAAGATTATTTTAATTCGTATAGGAAACTGAAGCATTCAAAAACAGCTGTTTAATCCAAAGTGTGGCCAAGGAATTCTAGCTCCTCTGCACGCTTTTAACCCACCTTTGCGACTTTATCTTGAACGCGCTGATAGTTTCTTGAGCTAACGACACTAAAGTCCGTTTCTTCTTCTGAACTTGCTAGCTCAGACATGGTTTTAAGTCAAATTTAAATCTCTAATCCGAGATCACTCGGAACCAAAATATTTCGCCAGATCAGTGTGACCCTAACTAACAATACCAAACTAGACCGTTGACTTGAAATAAAGTTTTCCAACACTGTGCACATTTAAATTTAAAAATTTCTAGTTATAGTAAGCGAGCTTTGGTTAATTTTGATATCAGAATTTTAGGGGTAAAAAAATGGTTGTTGGGGCATTTCCAATAGCGAAGCTTGGCATGTTGGGAATGAAACACATTAGCAAGCCCATCAGTAATCTAATCAAGCAGACGGCGAAAAAAAATGAAAACTTTAAAAGGTTCGTCGTTTCACCTCCTGCTCGTTGTAAGTATTCCGGTGTCTATGGACGTAATGATATGATTGAAAAGTAGCGGGTTCCAGTATATCATAAAATCGATGTGCGTTCGAAGATGTGGATGCTTGGCCTGGGGCAACCCGATTTCATTCCTCCGCTCACAGAGGCGATGACCATTCAAATGGGCGGTGATATTCTTGGGGAGCTAATCATTTTCCTCTTAGGAGTTTTTTTCATAATGGGAGAAGTCTCCAGGTTTGTGGTCTCAGAGTAAGTCATAATGTAGAGTTTTGTACGATTTACAGACAAGCTAAGAAGGACAAAAAAAAGCATGAAGACCACCGTATCCGACGAGTAGAACTAGAATCGCGAATAGAAAACTTAACGGAAAAGGTAAAGCGTCAGGATCTTGAAATCAATCAGCTAAAACGTTTGGTTTAGCACTGAACGGCATTAGGTATGACTTGTTTGGATTTTTAAAAAGTTTAGTTGAATCAAAAGTGTCATTTCTGTTTCAGCTTTGAAAATTTCAGTTTTAAAAATGGTGATAGGCAGTTTTCCGTTGGGAAAAGTTGCTGTGTTCGCGGTTAAGCGGATCAGCACACCGTTTAGTAAGCTGCTATTGCATGTTGGAAAGCACTCTCCACTCTTCCGACGTGTTGTCATACATCCTCCAGGTCAACTATACCATATCATGGAGACCCGCTCTAAGATGCGAATGCTGCATCTTCCCCAGCCCAGAAAAATTCCTCCTCTTACCGATCCTCAGGCTACCCGGTTGGGTGCCAATATTCTAAGCGAGGTCTTTGTGGTACTTATTGGATTAGGACTAATTTTTTTTGAGCTGATGCGGTGAGTTATGAAAATTAATGCATTGCTTTCTCAACTATTGTCCTTGTTACCCTAGACAAATGCGCAAGGATAAGAAACTTCATAACGATCATACAGAGAAGAGACGATCTATAGATGAACGTCTGGCCAAAATAGATTTAGATGTGGAGCGGCATGAAAAAGAAATCTCTTGGCTTAAAAAACATCTTAACGTAGAAGAGTTTTGTGAGGAATTTTGTGAGCAAAAGGAAGAATAGCCTACTGTATAAAAATTAATTTGAATGTTTATAAAAGTGCGCGTTTAATAAAACTAGAAAAAAACATGGGTTTGCTTATATTCAAAAACTATTTAAATATTGAAAAACCGCCAAGTGGTCTTCCAACGGCAAATAACTGCTTAGCCATACGGTCACACTGACAAACAGCCGCATCCAAACAAAAAGTAAATATACATATATCTGCAATCCTCTTTTCGAGTTCCTCTTGATCGTGTCGTAGCTACAGCATGTCGGAGAAACCAACGGTTTTGATTTTGGGTGGTAAGTCCCCGACTCGCAACCTCCATTCCCCTTCGATTCGGCTTATCACCAAGTGCATCGTTTTTGTGCCCCGTAGGCTGCGGTTTCATTGGACGCAACTTGGCCACTTATCTGCTGGACAATGAACTGGCGCAGGAAGTACGGATCGCCGATAAGACCCCTCCCCAAATGGCCTGGCTCAACGAGGAGCAGTCAGCTCTCTTCGAGAGCGATCGCCTGGAGTTCTGCAGCGCCAACCTAATAAACGCCGGTAGGTAGCCTTCACGTAAGGTGACTCACTCTTTTGGATGCAAATGGGGTGATGAAATTAAAAGATGACTCTGTTTGGTTGGGGGCTGTGGTAAACAGTGATATCTAAGATATTATATAAGCAATGAGTACCGATTTAACTTGGCTCCAACGGTTCTGTATCTTACCGACCCACCCTAATGAATATGTACCTAAACTGGTTCTGGAATTCTCTTCCACTTGCAGCGTCTTGTAAGGCGGCCTTCGCGCCACACCCCACGACCGGAAGGGCATGGGACATTGTGATCAATTGTGCAGCCGAGACGCGTGCCAACCAGGATGATGCCGTCTACAAGGAGGGAATTTTAAAGCTAAGTCTCAACTGCGCTAATGAAGCTGCTGCCCAGCGGGTTAAGCGCTACGTTGAGCTCAGTTCCGGCTGTATGAATAGCAGCGAAAAAACGCCACTGAAGGAGGACTGCAAGCTGGACCCGTGGACTGGTGTGGCGAAGCAGAAGCTAAAGGTGGAGAAGGAGCTGGCGAACATCGACGACCTTAGCTACACGATCGTCCGTTTACCCGTGGTCTATGGCATAGGAGATAAGCGCTACTTGAGTGAGTGAAAGCCGATAGCCGATAATTGATGTAATTTCCAAGTGGGGAAATGCTAACCACCCATTTCGCTTCGTTCACAGTGCCGCGCATTATAATCGCTGCCATATACAAACACCTCAATGAGACAATGAAGCTGCTGTGGAACGATGCCATGCGACTGAATACGGTGCACGTATCGGATGTGTGCGCCGCCATTTGGCAACTCGCACAGAGCCCGAAAACCGCCGGCCAGGTGTACAACATCGTCGATGATTCAGCCTCGACGCAGGGCACCATTAGCAACCTGCTGGTGGATATTTTCGACATCAATGTTGACTATTTTGGCATTGTTATGTCGAATCTGACTAAGGTATGAAGAAGCTCTTATTTTTTAGTTGAAGATTATACAATTTATTAACAAATCAATTGTGTTCCCAGCTTTATCCCACAGACACCGTCGGTGAAATCAACGACAAGCACATGGGACCCTGGGCCGAGATTTGCCAGGGTAGCGGAATTGACAACACACCTCTGACGCCTTACCTCGACGAGGAGCAGCTTCACCACAAGCACCTCTACTTGGACAACACGAAACTAAAAGACTTTGGCTACGTTCTGCAGCATCCGAAAGTCACTCGAGAGCTGCTTATGGAAATGATCAACGACTATGTGAAACAGCAATTGTTTCCGAAATCTTTGACCCTCTGATTCCACACTCCTCTCAAAAACGCAGCACCAAGTTGACATGCACTCCGATCAAGAGACATTTATACCCTATATATGATAAGCAAAACGATTTATTATTGAAATTAGCCATAGGTTTTAACGATTATTCTTGCAATTTTTTATACGTAACGATACGGACCACGATACTCCCCCATGTACGCTGTGCTGTATCTCAGTTTTTTGCCACAAAAGTGTACTTATAGTATTATATAGATCCTTTATGTTTTTTTATACATTCCAATCGATCTACCAATGTATACGTATTTGCATACTAGTAGTTGTATTTGTATCCACGAGACTAACAATTATATTCCATTGTGATGTGCTAAGTGGCCAACTTCAATTGACAATTAAACTGCACTTTTTAGAGTTTAGTTTTGTGTATATTTGATTATTTTAATGTTACGGCAACGGAGCGATCGTACGATAAACGTGACATGACGGTACGAGACGTTGCGATACATAATTGAAAATGCAATTGCTTCAGTTTTGACGCTCATGAACTTAAAAATTACAGAAAATCAACAATAATAAGCTCGCAACTTTTTCAACTTAATACGAAACACGGGCAAAAGTTGGGTTTTTTGTTTTTTTGTTGTTGTTTAAAGTTTAAAAAGAGTAATTCCGGCCAGCTCCAATCTGCCGTAGATATAAATTACGTTTCGGTTTGTGACTTTTTTCATCTAAAACGGCGGTGCAAGGAGCAATAGCAATAGTTATGCTCTTGAGTTCGATTGCTTAATTAACTAGTTAAGAGTCTGGGGGGCTAATCAGCACACTCAGGCTGAGGCTTAGAAGGCCAGGCCGGCATCGCGGTATGTGGTGAAGATCTTCTCGATGGAGTTGACGTAAGCAGCGGTTCTCAGGTCCAGACCCAGGTTGTACTTCATGGCCGTCTTCATGATGGCACGCGCCGAGCGCTCCATGGTGTAGTCAAGGCCAGAGTGGACGATGTCCTTCTCGGAGGCGCCGGAGATGCGCTTCTGGAACGACTCGGAGGGGGTCACGGGGATGCGGCCACCGACGCGGCCGAAACGACGCTCCAGGGACTCTTGGACAGATTCTGCAGGAGGAGGCAGCGATGGGGGGATACAGAAACAGACAAAGCAATTAGTTGAGAGTGCCACATGCTTCGGGGATCACAAATATATATATATCACAAGGATCAAAGCCACCAAAGAACTACAGAGATTAGATTTGAGTATTTGGAATGCGGATTTAAAGCAATATATAGTTGATGTAATGGATTCAGATATTAGTCAGTGATTAATGCAAACATGAGATTAATGGCCATAAGGAAACAATGAAACTAATAACGCCAGGACTAACTACAAAAACAACAGATATTACAGAATGGTAGATATGGTATGAGATTGCTTGGAAAGAAAGTAATTAGGTCTGATTTATAGAGTTTTAATGGATGGGTGGGAAACGTAAAAGAACTATTAATAATTACAATGTACCGTCCATAATGACTCTTTCAATTGACTGTTGGACTGAGGCTACATTGGTGACAGAGAAACGGAAAAAAGAAGAAAAAGAGTAAACAACGAATTACTTAGATGATACTTTAAAATTAAATTACGGTCTTAAAGTCTCTTGTGTGTGGTTGATAGTAATAGGGGGGGGAAAAAGAAAATTTGGAAAGAGGATCTGAAGTTGAGATCTGAACCAATCTGGGAAGAGCAAATGCTGAGAGGAGCAAACGCTATTCTGTACGGGTTTTGTATTTTCTAAATTATAGCATAATTAATCCATAAACCGATCAGTAATGAAGTGGCATGATCAATGAGCAGAGATAGATAGATAGAAAGTTTTATGAGGAGCAAGTGCCTTCAAGAGCCTATAATAGTTTGGAAGAATTCGATTTGAAACCTACCGAGCAGATGGTAGTTGGACTCACGCTCGTACTTGAAGGTCAGGCGACCGTACGAGACGTGGTTGAGGTTCTTCAGCCACTCGAAGAAGGAGACGGTGACACCACCGGCGTTGATGTACAGATCGGGGATGACCAGGATGTTGCGGTCGATCAGGATCTTGTCGGCAGCGGGAGTGGTGGGGCCGTTGGCAGCCTCGGCAATGATCTGGAAGATTCTTCGTTAATCATATTCATAAAATACCCATAAGGATGTGGCTCTTACCTTAGCTTGGATTCTGTGCGCATTCTCGCTGGTGATGACCTTCTCGACGGCAGCTGGAATGAAGATGTCGCACTTCTCGAACATCAGGTTCTCGCCATCGTATGGCTTGGCGTTCTGGTAGCCGACAATGGTGCCGTGCTCGTTCTTGTAGTCCTCCAGGAGCTTGGGGTCAATGCCCTCGGGGTTGAACAGAGTACCGTCGTGCTCGATGACGCCAATGCAGGTGGCTCCGGCGCGGGTCAGGTAGCGGGTGGTGTGCAGGCCCACGTTACCGAAGCCCTGGACGATGAAGGTCTTGCCGCCCCATCCGGGAGTGGTGCCTAAACGAGAGAGAATACCTTAAACTCCAGTTCTTAGGTAGAAACCAAAGAAGCATCCTTACCAATCTGGCTCATGTAGTTGGCCTCGTTGATGAAGTTTTCCAGACCGTGGAAGACACCGCGACCGGTGGCAGAGACACGTCCGTGGATACCGCCCTGGTTGATGGGCTTGCCGGTGACACAGGCATGGGCATTGATGTCCAGGTGACCGATGGTCTTGGCGTAGGTGTCGGCGATCCAGGACATCTCGCGCTCACCGGTTCCCATGTCGGGGGCTGGCACATCAACGCCGGGTCCAATGAAGCCCTTCTTGGCCAACTCCAGGGTGAAGCGACGAGTGATCTTCTCCAGCTCGTGCTCGGAGTACTCCTTGGGGTTGATCTTCAGACCGGCCTTGGCACCGCCGAATGGCACATCCACACAGGCGCACTTGAAGGTCATCAGAGCGGAAAGGGCTTTGACCTCATCGCGGGAAACGTCCAAAGAGAAACGGATACCTGCAAAGAAAGGACAATTGCATAAGCACATTACGTATACGACAGGTGTACACTGTACAGAACTTGGCGACCTTGATGCAGCTTTCATTTTTGGCCCCAATCCAATAGACAAGTGCCGAAAATAGACGGAAACCCGCACGAATTCCTAACAGAAAGCAAAAGTTTTCCACTAGACGATTTTTTGGCTGCTTTTTGCCACTAAGCACGTGCCCCACGAAAATCGTTGCATCTGGTTAGCGTGGGGAAACCTTTCGACGATGGCGCAACAGTCCCAAGAACAATCCCCATAAAATACTATACGCTTATCTTTATTTGCTTGACACATTAAATGTTTTGATATCTTTGAGAAAGTTGCGATTAGATAAGCTGGTTTCACGCTTGTAATTCCAATTTAATAAGCTTTATTCACTTGTAAAAACTTGAGAGACCAAAGTACTTCGTTTATAGATCGATAAATTGGACCCTAAGCGGTTAGGAAACAAGTCCCCTAAATTTTTATGGTATTTAAACACCCGTGCTAATCACTTAGCTGGTTAGACGAGCCCCCCAAAAAACAAGACTATAATATCTAAAATTAGTTTAGTTCTTTCGATTAGACTAACAGGCCTTGTTGCCAGGGAAAACCCATAGATTATGAACAACATTCTTAGTAAGAAGCAAAAAATTATGATTTGATTTCCGCATTTTAGTTTTCTTTGCTTTATCAGCCGACAGAGTTGCGTGGGCTTGAAACCCAAAACCTATAAACAAAAATACGATGAGTAAACAAATTTGCGAATTACACATCACTTTCTTTATGGCTCATTGCTGAAAAATAATCTAGAAATTACAAAACACTTTAAACTTAATTTTCATGCTGAGATATTGTCATATATTGCTGATGTTTTCTTTACTAATCTATAGGTTCCAGAAGGGCCGAAGCTAAGATCTCTTTTAAACGTCAACTTGCCATATTTAAGAATTTGGTATAGAGTATCTTAGAGTAGGGTGTGGAGACCGTCTTGCCACTTTTTCTTAGCTTTCTGCTGAATGAGCCAAGACGTCAAATCGAATGGAGCCCCGTGGAGCCGAGAACGAAGCCGACTGTACCCAAAGCGCTTGACGACAGCCCACGTTCATTTGCGACGCCCTCTCTATTTGCCGTTTTTGCCTTTTATTTGCTTATGTTTACCATAAAAACAAAATACAACAAAAAATATATCCAATCGGCTGGAAAACAGCAAGACCATAAATTAAAAAAACAAAAAACTAAACCAGTGGCAACCGGCAATCGTATCAGGCGACTTGTTTTCGTTTTTCGCATTAAAAAAATTTAAAGAAAAATAAAAACAAAACACTAAACCCAGCAACAAATTAAAAGGAATCTATTAATGTACTGCTAGCTAGTATGCATATTAGTATGTGTGTATTTCTATACTGCTTATACAATCGGTGCGATAACTTATTTGGGGGCTCGATCGGACGTGGTACATATAGACACATACACAAGCCACGTTTATATGTATCCCCCATTGGCAACAGGGGGCGATCTTTCGAATAGACCAAACCAGTTCCCGCGGGCAGTCAGCTGACCAGAATTCTACGCCATATGATTAAAATGTTAGGTGCAAAAGGCGGGGCTGTTACTGTATGCGTTTCACCCAAAATCCGCCTGTGACGCCTGCCAAGATCTTGGTGTTATGTTGGATAAGATATGGCTGAAGATAGGACCGGAAATGGGGCATATATAGACGCTTATCTGGTCGCACCCCCAGCTGAGTTGGCACCAAGAAACATGCGATTTTGATACAGTTTCCTTCGTGATCCACTAGTTAGTTCGATTCTCCGGACTAACAAGCCTCTGTCGATCGATCCGAATTAGCATATAAAATCGTTCGAGTGCAACTCTCAAGGGAGGCAAATAAAAGCAAAGTATGTTTGCGATACGATAACTGACAAGTACTTGTGGGAAATGCTATTTGCTTGATATGGTCGGAACACTGTGCGTATACTTGTCACGACAACTGTAAGTACATGAAAACATACATATGGATGGTGCAGATAGGGGGGGTGGCACTACACTATCAGTTCAATTGTCGCGCTCGCTTATTTTTTCTGAGATTCATCGAGTTTCAGTTTGATAACGGGTTTGTTGTGTCGTGAGGCAATTAAGCCTCGGGAAGGGTCCAAGTGACAAACCAATTCAGGGCAGTTCAATGAGATAGAAAGTGGCCCGGATCTGGGGGACTGTGTGTAGGGTGTAACCTCCCGATCGTTAAAAAATAATAGAGCTACCAGCACAGTGGTACAGCCATTCGTCATCAGTTTTTGCGCGGCCGTTCGACTTCATTGGGTTTTTATATCTTTTCGTCTGGTTTTCGGTTTTCGGGGCAACGTGACCATCACGTGAACACAAACACGCTGCGGAGAAGCAACACCCCTAGCAAATTAAAACCAGTTTTTTCCTCGCACACATAAAACCATCAGCAGACTCTGACGTCCGGACTCCAGAGGGAATGAAACGAAATTTGCGAGGCGGTATCCAAAATGCCGAAAGCAATTTCGCCGAAATTTGAGACCGGACTCAATGTATTAAACAATTAACAGTTAACTGGCAGAGCGTCAGCAAATTAGCATTAATTAGAGCAGGGCTGTGTCCAAGTCTGCGTCTAAGCATAGGTTCCATTGATACTGGCCAAACAGTACTAAATAAACAAACAAACTAGCAACTTTTAGCACCTCAGATGGCAGCCGAAATAGCCGAGAGCCATATTTAAGTGAATTATTAACGAGGTCCGGTCGAAACCTGGGCCGAACAGTTGGTAACAGGCTGTTTACAATATTTGTGACAAAGCTCGAACCACATGATCGATCCGATTCGTAAAAACAAGATCATAAATGTTGAGGAAGCGTGGAAATTATAATCGTAAACAACTAATTCTAGGGGCGAAGAAATTTTCGGCTTTCGGCTGTTTTTGTTTTCTATTTTTGCGCATAGCCAAGGTCAGAAGATAAGAGTCCCCACTCAAGTATTTATATTTTTTTTTTGGCTATTGATAAGCACTTAACGCTTGGAAACTGATTCTATCACCAATTATACGGGAGACTGGAAATAGTTGGAAACAAACAATTACCGCTGCCTGACAACAAGCCTTCAAATATTTTGGGTGGCTTCTGGGGGGGTGTAGCTATTTTTTACCCGCACTTGACTCACTGTGCAGAGCTGTTCCCATTCGAATTGGAAAGCAAACAAAACACAAGCAAAATTTCAGTAAAAATAGCACCCAGCCAGAGGCAAAAAAAAAATTAGAGAAAACATAGAAACAAAAATCGAAATGAATTCGCCAGCTCGAAAATAATAAAATGTGCGAAAAGACGACCGAACTGAAATTATAAAACCCGACACATGCATATGTTACCCGCGGCACACTTGAAGGGTTTGGAAAATTAATGAAAACACACGTGTAACCCAGCTCAGGCACTTATGCAATTCGGAATAGAATCTAGTAGATTGTGGAAAGAAACCCCAAAAAAAAAGGGGGCTGGCTGGCTAATAGGCCGGTCCGCTATAACGTAAACAAAACAGGCGGCAGAACATGCGCACACTGGCGGCAGGGGGAGGTTGAACACTTTGGGTTACATAACTCGGAAAAGGCAAGACATAACGTCAGAACTGCCTAAAGGAAAAATCGATTTTGCAACGAGCAACAACGGCTGATTTTTGGGAGCAATATGTATTCTAAACCAGCAACACACTTCACCAGAATTGAGAGAAATAAGTTCTTTGAATTGCAAAATAATTGAAAAAGAAACTTAATCGTTCCCGGCCCTAAAATTTCATGTACTTGCCTCCCTTGGTGGGCGTCTTGTGGGTGCTGTGCTGGGCCCTGTAGCCGGTGATCATCTCGTAGTTGCCAGCATCACGGCGGAGGGGGAAGGCAATCTCGATAATGTGGTCGCAGGGCTGCATCAGCATCAGGATGCCCTTAACCTTCTGCTTCTTCTCGTCGCGGGTCAGCTTGCCCTTCATGTCATCGACCAGGCTCTCCTCGGCGATTTGGCAGCCGCGGTGGAAGAAGTACTCGACCATGTCGAAGAAACGCGGATCCTTGGCGGTGGGCACGTCCTTTAGACGGTCCGGAATCTGGTGCTCGGAGGCATAGCCGCGGGAGTGCATCACGGCGGTGGGCAGGGCCTTGGCCAGCGTGGTCAGCTCCTGCTGGCGGAGGGCGCCCTGGCGGGCCAAACTCTTCAGGTGATACATGGCTGCTTCTCCGGGTTCTTGACTCTGCTCTTCTCAACTTCTACTGTCTGCTGCTAAGCCACCAATGCTCCACAACCGCTTGCTGTTGGACGCGCCGCCAAACTGAACGTTTTCAAATTAACGTGCCTATAATATACCATGTATTCGTATACCATGTATTCCACCACCAACCCTAGGGTTTAACACGACTTTTTTTCGAGTGTCTTAGGTTCGTGTGGTCTGTTCGGCAATTCGTTCCGACTTTGGGAGAGCGAAAGAGAAACTTCCCACGTTTTCGGCATTTTTCTCGCCATTTCTTTCATTTCCTCTCGCGGGCGCCAGAGCTTTCAAACATGGGGACATGGCGTTGCCAGGGCAAGATTAGATGTAAAGTGTTATCGGTTTTACGTTCAAAGATTATCACTGACTGGATTATCTTAAGCAAAGTGTCGAAATTATTGGGAAATCAATCGTGTAATTGCTGAGGAAGCTGTACACTTTAACTTTAAAGTTATTGATTGGCAATATTGAACATAATTACCTTTTATTGTACCACACGTAAATCCCCAAAGTACCAATATAGAATATGATTCTTTTTATCTTATAAACTATATATGTAAATCCTTTTCAAATTTTACTCATTTGAATTTTCGATATTTCCTTCTCACGAATGGTCTCACACATAACATCAAATAAGCTTAAAACCAGTGTTGAGCAATCCACAAAAGTAATCTCAAGTTCAGCTCAACGGAACCGGTTCACTGAAAGACCGCCCAATTCAAACTCCAACACTTTCATGTAAACTTAAAAATATAAAAATCTTGTGGACTATATTTGAAGTAATAGAATACAATTATACAAGAACTTAGGCAAGTAGAGTGCTGTTTTGGTCGTGGTATATATTGCTCAGTGAGGAACGTATGAAGGCGTCGCTACGCTCCACAAAACCATCCAAGTGAGTCCACAAAAACCAAAAGGATAAAGTCCAGAAGAGCACCTTGCTGACCCAGTCGAGGATGTAGAGGCGACGTAGAACTTTGCGAGCATGGGGCAGGGTGGCATCGCTCTCGCCCAGAATGTAGGTCCGCATACCGACGATGTAGTTGCTGATATACGTCTCCCAGTTGACCTGCCCCACCGAAGTGTCAAACAGGTCCTGGTCTATGCGATTTAGCTGGCTGCTCATTTCCTGGAATCGCTCGTTTCGGAATTCCCACTCCTTAGTTGTGTAGTACTGTAGAAGCTTTAGTCCCATCGATACCTTTCGTTGCACGTTCAGCAAGCTAGGAAACGAAAGGTTTAAAATTAATTGCTATGCTTTTATAAAAAATATTAAATACTTACAATGGCTTCTGGCCAAAGATCAGTAGCCAAAAGTCAATGAAATAGGCGGGAAGATAGTGGAAGAATATAACGCAGAACATGTGATGGTAGTAGTTCTTCTTGATCGATCCTCCTGGGTACCACAGAGCGAAGCTCAGTGGTGTTTCGTAGAAGAAGCGACGTCCTGTCTCAATGCTATCGCCCCAGGACATCAAAGCCTTGCTGGAGATGCACAGATTGCAGAACTCCACGCCGCTCTGCTTGTCTCCCTTCTCCTGGCTGGCCTTTCCGCGCTGATAGCCGCAAAGGATCATGCCATTGATGGCCTTGTCCACCGGAATCACCGTGGATGCATAGTTCGGGTTGCAGTGCATAGAACGGATAACGCCGCGGGCCGCTCCGATCATCAGACCGGTGGGCCCGTTCACCCCCTCGATCCAGCCGGGCAGCGGTTCGTGGATGGCCGCCGTCACTGTAAAGGGGTTTTTAATAATAAAGCAATTAACCGGCGGGCATGAAGGCAGCCAGCCACTCGGATACGTACCGATCGAGGGCCTTGTGATGATTATGGGCAGCTTATTGTTGTATCTGCAAATTAAATCTTCCGACAGTGCCTTGCTGTAAGCGTACGTGTTTGGCAAGCCGTTTAGTAATCTGGCAGAAAAAGAACGAAACAGGTTATTAGCTGCCAAGTACGAGTACAAACAGAGTCATAAATCCCAAGAGGTCATTATGATCTGAAGTTATTTGGATCAGTAAACTACTGACAGCAACAAGTGTCACCTACTTGGGGGTAATCTCCGCCAGAGCTGCATCATCCATTGTCTCGACCATTTCGATGATGGAGTAGGGATTCTGTGGCGCTGGATAGGCACGTTCCTCCAGCACGCTTTCGTTGCACTGGCAGTAGGAGGTAGACACATGGACGAGGGCCTGCAGGTGACGCATCTTCTCGGCCAGACGGAGCACTTTGAGGGTGCCCACCACGTTCATCATGACCATTGGCCGCAGCGGCTGGTCGAAGCGCACATTGGCGGCACAGTGGAACACCACCTCGACGTTGGAAGCGAGTGTGTTGGTGTCATTGGCGCTCAAGCCAAGGTCCGGCTCCAGCAGATCGCCCTTAACCACTCGCACCTTGTCCACGATCTCGGGATTCTTCTCCAGTAGCTTGCTAAAGATCTGCAAAAGGGGCGTCAAAATTAACAGATTTTCAGTCATTAGTTAATTGTCATGGTATGGCGTTGACATGCAATTTGGACTTGCGGAGTTGCGATTTGGATTTGAAGTTGGTTGACGGTCTGGCTGGCTAGAATCGCCAGCAGCCTAATGGGCCATGTCCACTGGTTTTAACGCCGGCTTAACGGCCAACAATTAAGAGTCATTGTAAGTTTTGGATTTTTTCAATAATGATCACCTTGACTTATAAACGCCATGGATGTGGCACTGTCTGTTGCGAGTGTGAGTGGGTCGCATTGTAAGATCAAATTTTTGGCCTCTGGTGTGCCTTTGAGTGGTGGTGCGATAATTTTGGTAATTTGCGGGAGTCGCCACGCCATGAAACATTTACATTTTCGCTCTTAGTCGGAGGGCAAACGAAATATTAGTTTGGCTGTGGTGCTTCCATTTATGGAATGTAATTATATAGAATTTATTTCTGGCTCTATGTGCGATTACAACAAGGTCAATAGATGTATTTTAAAGTATGGTGTCATCATTAGTATTATAAGAAGCCTTCTTCAATGGCGCAACATTATTGTGAAATTGAAGCACCTTTTTTACGATTGAGTAGACTCGTGGCTTGAGTGAATCTTAGAGGCACATCTTTATTGCGGTTTCCCCAACCACACCAATAGATTTGTATAATTCGAGTCGTGTCTCAATAAATAATTGCTCAATCATTGTGAAAATCCAAACTGGGCAGGGGAAAGGTTATTCAAAAGTACCAAATGCTGGCAGATTAATATTATTATTCATAATAAGCTGGTGTGACTATACACATGACTTGATGGGGCTTTCGAAGAAATTTTATGTGTACGATCATCGATTGATTGCCATTTAGTATGTAATTATTAAGCTTAAGCCGTGAGGGACGTTCCTTTTATTTACGAGCCATAAACTTTCAATAACTTAATAGCAACACGCAGTGGAATGCACTGACCGAGAGGTACATACCACACACTTGAAGTACTGCTCCTTGCGAACACTTGGATCGATTCCCTTTTTGGTGCGGATTAGTAAGTAAATGATATTTAGATCTCCGCAGCTGCGAAGTAGCTTCTCCACGAGGACCTTGCCCATAAATCCTGTGGCTCCGGTAATTAAAATGGTTTTGTTGGCATAGAACTTGGCGATTTCAGATTCGCCCCAGTTGGCACTACTCTTCAATAGGTCCATGATTTCGCTGAGCAATAGAAACAAAGAAATTGAAAAAAAAAAAAAATACTTTTTCAAATTAAAACACTGATAAAAAATATGTAAATTTATATTAGAAAAGAAGACCCTATGTAATAGAACAACTAAGCTATGTATATCAAGCGCATATCAACAAAATCAAATAAATATCAAGGATATTTTAAGAAAATCAGAACACAAACGTACCATTAAATACGATAGTAGTAGGGTTCCATTGAAATAAAATAGTAATACAATAAATTAAAAAAAAGGAAATACTTTAAAATAAAAACATTTATAAAAAACAACAAAGGTATCATCAAAGGAAAAGCCCATATCAACAATATCAAAGCAATAAGCCATTCAGACGAGGCAGATACAGATACTATCTTTCCATATCCCATATCGCTAGCCCATATCAATAATATAAGGTTGTCAAATATCTCCCTTCCGCCTTTTTGTCTTTTGAATTTCGCGGCTATGTACAAAGCGCTACAGAGCTCGTATCTGGCAACACTATACATAATTTAAAAGGTCTTGACATAACCTACAAAACGACGCTATGCATGATTAGTTTGGATATTGCGTTCACCAGTTATAGACGTGTAAACATGGAGTTCACTAACGCCGAAATTCGCGCTATTTTAAAGTTTTCCTTCGTTAAAGGCAAATCCGCTAGAGAAACGTTCCGTGAGATTAATGGGGTTTTGGGGGATGGTACTCTATCACTTCGAACCGCGGAGGAATGGTTTCGACGATTCAGAGCCGGTGAAAACGACACCATGGATAAGCCAGCCGGCGGAAGACCTGTGACGACAAATACCGATCAAATCATGGAATACATCGAGTTAGACCGGCATGTGGCTTCTCGTGACATCGCCCAGGAGATGGGAGTTAGTCACCAAACCATTTTAAACCATCTGCAGAAGGCTGGATACAAAAAAAAGCTTGATGTTTGGGTGCCGCATGATTTGACGCAAAAAAACCTTGTGGACCGAATCAACGCCTGCGATATGCTGCGGAAACGGAACGAACTCGACCCATTCTTGAAGCGGATGGTGACTGGCGACGAAAAATGGATCACATACGACAATATCAAACGAAAACGGTCGTGGTCGAAGGCCGGTGAATCGTCCCAAACAGTGGCCAAGCCGGGATTGACGGCCAGGAAGGTTTTGCTGTGTGTTTGGTGGGATTGGAAGGGAATCATCCACTATGAGCTGCTCCCATATGGCCAGACGCTTAATTCTACCATCTACTGCGAACAATTGGACCGCTTGAAGCAGGCGATCGACCAGAAGCGTCCAGAATTGGCCAACAGGAAGGGTGTAGTGTTCCACCAGGACAACGCCAGACCACACACTTCGTTGATGACTCGTCAGAAGCTACGGGAGCTCGGATGGGAGGTTTTATCGCATCCACCATATAGCCCGGACATAGCGCCAAGTGATTACCACCTGTTCCTGTCCATGACGAACGCCCTTGGTGGTGTAAAGTTGAACTCAAAAGAGGCTTGTGAAAAGTGGCTGTCCGAGTTCTTCGCAAATAAGGAGGGGGGCTTCTACGAGGGAGGTATTATGAAGTTGCCGTCTAGATGGAAACGGATTATCAAACAAAACGGCGCATATTTCAACTAAATCGGATCACTGTAACACTTTTTATAAAGCATTGAATAAAGAGCAAAAAAGCGGAAGGGAGATATTTGACAACCTTATATAAAAAAAAAACAAAAAAACAAGAAAATATTAAGAAAATCGGAACTCTGAACCTACACACAAATGAGGCAGTGTGAGGGATCCATTGAAATTAAAATGTAATACAATAAATAAATAAAAAGAAATACTTTAAAATAAAAACATTCATAAAACATATGTTCGAGGCAGACGAGAAATTGGTTTTTTTCCGATGTCATATATTGCAAGCCCATATAAACAATATAAAAAAAATATCAAGAAAATATTCAGAAAATCAGAACTCGGCACCTACACACAAATGAGACAGTGTGAGGGATCCATTGAAATAAAAATGTAATACAACAAATAAATAAAAAGGAAATACTTTAAAATAAAAACATTCATAAAATTTATGTTTGAGGCAGACGAGCAACTGTTACCTCCCAACCACATATATTCCAAGCCCATATCAACAATATAAAAAAAATATCAAGAAAATATTCAGAAAATCAGAACTTGGAACCTACACACAAATGAGACAGTGTGAGGGATCCATTGAAATACAAATTTAATACAATAAATAGATAAAAAGAAATACTTTAAAATAAAAACATTCATAAAATTTATGTTTGAGGCAGACGAGCAACTGTTACCTCCCCACCACATATATTCCAAGCCCATATCAACAATATAAAAAAAATATCAAGAAAATATTCAGAAAATCAGAACTCGGAACCTACACACAAATGAGACAGTGTGAGGGATCCATTGAAATACAAATTTAATACAATAAATAGATAAAAAGAAATACTTTAAAATAAAAACATTCATAAAATTTATGTTTGAGGCAGACGAGCAACTGTTACCTCCCAACCACGTATATTCCAAGCCCATATCAACAATACAAAAAAAATATCAAGAAAATATTCAAAAAATCAGAACTCGGAACCTACACACAAATGAGACAGTGTGAGGGATCCATTGAAATAAAAATGTAATACAACAAATAAATAAAAAGGAAATACTTTAAAATAAAAACATTCATAAAATTAATGTTTGAGGCAGACGAGCAACTGTTACCTCCCAACCACCTATATTCCAAGCCCATATCAACAATATAAAAAAAATATCAAGAAAATATTCAGAAAATCAGAACTCGGAACCTACACACAAATGAGACAGTGTGAGGGATCCATTGAAATACAAATGTAATACAATAAATAAATAAACAAAAATAAATAATTAAAATTCTAAAGAAAATTAAAATTGGTGTTCACTCGGAGGAAGAAAATACGAAGTGACACAAAATTGGGTGTGTGGGGCTGTTTTTATAGTAAACTCCAATGCCCTAATGTGACCGAAGCCTTTTTGGCCAAAAAAAAGGATAAAATCTGGCCAAGTGCTGGTAAAAAGTGGCCAGGGATCAAACTGATAGCCCTGGAGGTGTTACAACCGTTTAGTTTCAAGATCAAGCTGTCGGCCGTTTGTTTGTCTAACCTACTCTGGGCAAGATTCTTGTTCAATGTCAACTTGGACTCTGACGAAATACGGACAGTGGCAGTGGACGTAGTGATATGCAGAGACAACAGCGGTTGTTGACCAATCGCGTGTAATTGCCGTGGCCGATTGGGATTTTCGGACTCGAACTCAGTGCCCTTCTCCTCCGGCTCCAGCCTCCCGCCCCTGGCCAAAGTGCCTCCCAGCATAGCTGCTTCCCATCACACCTCGCACATCATCTGTTGATGTTGGTAAATAGCGACAAGTTTAAAGACCTGTTAGCGGCCACTGTTTGTTTATTTATCATTTTTCCCCCTTTTTTTTTTTTGAAAGTGGCTGTCCCGCACTGGGTTAATGTCGCGCTTATTGCTGTACTTTGCGTACTTTTCTATTTTTAGGTTGATGCTCTTGGGCAATCTGAGTGCGGGTGGAAGTCCAAGCAATTAGCCAGACTGAAACGGATGGCTAATTCGATTGCTAAAGTTGTGCTTTACTTTGGCGGTTTCTTTACATGCATTAGATGCCGCTGCAGCTCACTTTTTATTATACGAGTTATGAGCTAATTAAAGTTTTCTGCTTTTTACGAAGGAAATTATGATCTCATAAAAGAATAACTTTTCATGCAATAGTCGTCAGCTTAGGAAATAATGAAAGTAAAAGTTTATCCTCTTTCATTTTAGCTGTAGTTTTTATCACAAGATAGTATACTATACTATAGAATTTTAAACATATATGTTAGTATAATTTATGCACTATTTTGCAATCGATGTCTTTCTGTCGTTTTTCTTTCCTTTTAGCTCGTATGCCAAACAAAAGACTTAAGACACAAACTTGAGCGCATTTTGTGTCATTTCCATTGAATTGAGTTTTCATGAGCTTAGCCATTGTTATTACTGATCTAGTCAAGTGCGATTTTCCCTGCCATGTCACGCACACTCATTCACACACACAAACACATACACACTTTGTGTAGAAAAATCACGCCTCCTTTTCGAATGGACATTCGTTCACGTAACTTCGAGGCACGCAAATTATGACATTCGCACACTTTTGGTTGGCAATTGCATTATTTAAGTTGGTTTTCAATGGTTTATTTTGTGTCAATTAGCAGGGTAAACACACACTATGCCAAAGTTCACAGGGGCCTTAAGATTTCGGACATATTTGGTCGAGGTATTATCGACTCCGTGTCCGTGTCCATCTTACAGCTATACTGGCACACTGACCTCACTTCTCAGGAGTTTTTGTTTTAGCTGGCTGGCTGTTGGCGGTCTCGAATTGAATCGGTTGAAAACTCAGCGGCAACTGAATTGAAAGCGGGCAATTGGCTTGAAGTTATACTCGGCTAAAAGGAAACTCAGCGGTTCTGCTGGCGTCTCAGTCAGCGACGCTGCCTCGCCAACGCTAACGCTGGCAAAAAAGTGCTGCTCTGTTCTGCGAACGTGTATGCAGACAGGTGAGTTGGCCCGCCTGAGTATGTGTGAGTGGGCTTTCCGGGTTGTGCCAGTCGTGAGATGAGCTTGACGCCTCCCCGCCCCCTTTCCGTAAAACCCCCGAAATTAAAAAAAATAAATAAAAAACCCTCCGCATCGAAACTCGGGCAGGGCAGAAACAATTACACTTAAATTAAAACCAATTAAACGGCACTTAAAAATCTCTCCAAGTCGAGCAAGGGCAATGCTAATGGCTCCCGGCAGCGAGAAGTGAGATGCTTGGCAACCCTAGCCAAAAATCAAGATCCAAAACCAAAAATTCCCCCAGCCGCAAAAAAAGGAGCCGGACCAAACCAAGGCCATCCACTTGCGGTGGCCCTAAAAAACTGCATGTCATCCATGGAAGCGAATCAGATGCATGTGTACAGTTATACGATCTTATAGTCGATATTCGGATATTTTAAAACGCAATTATACATTAAAGAAAGAAAATTTCCATATAAAAACAAAAAATTATCGGGGAAAAAAAGTGTCAAAGGAATTTTTCAGAAACTAGATTTATTGACACCTTTCATTGTATCTAATTGACAGAGCAAGTTATCAAAATATTGCGTATTTTTAAGACAATATTATCTATATCACGTAAATAGAAAAATTAATTATCGTCAAAATACTGGATGACTAAGCTTCACTGTAGCTCCATCTGACGTACGAATACAATCGCATCTATAAGCGCATTCGTGCAATTTTTGGCTGTGGAAGAGTTTTGTTTTTGTTTCTGTTTTTGTTGCACTCTTGCGGGAACCTGATCCACGGCTGCAAGCTGTGATAATGGCCAGAAAAAAAGTTGCCCCGTCAGGTGAGTTGGTTAGTCAGAAGATAATGGAGATGATGGAGGGGCATTGGGGATATGCCTGTGGACGGACAGGCGCAGGATAGCTTGGGGATTTCACAATGTGGTAAATAACACGATCTGGCCAAGACGACCTTGAAATTCTGATTCAGCATCTTCTCTGTTACGTTTTCGGTTTTCAGTTTTCGCGCCTCGCCCGTTTGGGCCTGGTTTGTTGGCCTTTGGGCCTTGCGGTTAATATCAGGCTTCCAGTTTCATTTCCCTTTCCTTTGATGACATAATTTGTTTTGGCAGCCCCAGGCATCCAACAAATACGCCCCAGTCGATGTCCAGCCCAATTCGTAGTTCCACTCTAATTGGTTCTGTAAACGCGCGAGAGAACCGAGGAAACTGTCTCGTCACCAGTCCGCAAATTGCACGACTAACTAAAATGAAACTTCCCAGTTCCCAACTGGGGGGCTTCGTTTCTAACTAAGCGGAAGAGATTTCATAACACGTGGCTCCCCACTAAGGTTTTTGATTAACCATTTTGGACTCGAGTAACCCCAAACTAAAATATTATTGCAAAGTCTTTGCAACAACTTTCAACTTTATTTGACATTTAATTCTTAGGCAGCATCGCCCTTCTGGACTCCTCTCTCTTCGAATAATTCGATTGTACATTACCGATGAATAATCCGGCAATTATAAACAGGTTCCTTTGGCGCATGTACTCGTATACTATACCAAACATTCGATCAGTTGCTGGCCATCATTATGCAACTTTTTTGCAATTGATTACTCCGCGAGGAGTGGGTTGTCGTTGTAGTGCTTGGAACAAAATGCATTTCCAAGACCTGGCCCCCCTAAATCGAAACGGGATCAATTGATTGGTCGACCGACGCCATAAATCAAACATAATGGCAAATGGGTTAGTACAGCTTCTGTGGCAAGTCAGCGATTATACTAAATATTTGCAATCCGTTGGAGATTCGATTATCAGCTATGTAGAACACATTAAGGCTTGACCTGAGTCAATATAGCAGCTGCCAATATACTGCAATATATAGCAGTATGCCAAGCATATATATTTTTAAACCAATTATTTGAGTTTTGGTTTTGGTGTAAGTTTCCTGCTAGTATTATTTATTAAAACTGTTGAGATCTTGACACAGAAGTACCTTCAGTTCTGGACCAGACTGCCGGAAGCTGGCCTAAGCCATCTAAATCAGCTAAATAAAAAACTAGTTGTGAAACGCATTATGCACACTAAATAATGTGCATTGTAATACCAATATTGGCATATCGCACTTTGAATGTCTTTGGTTAGCATTTCTCGTACCTGAAGCCCGATGTTTACGCATATCAGCACGCAATATTGTCCAGGTACATATACGTATACCATCCGCCGTGTGGGCTTGGCAAATGCATTATTTTTCCATTGAAAACAAGTCAACACCCGCTCTGGGTCGACTCTAGCTGTCGCAAAGTGGCAGTATATGCATTTAATTAGCTGGGACTCACTTTCAGCATGCTTAAGGCGAATTCCTAAACCGCTTTTCGCGTCCCGGTCTGTACTAATGTGTGTGACAATTATATTATTTATAACCAATGACAGTGTTTATAATTAAGATCTAATTGGCGGGAGTGCAGAATAAAGCAGACCACTTAAATGCCTACGGCTCATGGCTAAGGAAATCGGTTCCGCAAAGAAACGTATTGATTTTCTGTCGTGTTTATTATGGTGGAATCTGGAGACTGCAGCTGATGAAAAACTGATACATATCGAGTTTAATAATTTATTAATAGTGGTTATTACATCAGGTATTAGAATTGTAAATGGGTATATCGAATGTAACTGAAATTTTTTAATTTCGAGCTCACTAAAAAGTGTTAGCAAATTTAACAGATAATGGGAACTGTATTTAATTAGATTTCTTTAAGATAATGCCATTTAAGCCATCTATTAGTGATTAATGAATAATTAATCCTTTACAAAGAACTTAGATACTTCGAATTCTGTCGTTCGTGTCGTTTCAGGTGGAAGGTCAGTTCGGGTTAAATGATTTAACAACTTGTTAAATTTCCCAATTTACATTAGTCCTGCTAATTAGTTAGTATGGGGTTGCGACTATGCAGTAGAATTTAGATATCTATAGATTCTCAACCAGTTGTGACAAAGTCAATGCTATCAGTTCTTAAAATAATTCAAGAGAAAACGATTTAGTTGAAATGGGAAAAAATAATCTAACGGGAATAAGAAAATACGTATGGAAAAAATATTATTTCGTCGCCATTGAAAAACCCAAGAACAATAAAAAATAAAAAAGAACCTTAGGCTAACTTAAGATGGAGCTATTAAAAACCAAAACCATTATCCATGTCCAAGATAGGCTTATCTTACATCGGATTGAAAAAATATATTCATTTCTGTGATTGGAGCTCTGAGTTTGTAGCCACTCATCATCAACCCTCATAAAAAAACCTTCCTTAATACAGTTAATTCATTTTTTTGCAAGGGGTACCCTTTAAAAAATCTAAATTACCGATTTTTCAGTTTTTAGATTCGATGCAGATCGGGATGCTCCAGAAAATTTGACAAAACATATATAAAATAATTTCTTGCTGGATTTTGATGCAGATCGATGGAGAATTGATCTACAAATCATTTGAGGTATTCCGCTCAAGAATCGGATGATGTTTGACAAAGATATAGCCTTCTATGTCGTGCATATTGTGTCCCCATGCATTTTCCTCATTTTGAAAGGGATCCTCCAGAAAATTTGACAAAAAATCTAAAAAATAATTTGTTTCTAGATTTTGATGCAGATCGATGGAGAATCGATCAACAAATCATTTCAGGTATTCCGCTCAAGAATCGAATGATGTTTGACAAAGATATAGCCTTTGATGTGGTGCATATTGTGTCTCCATGCATTTTCCTCATTTTGAAGGAGATCCTCCAAAAAAATCAAAATGTACGATTTTCTCTTTTTTTGCCCTTCCGATTGCCATAGCTCCAACAATTTACATCTGATCGGGAAAATATATGACCCAACACATAGTGACTATATAAAAGGCCATTTGTTCAAAGGATCAGTCATCGTTGTTCTCTGCGATGACTTTATTTGGTTTGTTCGTCATTTTTAGATCATCGACATACTTTTTCGCGCCATGCTTAGTGGGAGATCTTTAGTTTTAAATTAAATCCCGACTAGGGCGAACAGGAAGATGAATAGTGAAACAAAATCTCTTTTGAAACTTGTTTTAATAGGTGACGCTAATGTCGGAAAAACATCGCTTGTGGAGAGGTATGTAAAACGGCGCTTCACTGAAAGAAAACGGAGCACAATCGGACAAAACTTTAGTACAAAACAAGTCCTGGTCGACGATCGCGTGGTCACAATCCTGGTAACCATATATACCCAATATAGTCTCTCCACTTTTTTGCATAAATAAATACTGAATTAATTCCAGATCTGGGAAACTGGCGGTCAAGAGCGATTTGACTGTTTTGTCCACATTTGCCAAACCGCCGACTTTTGTATCCTTGTATTTGACGTTACGTCACATGCCTCCTTCAAAGCACTAGACGAGTGGCGCAACGAGTTTCTACTACGAGCTCGTCCTCGCGATTCTGTAAATTTTCCCTTTATAGTAGTTGGCAACAAGGTAGATCTTGGCAACCGCATCGTTTCCAATCGAGAAGTGAATGAATGGTGCCAACGGAATGATAATATACCCTACTATGAAACGTCGGCGAGAGAAGGCACTAACTTGGATTTGGCATTTCAGACCATATTTTGAAATGCTTTAAAGCAGGAGGCAAATGTAGGTATCATGTATTATCTTTAAATTGAACATAAATTGAATTTAAATTCTTTTTTTTAGCAGTCGAACGAAGGAAGTGTCGTTTTTGATACGATCAGTTTGCAATTTCCAGATAACTATCGCAAAAAATCTAAAGAGTATAAGTGTTAATTTAATAAAACGTATAGTAAATAAATAACTTTTAGTTGGTAATTTTAGTACTCAAATTTTTAAGAAAGGGGAGGTATACCATTCTTTGAGTTATGGACAAATAAAGTTCGTTTTTATTAAAAAAGAAAGATTGAAAAATAGTCACAATATCAAAGCCACACTTAGCTTTTTGGCTTTTATGACTTTCAGACTCTTTTTTAAACTTAAAGCCATTATTTTAAGCTTTGTTTATTGTAGAATCTACAATGTAGATTTCTGTATTCTAATTATCTTCAAGAAGGCAGTCAAAAATTACAAAAAAAAGTGATGACGAAATAAAAGGCCATTTGGAAAAGGATCAGTCATCGTTGTGGTTTCTTGTCATTTTATATATCACCGACTTGATTTTCCGCGCCCTGCTTAGGGGGAGATCGTTAGTTCGAAAGCGAATCCAGACTAGCAAGTACATAAAAATGAATAGAGAAATAAAATATCTTCCTCAAGTAATTTTAATAGGCGATATAGGTGTCGGAAAAACATCGCTTGTAAAGAGATACGTAGAGCAGGGCTTCAGCATAAAAGAAAAGGCTACAATCGGGGTCAACTTAAGCACCAAAGAGGTGACTGTCGATGATGACGTGGTCACACTGCAGGTAACCATTAAAACCCTATCTATTTTTTGTATGAACGAATTCTGAAATAATTTCAGATCTGGGACACTGCGGGCTTTTATTGTCTTAAAAGCGCCTTCAAGCGAGGTGTCGTCTTTTGTATGCTTGCTTTTGACGTTACGTCATATTCCTCCTTCGAAGGACTAGACTGGTGGCTCGACGAGTTTCTACTACGAGCTCGTCCTCGCGATCCTGTAAATTTTCCCTTTATAGTAGTTGGCAACAAGGTAGATCTTGGCAACCGCATCGTTTCCAATAGAGAAGTGAATGAATGGTGCCAACGGAATAATAATATGCCCTACTTTGAAACTTCTGCTAAGGAAGGCACTAACGTGGATTTGGCATTTCAGGCCTTATTTTGGAATGCTCTAAAGCAGGAGTCAAATGTAGGTATCTTAGTATTATCTTTAAATTGAATTTAAATTTTTATTTTTAGCAGTCGAGCGAAGAGACCGACTCTTTTGATACGATCCGTTTACAACTCCCAGATAATTATTGTGAAAAATCTAAAGAATATAAGTGTTAATTTAATAACAAAGGATAATAAATAAATAACTTTTAGTTAGTTAGAACTCAATTTTTTAAGAAAGGGGAGGTATACCATTCGTTGAGTTATGGACAAATTAAGTTCGTTTTTATTAAAAAAGAAAGATTGAAAAATAGTCACAATATCAAAGCCTTAGCTTTTTGGCTTTTATGACTTTCAGACTCTTTTTAAAACTTAAAGCCATTATTTTAAGCTTTGTTTATTGTAGAATCTATTTTCTGTTGTTATGTAGATTTCTATTTTCTAATTATTTTCAAAAAGGCAGTCAAAAATTACAAAAAAAAAGTGATGACGAAATAAAAGGCCATTTGTGCAAAGGATCAGTCATCGTTGTGGTTTACTCGTCATTTTATATATCACCGACTTATTTTTTCGCGCCCTGCTTATGGGGACATCGTTAGTTCGAAAGTGGATCCAGACTAGGGAGTACATTAAGATGAATAGTTTAAAAAAGTATCCTTTGAAAGTGATTGTAATAGGTGAGTCGGGTGCCGGAAAAACATCGCTTGTAAGGCAGTACGTGGAGCAACGCTTCAGCATAAGAGAAAAGAACACAATCGGAGTCAACCTTAGTACAAAACGGGTGCGGTTCGACGATCGCGAGGTCACACTCCAGGTAACCCTTAAAAACTTCGCTGTTTTTGTAAGAACGATTTTTAAAATAATTTCAGATCTGGGACACTGCGGGTCAGGAACGCTTTTCATGTCTCAGTAGCTACTTCTACCGCGGGGTCGACTGCTGTGTACTCGTTTTCGATATTACGGATTTTGCCTCCTTCATAGCACTAGACAGGTGGCGCGACGAGTTTCTTATACAAGCCAATCTTAGCGATCCTGCGAATTTCCCCTTTATGGTTCTGGGAAACAAGGTAGATCTTGGCAACAGCCATGTGTCTCATAGTTTTGTGAATGAATGGTGCCAACGGAATAATAATATGACCTACTTTGAAACGTCTGCTAAGGAAGGCACGAACTTGGATTTGGCATTTAAGACTTTATCTCTGAAGGCTCTAAACCTCGAACCAGAAGTGGTACCTTAGTATTTTCTTTATATTGAGCATAATTTGAATTTATACTCTTATTTTAAACAGCCTTTTGATGTGCCCGACTTTCCTGATACGATTATATTGAAATCGCCAGATAATCATCAGGAAAAACCTAATGAGTGTTGTGTTTAATTTAATAATAACTTTAGATTGAATAAATGAATGTACTCAAATAATTATAGCCACACAATAGTTTTTAGATTTTGTATCATTTAATAAGTTTTAACTTTAAACGATTATAAAGGTCCTTGAAAAATCAGAGTACATAAGGTTTTTCGATTTCAAACTCGAATTAGGGGTTTACATTTGAGAAACAACTAATCCAGGATCCGCAGTAACTTTTCTTAATTAGTAGCTACGTCCGAAGAGGGTGTAGAACTTGGGTTTGTTGGTGCAGTTGGGGTTGATGCACTTGTCCTTGGCCGTGATAGCAGCCGGTTGCTCGAAGGGGATGCATAGTGACTTGGCGCCCATGGCAGGAGCTCCAGGCTCGGCCTCTTCGCCGCGGGCACTATCCGCCTTGATCTTGTCCTCGCAGCTAATTTCGCCACAGAACGGAGAGAGCAGGATATTCTTCTGCTCGAGGAAGCCTACGAAGTCTGCCCAGCTGGTCACCGTCTTGGTGTGACTGGTCAAATCCAACTGAGCTTTGGCCAGCATGCTCTCGTGGATCGTTTCGAGCAACGCGGGAATCTTCTTTTCAACATCGGCCAGTGGGATGGTGATCTTCTCACCAGTGTCACGTCGTACGGCCACCAGCTGCTGAGCCTTTAAGTCCTTGGGACCCACCTCGAGGCGCAGCGGAACACCCTTTAGCTCCCAGTGGTTGAACTTCCAGCCGGGCGAGTAGTTGTCCCTGTAATCACCCTCGCATCGCACCTCAGCTCCGACCAAGCGCTTCTCCAGTTTCTTGCACGCGTCGAGAAGCTGGGCCCTCTCATCGTCCTTCGTGTTGACAGTGATGCCACAGGGTACGACGATGGCCTGGATGCAGGCCACATGGGGCGGCAAAACCAATCCCTGGTTGTCAGCATGAACCATAATCATCACACCGATGGTTCGTGTCGTTATCCCCCAGGAGTTCTGGTAGACATACTTCTTTTGCTGCGTTTCCGGATCTTCGTAGACGATCTCGAACATCTTGGAGAAGTTCTGTCCCAAGTGGTGGCTTGTCGCTCCCTGAATGGCGCGTCCGGAAGCCGATATGAATGCCTCAACTGTGGTGGTGTAGTCACCGCCCGCAAACTTCTCCTTCTCGGTCTTGCGGCCCTTCACCACGGGAATAGCCAGCAGGTGGGTGTAAACCAGGGCGTACAAGTCGAGGATGTCGAGCACCTCCTTATCGGCTTCCTCTTTGCCTGCGAACGCGGTGTGGCCCTCCTGCCAAAGGAACTCTCGGGTGCGCAGGAAGGGCGTAGGTTGCTTGAATTCCCATCGCTAGCCAAAAATAAAGGTTATCAGTTTATGGTTTAAATAATTTTAGAATAACTCTTCCACTCACCACAACATTGTTCCATTGGTTGAGACGGATGGGCAGATCTCTGTAGGACTGCACCCACTTGGCGTAAGCGGGGTACATGACTGTCTCAGAGGTGGGACGCACAGCGATTGGTTCGGCCAGATCAGAGTCACCGGATTTTGTAACCCATGCTACCTCGGGAGCGAAATCCGCAATATGCGTCTTCTCCTTCTCAAGCACAGCTTTGGATACAAAAATGGGGAAGTAGCACTCCTTAACACCCATGCGCGTGATCTCGGCATCGAACCATTGCTTAATAGCTCGCCATATGGCGAAGGACCAGTGACGCAGAATATAGCAGCCGGACACATCGTAGTATTCGATCATCTCGCCCTTGGTGATAACCTGCGAGTACCACTCTGGGAGGTTGTCTTCCTTGGTAGCCTCCAAGCCCAGGCGTGTTTGCTTCTTCACTGCTCCGGAGGCATCAGCAGCAGGTTCTTTTTTCACCGGCTTGGCAGGCTTTGGCTGTGTTTCCTTGGCCGCTTTCTTTGTGGCTCCTCCACCGCCGCCGCCTCCCCTCCCGGCTACTGGGAAATCGGTGCCGGTAACCTCCTTGTACTTGGCCTTAAGGGAAAGCAGCTGGGCCACCTCCGCATCAATAACCTCCTTGGCTGCCTTGTTGGCTTTAGCGGCACGCACTTTCTCACCCTGGGCGTTGATCTGCTGGGTAAGCTCATCCTTAGCAGGCGACGCCATTGCAACGGGACTAGCTTCTTTCTTCACGGCGACGGGTTCAACTTTAGTATCCGGCGTCCAGTCCTTTCCGCTTAACGTTTTGTATTCAGCTTTGAGAGCGAGCAGAGTCTTAACCTCCGGCTCAATGACGGTCTTGGCTGCCTTCTCAGACTTCAATTGCCTAATCTTGTCGCCCTGAGCCTGAATCTTTCCAAGAACACTGGCAACGTCACTGCCTGAATCTTCTGCGGTGAGATCTACAGTGACTACGGCAGGGCTCGCGGTGGGAACAGTTCCTGGCTTCCAGTCCTTGCCGGTCAGCGATTTGTAGTCCTGCTTCAGAGCAAGAAGAAACTGGATCTCAGGGTCCAGCAGGGATTTCTCAGACTTGGCTGCCTTTAATTGCCTTATCTTTTCGCCCTGATTGGCAATCTTCTCCAGTAGTAGGTTAACAGCTTGGTTGGAGGCTGGTTCGGGATTCTTCTCCTGTTTTACCTTGACTGGGGCAGCTGCAGGAGCTGTCGTGCCTGGCTTCCAGTCGCTACCGGTGGCCTGCTTGTAGTCTGCTTTTAAGCCGAGCAGTGTCTTCACAGCAGCATCAATCGTGGCCTTGTCAGCTTTAGCCGCCTTCAGCTCACGCACCTTATCTCCCTGGGCAGTGATCTGGTCAAGAATCTGGGACACCGAATTGCTGGCAGCAGGCGTGGCAGTGGCGGATGGCGGAGGTACAGTGCCTGGTTTCCAATCCTGTCCAGTCACTGATTTGTACTGAGCCTTTAGCTCCAAGAGCGTCTTCACGGCAGCGTCAATCTCCGGCTTGGCAGCCTTCTTGGTTTTCAGATCTCTTACCAAGTCGCCCTGCTTAACAATATTGGCGTTAACCGAAGCAGCGTCGTTGGCAGTGGGCGAAGAGGAAGCAGCAGCAGCTGGAGCAGAAGCAGCAGTTTGACCTGGTTTCCAGTCCTTGCCAGTAGCCGCCTTGTAGTCGGCTTTCAGGGCAAGTAGTTTCTTTACTTCAGCGTCGACTTGATCCTTGGCAGCCTTCTTCGATTTCAGGTCGCGCACCAATTCGCCTTGCTTGGCAATCAGTTTGTCCAATTCGGATGCCTTGTCGGGAGATCCAGAAGGGGAGGAAGCCTTTTTCTGAAAGAACACCAAAATACGTCGATTATCAATCAAAAGATACGTCTGCAAAACTTTTTCTGCTACGTCAGCAAGGGACGCATGCATAAATCAACTACTGCTCTTCATTTTCCATATCTCTTACGGTCGAAACGCTTGGTAGAAACGAGCAAACGAAAGTGAGACGGTGGCTCAGCATACAACTGGTTTTGGCCTAAAATGTAGACGGAAGCGAGCCACCGTCGCACATTAAGAAAGAGTGCGAGAGCAACAGGTTGATAAGCATTAAAGAGAAACTCTGATTTTAAAACAGCTGATTGTTTTGAGGCAAAGAGAAATCGAAAAAATAACTCTCTTACGTTTAAATTTTGAACGAATTTATCACTTTTATGACTCTAATAATAATAAATATGGTATTTTGCCGAATTCCAATGAAATTTATACTTGTACTTATTCTATAAACCAATACCCTTAGCAATACTCACCGTGGGTTTGGCTTCTGTCGCGGTATTGATCTTCAAACCAGAAGTAGGCACATCCTTGGTATGACCATCAGGAATGGAGAAAAGGATAATCGGCGAGGCTACACCCGAGAAGCCACTTGGCGGTTCATATGCGTTATCCACCTTGAAGAAGCCACGACGTTGCAACTGGATAATGTCTCCCTTCTTGCACTTTTTCAGCTCGGGATCGCCCAACATGGCTACCTCATCCCGGGTCTTGTGTCCAATGAACTGCTTAAAGTCCTCGTCCTTGCCAAGTACCGCCTTGCTAATGATGTTGTCGAAGTACACACAGAACGTGGGAGGATAGGCGCTGGAATCGTCTTCCACGGCCAACCACGTCAGCTTGAGGGTCTTCTTGAAGTCCTTGTTTTCCAAGTTGAGAGCTGCGTCCACGGAAGTAATGGTTCCAGAGGCATCCTTATGCACCTTCTGGATTAGGATATTGCCCCAGTTTATGAAGGTGGCATTTTCTCCCTCCTTCAGAGCTTCGGCATCAACGTAGTCGATGTAAATTTTAGGTCCCAGTAAAACCGTTTTCTTGCCCAACGATTCATCCTTGGGATGCACTGAAACCTGCACCTTTTCTACCTTGGCACCAGCCACATTCACAATCACGCGCTTCTCCTTTTCCAAGGCCGTGTAACGGGGAGCAATCGGATCGATTACCTTCTTGTTGAAGGCCCAGATCTTGTCCCAGTTCATGAACACCACCGATTTACTGCTGCCCTGGGCGATGATGAATTCCTTCAGACCCTCCACAGTCATGCCACGGCGGATGATGCCACGCACTGTTGGGAATCGCGGATCGTCCCAGCCATCGACCAGACCAGAGTCTACAAACCAAGTAAGCTTTCGCTTTGACAGCACGGTGTTGGTCATGTTCAGGCGACTGTATTCCCAGATGTACGGCTTTCTTAGCTTCAGGGCATCGATAAACCAGTAGAACTGATCGTCACGATCATGGTACTCCATGGTTCGCAGGGTGTGGGTCACATTCTCAATGGCGTCAACAATGGGGCAGGCGAAGTCGTATGTGGGGTAGACCCTAAACATTAAACGGTCCATATATTTCGTTATTAAAACAATATTTAGTAATATACTCACTTGTATTTGGTTCCAGTACGCGGATGTGGTTCGTTTTTGCAACGATAAATGGTGGGATCTCGCATGCAACCATTGGCGGACGACATATCGATCTTGGCGCGCACGCAACATTTTTGGCCCTTCTCGGAGCCCTTCAGCATCTCTTCCCACAAGGAAAGATTCTTCTCCACAGCTAATCAGGAATGTTTTTAAAATAAATAATATATAATATATATGATATTTCTTACAGTTGGAGCGGTTTGCAGATTCCACTCGCTGTTCGCGCTCAAGCTTCATCTGCTCCGGCGGCGTATCGTCCACGTAGGCCTTACTCTCCTTGATCAGCTGCACACAGTAGTCCAGCATGAGGTCGAAGTAGTTTGAAGTGTGCGTGAAAACGTCCGGCTTTATTTGCAACAGCTCCAGATCACCAAGGATTACGTTTTCAAACTCGACCGTTTCTTTGGCAGGATTCGTATCGTCGAAGCGCATTATAAGCGTCCCTTGGAAGGCCTGGGCGTAGTACTGATTGAGCAGAGCGGCCTTGGCGTGTCCAATGTGCAGATAGCCGGATGCTTCTGGCGGGAATCGCACAACCACCTTGCCCATTTCAGCGCCGGGCAGGTCCACAAACTTGCCCTCCTGCTTACGCTCACCGGTCTTGGCGGGAGTCTGTTCTTTTGAGGCTTGAGGGCTCCTCTTCACACGCGCTCCCTCTGGCAGAGACTTCAATACCTTCTGGATCAGAGGCTGAGCGGTGATGAGGTCGTACCAGCGCTGCACATGCTGTGGAATCCCCTTGGAGGCCAGGAACTCGTACCGTGAATGCATCTCGTTAAAGAGAGCAAAGTCAGCAATGGTCAACTTGTTGGCTACCAGGTAAGTGACCGGGGCAATGGATTTGTCGAGAAAAGACAAAGCCCAAGAGATGTCGTCCTCACAGGTTAGGGAAAAGGAGAGCCAGTGGTCGATCTGTGTGCGCTCGATAGCCGTCTCGCCGTACAGCTTGTAGTCCGGGGCGGCGCGGGCCAAGGCACGCAGAACATCGTTGTTGGAGTGGCACACCAACAGGCGGTTATCGGGGAACTGCAGCGAAGTCTCCTCCTTGCTCCAAACAATCTCCACGGGCACGGTGTCATTGATAAGGTGCGCCGTCGCCAAGCCACCTATAAATTGAAGACATGGGTGTGAGTCAATTAATATCACTGACGATATCCATTAAAGACTGATGCAATAAACACCAGAATCGGTAGAAATTGTATACATAAATAGACTTCATTTTCAATATAACCTCACAAAGTGCACATCTGGCAAGGTCACTGCAGCCGGCTTTCCACCGGATACTCACTTATGGGCGGATTGTTGAGGTTCGCTTTGAGCTTAATGGACATGATCGCCTGGTGTTTGTTTTCAAACTAAATTAAAATGACGAAATTGCTTGGTTTAATAAATGGCACGAGTACGGCCAGCTGCTAACGTCTGCACATCCAATAGAGAAGAGACAAATCGGTTGCAGGGGCGAGCGATAGTTGCTCCGTGAGTGGCCAAATATCGCATGCGAATGCCTGGTTTGATTTTGTTATTTTTCAAAATCTTTAATTATTTTGTTAAAAGTTGTTTAATAACTAGAAAAAAAATTAGATATAAGAAATAAGAATAAAGATTAAAAGTTACTTTGAAGCCAGGGTTCACTGTACTGGGAAGCAGTTCACGTTCACACGTCGACAGGTGCCCTGCGATTGGCAAAAGCAGAAAGAAGAAGAATTTTCTATGTGTGTTTTGCTCAGTTGCTGCATGGAAAAATAGTATTATTGGCTATATTCGTTTAAATAAAGCACTTAAAACACCAAAAACACAAGGAAAAAGCAGTCAAAATGGTGAGGTCCAAGAAAATAAAAGAAAAAGTCAAGAGTCTCGACTTAGTTGGGAAGAAACCTTGTGTTGATGATGCGGTGGCTCCAGGTGTGAATACATGTGTTTGTGTGGGTGTCCGATGACTATGTCAATGGGGAGCTTCTGTGGCCTAAAAAGATATGAAAAATTAAAGAACAAGTCAAAAATCAATAAAGGTGTGGTGTGAATCTAACTGCTGTTTCCTTCCAGATGCTATTCATGCTGCTGTTCAGCCGGCAGGGAAAGCTTCGACTGCAAAAATGGTACATGGCATACCCCGATAAGGTGAAAAAGAAGATCACCCGCGAGCTGGTGACCACGATATTGGCCCGGAAGCCCAAGATGTGCTCCTTCCTGGAATGGAAAGACTGCAAAATTGTCTACAAAAGGTGAGCTCTTCCAGGTGCCAGGTGCAGATCAAAATAACCATAATTTCATTCAATTTCGTAGGTACGCCAGCTTGTATTTCTGTTGCGCCATCGAGCAGAACGACAATGAACTGCTGACACTAGAGATCATCCATCGCTACGTGGAGTTGTTGGATAAGTACTTTGGCAGCGTAAGTAGATCTCAAGTAGATGTAATATTTAGCATCTTATGTTTTCCGTCTATTGGCAGGTCTGTGAACTAGACATAATTTTCAACTTTGAAAAAGCGTACTTCATTTTGGACGAGCTGCTAATTGGCGGCGAGATCCAGGAGACGTCGAAAAAGAACGTACTTAAGGCAATCGCCTCGCAGGATCTGCTCCAAGAGGTCAGTACACCCGAGACATATGATCTGTAATGCCTATACGGTTGTGTCACTATCTACCTAAACCGGATATTGTTAATTGTTTTACATATTTATTCAACTCGCTGGTTTTTAGTTTCGTTACTTCTTAGTGTTTGTTTTTGCATCTCTATATATATATATTTATATGCCTATCAATAACGTTTGCAATGTCATACCTCATGAGAATCATAATTTTCCTTTATACTCTACTCTTACCTACTTCTCGTTCTTTTTTGTCTAATTTTTGCCTTCAAAACTAATATTATACTACTACTACTATGTACCGAACACACCTCTAACCACTCGAAGCAAGAAGAGTTCTTTTACTCACTGCAATAGAAAATAAGTGCAGTGTGCGTGTGTGATCCCAGCCGAATTGTCATTACTCTAAGTTCCGAATCTGATGTAAACCACCTAACCTAGCCGGCACACACGTGCACACCACAGTCATTTTGTTTAAATACGATTGCATGCCGTCCTGAGTTCCAAATCTTGCCTACTCGAAACTGAAGCGAATTGTGAGCATTTAGCAGGAATTATTTAAAAGTCGCAGTATTGAACTTGCCATAGATGTTGCTGTGCCGAGAAAATCTTAAACGTAAACTTTTGTTTGCCATCAATCAATCAGTAGTTAATGAATAGTACAATTTTTGTTTTACGGCCCTTATTTTCGTAAATACCCCTAACCCGTAGCGCTAATCGTAGCGTCCAGGCCTTAGTTGGTTGGATTACTTTGCATGATCTTTGTAGCTGAAAGTAACTAACTAGAACCGATGCTAAAGTATACATACTCTTGCCATACCATATACCATATATAAATGTGTAACCCATGTTCCCTTTCTCTTGTTATTATTAACGCTTTCCCTACCCGCCACTGCATAAATCGATGTTAACACAACTACTACTACCACCATCCAACTACCACCACCAACAACAACCACAGGACTTCAATGAGTATCTCAACTGAAACAGAAAAAAAAATAAAAAAAAAAAAAAGAGTCCCCAAAAGAAAGCAAAACCCCTCCCAAAGAAGCAGTGTAAAGACCATTTACTCTAACTCTAACCGATCTGCGAAGAGTCTTAGTGGAGTGTCGATAGGTCAGATCAGTCAAACCTTCGCCCAGCTGTATATATGTATTGTATATTGCCCAGCTTTCACCCCCTGCGCTGTGATGTTCATCCATATATGCATTACCTGTTTGAAAGTTGTTTTCATGCCAAAAATCGATTGTGCCGTGAACGAAAGAAACTATAAACAAAAAAAAAGATACAGATCCTTTCTGACACATTCTACTCACAACTAAACACTTCTGCTGCAACTCGTACTACTACTACCACTACCACTTTTTCTACTACTTTCTCTTCTTCCTTCTACTCTTCTCGTTCTTATTGTTCTTATTCTCTGTACTCCAGGACGAAGCCGTTGAGGGCACTTTAAGAGACATTGGACTACTCTAAAGAACTTAGAACACCATAGAACTTATGTAGTTGATATTACTAGCACACCTACACAAGTACACAAGCACACACACCCCCAGACACCAAACCACAAAAACAGACTCAGATACACCCACCACACACCAGCAAAGCGAAACCGTGTGCTGCACTTGGCACTTACCAACTGCTCCAATACTCCATCCAATTACCGCCACACGTGTGTGTTGTACAGCACTTGAGCGCGCTGTTCACTCAAAACTCAAAATTAAAGCAAAAGATGCAACCGAAGCAGCGTGAGGCTCCACAAAGCAATAACCCACAAAAATACAAAAAGACTATATATAGTAAACATCAAGAGCATCTATCTGGCATATGGCTTTCCATACAAACACCCTCACACGTCAAATAGAACCAGCAAAGTTCATGCAAATCTAGCCAACCTCACGTAGTTCCATCTGGGGTTCCTTCCAACGGAATTAATATTCTATTTTTCCTATCTACATTAAATAATCGAAAGATCATTCCAATCAATCACCAAAATGGGCAATAACTAATTTAGTGGGGAGATACATGCAATACTATTCTTACCATAGAAACAAGTAAGCTTTAATGTTGAAAAAAAAAAAGAGTTCGATATATGATTGAAAATTGTAATAATCATACCTTAGTGGTAACCAAATAAAGTCTAGTTTATGTATATCTAAAAATATATATATGTTTATGTATGTGTGTTGTATGTTTTAGCCAAATTTTCTGTGTTTTGTAACTGAAAATGAAAAAAAAAAAAACAAAAAAAATCAAGTAATAATAAAAAGCAAGTATTTTTCAAAAATTATAAATGTACTTGTGTGCTATATAGTATGATAATGGTAAGCTAATGATGATCATTATTTTGTATTTAATTTTATTGTGTATTTTACCTATGATTGTTGTTTTTGCTGTTGTCCCCGACTGGTTTGACTGCTCTGACCTTGACCTCTGAACTCGCTTTGCTCAACTCTCCACCGATCTCCACTGTTTCCAATCTCTATGTTTCTATACCACCTTTGTCTGCCGTTGTTTTTTTTTTTTAGTTATCCCCCGTAACTCTCGTTTTTATAGCATACTTTTGTGGGCTAGTCCCAGTATTGAAGCTTTTCTTTGGTTTGCGTTGTATCCCGATCCCGAGTTATTTAAACACATTTGTAGTCCACGTAACTGAAGCTAAGCATTCTCCCATTGCAGGATGAGACCCCGCAGAGTTTCTTCGATGATCATGGCCTTGGCTAAGTTGGCTACCATAAGCAAAATTATATTACTTATCGAACCCATTTCAAGTCGCCTTAAATGTATGCGTGTATTTGTATTTAACGTAAACCCGAAAGATGAATGGTTCTATTATTATTTAACCACCACCCTGTGTCAGCATAAAATATAGTGTATAGAAATGCTGTTAAACGTACTCCTAATTTTCGCTTGGCAAATGCAATTTGCAACTAAAACCTGTATTCTACCATATATAAGCAGCAATATCCTTTTGCTCACACACACATTCGTACTTGTAAGGAATAACTTTTTAGATATAAGCCAAGTCAAGCGAAGCAAAACTATCTATATCGACGGTGTGCTCAACTTTTTAGTTGTAAGATAAAAGTCCTCAAATATATGGAAATTGCTGTACCCGAAGTAACCAAAAAATGATCTGTTTGCTTTCTAAATAACTTTCAATTAAATAAAAGCTGTACTGACTGTGAGTGTTACTAGTTTTTAAAAATGCTGGTGTAGGTCTGTTGGGATAGACATGATTTTTCCCAAATTTGAATATTTTTGGAAAAACATTTTTATTTGGGCACATTTTTTGGCTGCGAGTTGGCAGTCCATCGGACCAACAAATTGTTGATTTCATTTTTATTTAGGGGGAGGGCGAGAGAGTCACGGCACAAGCGCTGGCATCCTGGCTGAGAGTCCCAAAGAGAGACGAGTGAGAGCCGGAACGGGAGCTCCCACTAATTTCCCCCTGTTTGTTGTTGGGGGCCATGGCGCTCCAAACACCCGCACTCACCAACAGGAACAAGAGCGCCGGGAGAGAGCTGCGAGAAAGTTTCGGCCCAGAAACAAGCACTAGGGATGTAAACAACTAAATAACGGTCTATCGATAATATTAAAATAAAATTAAATTATTTAAAAATATAATAAAATTAAATACAGATTTATAAAATTAATATTGGCTTCATATCAAATAGAAATTTTAAAATAAATATTTATATATTTTAAAAATTAGTTAAATTGTAAAGTTATTTTAATAAAAATTCAAAAACTATTATCTTTTACAGGAAATGTTCGACTTTTGAAAGACATTCTTCTCCCCAAAAGATACTATTACCGGAAATTGAAAAAAACTGTATCTGAAGTTCGATATCGATATCTGACGGATACAAATTCGTCAGTTTTTTTTTTTTGGGATACAGATATCGATACTATTTTGGGGCAGAGCGCCCCATCAACTCAAGCGGAGCACAAGCACACACAGCAGCTAGCAGCTAGGTGTGCTCTTCCGTACGTAACGGTTACAATTACGGGACACTGCCATTTTCACAGGGCACCACATCCAAGCACAGGAAAATTTTCACACACACACCAAACACACTCGCAGCGAAAGGTGTGCACGGTGTATTCGGTGTTCGGTTGAAAAATGGAAAACCTGAAAAACTTTAAGAAACTTGTGCGGTGAAAATTTTCCATCTGCAAATGTCCCTCCTCCTCCCCCACCAGCTCGAAAAGCGAGTGAACCACCGAGTGAAAAGTCTGAAGTGTGGGGAAAGGCCATCGAAGGCAAAAAAAGAAAATGTGTGGAAAATTGCAAAGCGAAATCAAGTGAAAATCTCGGCAAAGGCAGCGGCAGCACCAGTGCTCGTGAAAATTAAGTGTGCAAAATTTTGCAGCTTCAAAAAAATATATGGTACATAAAATTCCTGTGTCCCTGTGTGCGTCTCCCTCTCGCTTTCTCTCTCTCTCGCTCCCACGAGCGACGAGCTTGTGGCTGTGTGTGTGCGCGTGAAAATTACGTTGTCATATGTGCCTGTCCCGTGGCCAAGTGCTGAAAATTTCCAGGCTCCGGATGAGCCATCAACTTTAGCATAATTATGGCCTCTTTTGAGTGATTAGCAATGAAAAAGCCAAAGACAAGGCCACACAAGATGCACGATTGTATGAGTGTGATGGTGTTTGTGCATGTCAGTGGGTGTTAGTGTGTGTGTGTGTGTGTGTGTGGCAAGGAATCAAGCCGCGCCAGCAAGAAAAAAATTCTCTATCTATTGCGATTTGCTCATGCGGCCCGAAAAGAGCGAAGCGCGCAGCATTTGCAGAGGGGGTCGAACACCAGGAGCGATGGGGGCTAAGGAGGCGGCAATGTGGGAGTGGGTCTCGGCACTGGGAATGGGATTTAGATTGGAAGAGGAGGGGGTGGCTCGTATGGGCGCCACCATGGCCCCAGTGGGTGCGAAGTACCGTACCGTTGCTGTGTCTACAGTTCTGGAGTGTGTGTATACACACACACTCACTCACACAGTCTCCCAGCTCTACAAAAATATTCCCCCATAAGTGCTCGGCACTTGTATTTTCTTCTCGCCTCTGGGCCCCCCATTAGCATCCATAATTTCCATTTTCGTTTCCATTTCCATTTTATTCTTTCGTTCTGGCCAATTTGCCAAAACAATAATTCCCCTCCGATTGGAAAAGTAAAGCCGCAAACTTTTCAACACCTCCACCCCCCCACCGCCCTTTCTGGCCTGGCCAGGCATTTGTTGCAAAAAATGTAGCTCGTTGTGATTTATCCTTAAACTTGGCCACTTTTCGTTCAACCGCTACGCCGTGGTGGAGTTGGATCCTAGGTGCGGTGTAGTAGGGACGTGATTGTGGTGAGATGACGAGTGCGCATGTCGCACGCCTGGTCTTGGTGGCCAGGACTTGGACACACAGGACACCACGGGCTAGGGACGTGGTATAGGGACATTCCACGTCGTCAGGCTGGCTCCTCACACAGTTGCGGTACGAAAAAATAGTTCTATCCAAGTCCAAGTTCAAATACTTGCCAAGGGGTTTCACCTTAAACTGGTTTCGCCAAATCCTATTAAGTTCAAAGTCATTATCGCAAAGTTTGCATTTGCTTAGTGAAGTGGAGGGTCCTTCTCCTAGGAATCATTATGTTCTTTGATTGTTAGTAGTGGGTTATTGGAAAGCAGGGCGGAAAAGGTATATCCAAAGCTAGATTGTAGAACTAAAGTAGCTTCCGGTAGGCACTCCAAATAGTCTTCAGAAAAATCTCTGTTTTCAATGAATAATCATATGTAATCCTTTTTTTTTAAACTTTCTTCTTAAATTCAAATTCCACAAAAGTTTAGCTATTAATTTTCGTATACACACACCAAGGATTTGTGTGTCCTTTATGGACATCAAGCAGAAAACTTCAAGTGTCGTTACCTTTGTTTCCGTCTATTATTAGGACCTCTATGATATAATATTTGACTGGATTGTCCTTGGCCATCGCCATCTCATTCACGGTGGATATGTGGGGTGTTAATTGGCTCATCACAGAACATGTTGCATACTTGAGGGCGTCGCGACTATGGAAATTAATGGAATTCTGAATTAAAAAAAAAAAAAAGGAAAATTCCCACTGCAGTTCATGGTTTTTTTACTCCCTTTCTCTTACCTGTCTGGCTTTCTCTTTCTGTTTTCCCTCCTCTCCAGCGATACACGCTGTTGATATCATATTTTTTGCCACTTCTATTATTATATTGATGTCTACTACTTTTTTATGGTGCTCCAAAAATACTGGGAACTTTTTTAGCCAACTCACCACGCATGACGCGCGCTTTCTCTCTCCTACTCGCTTTCCCAGCGAAACACACACACACACACACTCTCGCTCTCTCTTTCCATCGTGTGGATTTTATTATCGGGAAACGTTTTCGCTTTTTTTTTGAATTTGCTGTTTTTTGGGGGGTGCGGCGCTTACGTATCCAACGAAAAGTGGGAGGTGGCGTGCAAAGCGAGGCGCCGAGAGAAGTAGAGAGCAAAGTTAAAGAAAAACATGCTTCGAACTGGTGCTGTTAAATATTTAATATATTTTTTAAAAATGTTCTAAATGATGTATCATTATTTTCAAGTTAAATAAAATTTCAAGCTCTGCATCCAGCATGTTGCAGTGTGCGCAGTTGCATCAGGACTCTCGCTAGTGATGGTGGGCGAAGGCGCGAACCAGAAACGCTTTCAAATAACCGAAAGCCACCAAAAGTGTTAATATTCGAAAAAATATCATAAAATACTATAAAAAAAAGCTGGCTGCCGTTTGTTTGAGAATTTTCCGAGTGAAGTGAAGACCTCCCGCCGAGTAAAGTGTGCCTACGTGTGTGCCTGTGAAAAATGTTATATACAAAATACAGAAAATAAACGTATAAATATGAAACAAATAATTAAAAATAAAAAGTCTGTGAAATGAAAAGTAATCAATAATTTTTTTTCTTAGTGCAGCGCCTAAAAATTGTAAATATTTAACCGAAAACAGCAACAAACTCACCACCAAAGAAAGTTAAATAAAAACGTTGAAACAAAGCAAAGATGAATAAAGCCAAACAAATATGATACATAGCCAATATGTATATAGAAACCTGTAACTAATATTCAATTCAAACTAAATGATAACCAAACGAGGAACTACTGTCTCTGAACGAACCGATCCCGGCAAGCAAATGTCCGGATAAGGGAGCCGCCACCTGACCAATGGATGAAAATGCAGCCGTCGTCGTCGCCACTTTTGCCGTCGTCGTCGTACTCCGTTTCCATTTCGCATCAGCAGCAGCAGCAGCAGGAAAAGCAGTCGGGAAAGCCACACCACCAGAAGAAGCTAAAGCAGGAGAAGCAGCAGCAGAAGCAGGAGCTATCCAAGCTGACCGGAATCAAAGTTTCGTCCTGCCACGGCCACGCCACTCGCACGTCCTCGATCGGTACGGCAGCGCTGCCTCAGGCGTCGGCGTCGACGTCAGCCGCACCGGCAGCAGCGGCCTAAGTTGCCAACTTGCCGTCAGATTCCCACTTCGAAATAGCCCAAGAAAGCCGATATTGCAACAGTAACTGCAACCTTAACTACAAAAGCAACAAAAAAAGCAAACCAGATAGCTGAGAAACAAAGGAGGAGAGACAGTGGGATAGAGCGGAAACGGAAGCAAGCCAGGGAGAGCGAGAGCGAGCGGGCAGCGGACACAGGCAAACAAAATGGCGGATGGTGGGCATTCATTCGTAAAGAAGACGTTTCATAAGCCAACATACTGTCACCACTGCTCGGATCTGCTCTGGGGCCTCATCCAGCAGGGATATATCTGCGAGGGTGAGTACTTAAAAGCCTTTTTTTATTTGTGAGCTTAATTATTTGAGCTAGGATCTACATATATGCATTTTCCAACACTAAGTCTCTTGTCGAAATTTTTGTTTTTTCCAACATTGGGCATGGGTGCTTCATGTAACAAAAATAAGTTGTAATTAATGAGCACTAAACTTAGGCGAGAAAAAGCAACACGCAAATCATCGAATATCTTTAACGACCGGGGCTGTGGCAGTTGTAAAAATACATTTCGTCTAGTTTTGAAAATACTTTTCAATTTTTAAATTGCCATAAACTTGGAATGGAAATGCGGCCGCTGATGATGCGGATGGTGAGGTTGTAAAAACAGAGACTTGCACAGACATTACAAAAACAAGGATAAATATAGAGAAATATACTTAAAAAATAATAGTTTTGTTTAAATAAATCTAGCTAAATTCTAAAAAAAAAGTTAAGAAAAGTAAGGATTGTTAAAGACTCTACTCATTTCCAATGAAAAATTCCTAATTCCTAAAGCAAACTTCACTTATTTTTGTACAGTGCTCTTTTAATGGCTGTCTCAACCTCATACCACATGACCAATGGGTCATCCATAGATTGTATAGATTCTGACAGGCAGGGGCAGCATTCACATACGGTATAGTACTGAGTGTAGTATTGAATTGGGGCAGCATCATGTGTATATATCGGGCTATTTGTGGCCGAGAAGTGTGCGCGTTTGAACTTTTCCAAATTGTGCGGCAGAACGCCAACGACGTCATCGACAGCTCCGATTTGCTCAGTGTGGCATATATCCGTATGTACATGCCATTGCCATGGAAATCTATAAACCAGAGCACATCACTGGCGCAGCAAAATGTAAGAAAATCCGTGTCCAGAAGCAAATCGAATTGAATCGGATCGAAAAGGAATAGAATTAGAATTTTTGACTCTCCCAATGGGAAGCGTGTTAGGCGCCTCGGATCGTGATGTATTTCCTTGGCGCCCCTCCCTCCTGTAGCCTCTGGCATGGTTGTTTATTTTTGCAATTTTGTTCATGGGATTTGCGGATCGTGTTGTTGCTATTATTATAATTATAGCGAATTGCGCTTGCCATTTTATGTTTATAGTTTTGCCGCAAGTGCCCGCCCCTCGGCCACTTCGCATTTATTCTCAGACTCGCAGATTTCCAGCTGAACCGCCATTAGCATCATTGGCACTATTAACACATTTTAGAGGCAGTATGTCTACCAGAACTGAGTGGGCTGGGAGTACGAAAGGTGCATAGATCTTTCATACGAAATAATAAAATATCATCATATAAAATGTATTGCTTTGAAAATCTTTCTAAACCCCAAAAATCCATGCATTTCAAAAACCTATAGATGTGGTTCCGAGTATTCCCAGCGATCCATGTCTCGTTCCTCTGATCGTCTTTATGGCCAATTCGAAAGATATTTAAAATTGTATTCTGAATGAAACAGAAAATTCTGTCTAAAGGCACTCATTCGCATTGCACCAATGAACTTTATGGCTTTTTTCGTCTGCTGACCAGACCAGATGATTTCGACTTGTTTTCGTTTTGCTCGCATTTGACATTTTCAGTGCATTTGGCGCTCTGTTAATTGCTGGCAAAACATCCGATATTTATATTAAGTATGCATATAGACACAGTATATAGCAAATTATTCTGTGCAGGCGAGGCATGTGTACGAAATGTGTTGCATACCCTCGAGGGCGTCGCTCTTTGGACGCTCATCACGCATACGCCGCGTTGGCCGAACCAGAAAATGGAGCAACCAGAGGCGTTGCTAAAGAGTACTCGCCAAAGAGACGTCATAATTGAGTTGAATATTTAATTGGACCCTAGTTGGATTGGTAGCTGCAGTTCGAGCTCCCTGGCACATGTACTTGCCCACAACCAGAACCAGAAACGGAAGCCGAATCTAAAACCGAACCGAGCTATGCTGGCTCTCCCACTCTCGAAAGTAGGTCAAATGCGAAATGCACTCTCACACATAGACAAACATGCAAACGCTACCACCCACGACCACCCCACCCCACGCCCACAGGCCGCAGGCGAGTTTTCAATTGGTTTTCCAAGGGAGGCGGAGGCAGAGGTGGGGGCAGCTTGCAATTGCAGCAGCAACAAGAATCAAGAGCAGCAGGTGCGCACCTAAATCAAATTGGATGCATGACCTGTTGGCAAGGGGGGAGCAAGGTTAAGGGGTACTGCAAGCCGGCAGCTATGCCCATGAACTACCTCCTCAATCCCCAACCCCACGACAACACCCCACCGATCCGAATCAGAATCCGAGTGTGGTGCCCCTGCCGATAGCAGCGAAGGGCTAAAAGTGCGTCATCAATGGCCGCCATGGAACATGACGATGCCGCCAGCGGAACCGAAAACCGAATGGGGTTTAACGCATAGGGGCTTGGGGTGGGGTTCGGTGTTGAGGTTGGGGTTTGAGGTTGCTTTTGGGGTTGGGGTGGAGATCTGATGGTTGGGGGACTTGCCTTGTTAAATGCCTCGTTTTCGATGCCATTCATTCATAACCAAAGTGAGCGGAGAACAACGGGAGCATCAACAAAGGAAAACTTTTCAAAGCGATAAAATAACACACTTTAGAACGATTTTTACCTGGGAAACAATGGAAATACTAATATATTTATAGAGCAAACTTTTTGCTGTTATAGCTTACAGGAAAATTGTATTCCCTTTAATAATTTAATTCAATTTCGTTTCCTGTTTTATTGTTTTTTAGCCAAACAAGGGATCTATAGATTAAAAATATAAAAGGTATTTTAAAACTGATATTCTTAGTCGTTATTAAGTCGGGTTAAACCTAAAAGAAAGTATATCTATGGATGAAAGGAGAAAAATGGAAAGAAAGGTGGAAAGAGAGGACACTGCTGAAGTTGCAAGTCAATCGATTCAATCGAAAAATTTCCCAAATAATAAGGCATCCTTTGTTTAATTTTTGGTATTCTTTTTTTTTAATTGAATATACAATTATATTTATGTAGATTTTAAATAAAGACGTTGTTGGCGAAATATGGGAAAATTCTTTTACAAAAATTAGAGAAAATCTAGCTAGCTTAAATGAATAATAAATGAATAATAATTTACATAAATGAAAAGAGCATTCATAGATTCTATTCTTTCTTATTCGATTCGATGATTTAATCCTTATTGGACATGTGCCACACAACTGTGTTTATCTGTATGCTTATTTATTATTAAGCCTCTCCAGCTATTTTTAATTCAAGGCACTTCGCTTGCTGCTGCTTCTTCGTGGTTAACTGTATATGCTGGTGCTTCACCTCAATTGAATTGTATAACTCTCCTTGGGCAAATATCAATTTTAATTGTGCTTCCTCTTCACGCACTACGCATGTCAACTTGTGCGTATTCAATTGTCCCTAACCCCCCACTTGCTTTTGCTTCCTTTTCGTCCTTCCCCTTTCTATATTCATGTGTGTGTGTGTTCGTTTGAATTTGGCTTTGTGCTTCTTCTACTCCATCACTCGCTCACTTGCTCGCGCTTTTGTTATTCTTGCTTTTATTGCTTTAGCCAAGGAAAGGAAAACGAGCAAAAGCGAAGAAAAAGTAAAAGTGTGTTGAGTTTTCAAATGAAATTTCCCCCTACAAGCTCACGCATACACACACACACACGCACACACACTAAGCGACGGATGGCCAAAAGAAACTCATTTCAAAAATTTCCCCATGCGTTGGCGTCGCTGCTTATCTACGTCTAAAGAGAAAGAGAAAAGAGAACCGCAAACGGTGAAAGGAGAAAGCGAAATGGCAGAGAGAGAGAGAGCGAGCGAGAGAGGGCACACACTGAATTTTTTGGTATACATAATGCAGGCATGCAACAAACTGAAAAAGTACATAACAAATACAGATCTTAGCCGCTGACCCACAGGGCGTATACTTGCTCAGCTGTTGCTTCTGCAGCCACCCTCCTTTTTTTCCACCGCACGTGCACCAAAACAACAACAACAACAACAGCAACGCTAATATAAATGGCTATAGTTAGAGCGAGACAACCGCCAGTTATGATTGGCCTTTCAACTTCAATGGAAAAGCGAGCGTCACGTTCGTCCTCCGTCTGCTTCTTATTCTTGGTTCGCCTCCTTCTGGTTGCACTGCTTGATGGTGGTCTTCTGTTTTATTTATAAAACGACCCAAAAAATATACCCATCCATACAACAAAAATCTAAAGCACATTCACGAGTTCATTCATGACGTCAGCGTTGCGCCTCAGGTCAGCGGCCTAGTTTTCTGCTCCTGCTTCCTCTTCTTGCCTTGCACACACACACCAACACACACACACATGCGAACAAAGAGATAATTATGCATTTTACATACGGACACGCGCATTTGAATAGAATTTTTTACGCCAGGCTAAAAATAGAACTATGATATCTATGTTGAGGTGCTGCACAAAAAAACAAACATACAGACATAAGTACTATAAATACACAGTCGTGTTGCAGAGAAAGTGCTGCACTTATGCCTCGCATCTGGGTTTGGCTTTTCGGGCAGGTGGACATTGTTTTTGGGGGAAAAGTGGCAGCTTCCAGTGTTGCTAAGCAATCGCCTTGGGGGCTGGCCACCCACCGCACCCACCGCCCATTCTCTTTGTTGGCCACTCAGCTCGTTGCATGCCCCCACCATCTCTGTGTGTCTCTGTGTGCCCTGCGGGGAACTTCAATGAATGCGCCGTCGTCCATGAACTCGGCAACTATGAAACTATGAATGGCATGCAGGCTGCCAATGACGCGGTGACTTTGCGGTTGCCCAAGGAGAGGGCCATTTAACGTACAGTGGTGTCGTGGGACTCAGAGACTACTTAACGAGTCTCTTGCAAAATACTAAATACATAACAAATACTAGATTAATATACTGCATTATAATAACTACGTACTACGGTGCGTATACGTAATATTTTATTTGCTATGGATAACACTACGATTTAAGCAATTTAAAAGGCAATATTATTTTAGAGTCCTTAAAAAATGTATAAAAAACAATTGACAGCTCCCATTGAGCTATATCTCACACACGTATTGGCACAACTGCCTGTTCCATTTAGATAAGCTTTTAAATAACTTCTGAACTTTTGCCGACATGTCCTATAACCACATCTCTCTCCACCGCTTGCAGTTTGCAACTTTATCATCCACGAACGATGTGTCAGCAGCGTGGTAACGCCCTGTTCCGGCATCGCTCCATGCATTATAAAGGTATGTAACCAGAGGACTCTGACACACCCTCGCTTGGGGAATGAATATAACTGTCATGTGTCATTCCGTACAGAATCCCGTTGCCCATTGTTGGTCCGAGCCAACTCATCACAAGAGAAAATTCTGCACAGTTTGCCGTAAGCGATTGGATGAAACGCCAGCGGTGCATTGTTTAGGTAAGTGACAGTGTGAGTGAGTGCCCCACCCTGTGTCCCATAGCCGTCAGGATTCGTGTCAGTCACAACGATCCTTTGTTTGAATAAGGGAGAGCATAATTGTGAAAACTATCCACAAAATGTAACTCTTACCATCAGTCTTTAATATATATTTCATTTCGAATTCCACAGTCTGCGAATATTTCGCGCATATTGAGTGCCAAGATTTTGCCGTGCCCGATTGCACCGAGAATGCCACATATGTGCCCGGCAAGGAGTTGCTTAATGTGAAGCACCAGGTGAGTTGGAGTTGGTCTATCATAGTAGTGCCACAAGATCACTTATATATCCATTCCTATATAGCACCACTGGCGAGAGGGCAATCTTCCATCAACGTCCAAATGCGCCTACTGCAAGAAAACCTGTTGGTCCTCGGAATGTCTCACTGGTAAGGATCATTGGCTTAAATCTCATCTGAAAGGATACTAACTATGGATGTGACTTGTCCTTTAGGCTATCGCTGCGAGTGGTGTGGCATGACGACCCATGCCGGATGTCGCGTGTACCTGCCAACCGAATGTAATTTTGGTATTCTACAACCTATCTACTTACCTCCGCACTCAGTCTCGATCCCGCGCACCGAGGTGCCCATCGAGGCCATCATCGGCGTCCAGGTCAAGTCGAAGACGACGCTCGTGCGTGACTACTCGTGTCGTAAGTACCTTGCTAGTACTTCCCGGATCTCCCACTTATTATCCCGATCCAATCGATTAATAAAGCAAATATCCTAATGAGCCGAGCTATCTTCTGTTGGACAGGAGCCAAGTATAGATGGTTCTTCTCCTCAGGGGTAGCCGGTGCAGTTCACCCTCTATATAGCGATATACCGTTACTCACCCATACCCCAAAAAGTTGCTCTTGATGTTGTGTTGTGTGCACACACATTCCAATTCGAAAAAAAATATTAAAAAAACAAAACTCCAATGATCAGCCAATCTCACATCGCTCCAGCTCATCCAGCTCATTCAGATCATGGCAGACAACTACTTCTCACACCATACCCATCCTTTGAAATCGATGAGGTTTCCACACGATTTTCCTTTTACATTTTTTCCCTCAACTCTTTTGATTTTTGATTTATTTTTTGTGTTTATTCGTTCTTTTCTTTTCTTTTCTTTTCTCTCTTTTTTGCGTTTATATGCGTGAATTTCCATTTTCGGTTCGATTATGTCTATGTGTGTGTGTAATGGGCCCGGCCCGGCAGCCAGTCCGGATTTGAGTGCCGGATCCGGAGTGCCAGCTGGTGGGGCGCTGGACCTGAAGGAGCTGCTCGAGCTCCACAGGCAGCGACGCGAGCAATCGAAACAACATTTTCTCCTTTCCACGCCGCCCACGCCCACCTCTTGCGGCTCCATCTCGCTCTGCCACTCGCCCACTCCCTCCTCGCTGACAGTCGGCGAGACGAGCAACGATGCGGAGCAGGACCCGGACCAGGAGCAGGACCAGCAGGAAGGAGAGGAGCCGGAGGAGGAGATCACGGAGCACGACAGTGCCCTGCAGCTGACCACCTCCACATCGAATGTGATGTTGGGCGCCCTGCCAAAGTCCCCATCTGCCAACTCCTCGCTGCACTTGCTTTACACGAGCATCTTCCGGAAACTGGGCCAGGGGAAGCGGCGACGTAAGAGGGGCTCCGACGGGGGAGGCATCTCGCCCAGCGAAGACGAGGACGACGTGGATGGCGGAGTCTGTGATATAAGCGGTGGCGATCTCAGCGACGACTACGACCACTGCGATGTGGCGTTGCGGCGGCGTTCGTTGCGCTCCCGGCAGCCGCGGGATGTCAGCGAAACGGACTACCACGGCGATGCCGAGGCGGACGCAGAGGGCGAGGGAGAGACTGCGCCGCGGGAGAGCTGCTACGAGACCTCGGACACGGGCGGCGAGCTGACCAACACCGACGACCTCGACAGCAGCATGAATCTGATCAGCAACCTTAGCTATAATAGTAGTAATAACAGCCACGCCTCCAATGCCCCTGGAGGCGGGGCGCCACCACATCCCCTTGCCACCACCACTGCCCCGGGAAAGTCCGGACTCGCCTTGAGCGTCCAGGGAGGACGCCAGCAACCCAAGACTGGGGCTCTGGGCCACGCCAAGCCCAAGCCCAAGCCCATGAGCCACATGCACAAGGCCCAGGGCAAAGGGGGCTCTCTCAGCTCCCCCCTCTCGAATTCCAACTCCAGCGACTGCTCCTCCGCCTCACCATCCGTGCCAGCCACTCTGCTGCAACTCTCGCCGGTGGGCAGGAGCAAATCGTTCCAGGAATCGGCCGGCATGACGGCAATCTCCCGTTACAAGAAGTACGGACGTGGACTTTTCCAGCGGCGCCGCTCGAAGAGATCGCCCAAGAACGCCTCGACGGCGCCGGGCGGCAAAAGCAACTACAGCCTGGACCGGCTGTCGCAGAATATCGAGATCACCATCCAGGACGAGGATGGCAACTACCAGCCGTACGACGACAACTATCACATGTTGGCGCGCCGCCTGGACGCCACGGATGTGGACGACGATGTCGGCTTCGACGATCTCTATCTGGACGACCGGCCGATCGGCGGAGCCAGCGACGACCTGGCCGCCTTTGCCGGGGACATCAGCGACGGGGGGGCCAGCAGCCGGTCGCGGGCCAGTGACGCCAGCGATGGCCATGTCCTGGGCCGGCTGCTCCGCCATGTGCGGCAGGGTCTCTCCGTTGGCTGGCGCAAGCCGCGCTACCAGAAGCGCAGAGGTGATTAGCCAACCGTTCCTCTCTCTTATTTTTTCCTTTTAGACTCTTTTGTCCTTTTTGTCCTGCTAACAGATAAAAATTAGAATTAAGAACAAATTGGGGGAATCGATTTCGGTTTCATGGTCCTTATTTTGCGCTAACAACTTTGTTTTTGGTTTCGGTTTCTGTTCCGTTTTCTGGTTTTTCGTTTGAGCCAATCAAGCCAAGCCAAGCCAACCACCCACCCACCCACTAATCGCTAACCATCGAACCACTAATCATCCACCAGGCACCATTCCGCACCCCACATTGCAAATCACTTATCATTAACCCACCACACCCGCATGCCCAGCAATCGAAAAAGTACCAGCACCCTCTTAGGGTCAAAGGTTCAAAGCTTTGCTTCAAAACCCCAAATGAATTGGATAACTTTTTCGAGTGCCTCCAAGTGTCTAACTGCTTCTGCTGCTAATAAAAGATTTCGTGTTGCACCCTTCTTGAGATCAAATACTGAATGAATCTCTTGTGATTCCAACAGCACGGAGCATATCCGAGGAGTTCAGCAGCGGCGACACACCGCGCTTCAAGGACGAGGAATCGGCCAGCAAAACCGAGTCGGGTCATGGGCCGAGTAGCGGAGGTGGTGGCACAAGCGGAGGCACCGGTGGTGGGTCTGGGGGAGCAGGTGGCTCGTCCGCTGCTGGGGGATCAGCTGGAGGTGGCTCCACTGGCCACTACAGACCCGATTCCGCCGGCCACAAGTCGGACAAGTCGGAGAAGGATCGCGAAAAGAAGGAAAAAGAGCGCGAGGAAAAGGATATAGGTAAGAGTGGCTGAAATATATTTCTCCTTCTTAATCCTTAAACTGGATATCTATGAATATTCACAGAGATGATCAAGGTCTTTGATGGCAACAACTCATTCCGACGCCAGCAGTACCGAGTGATCATCGTACAACGCACATACACGCTGGAGCAGCTGTTGACCACCGCCCTGCGGGCATTCCACATCACCCGCGACCCGCAGGCCTTCTATCTGACCGACTTGTACGCCCCCGCCGGCATGGAGGACGCTCCCCTACTGGACCCCACGCCCGTGCTCAATCTGACGCACCTGGAGGGCAAAAGACCGGCTATGTACCTGCGGTTCCACGATCGCGATCGTGGCCATGTCCGCGTCTATCCCGGCAAGCTGCAGTGCTCGATGCTGGAGGATCCCTATGTCAGTGTTCCTGTAGATAATAGCACAGTTATTAAGGATTTGATACGCGATGCCCTGGACAAGTTTGGGCTGCAGGATAACCAGATACAGGACTACAGGTGAGATTCCCAAAGAGTTGAGCACTTATGGCTTTGACTAAAAAATTGGTCTTTAAGGTGTTCGGAGGTACTACTCGATCGTGGTGTCACTGAGCGCATCCTGTCGTGGAATGAGCGACCCTGGGATATTATGAAGCAGTTGGGCAAGGACTCGATTCGCCAAATGGAGCTGATGCGCTTCTACATGCAGCACAAGCAGGATCCGCACGGCCCCAACATCGCGCTATTCGTGGGTAATCTACCCACAGGTCTCTCGCAGCGCAACTACGAGCAGATCCTCAACAAGTATGTGACCGACGAGAACAAGTTCACCAGCATTGGACCCATCTACTACGAGTACGGTTCGGTGGTGCTCACCTTCGAAGACTCCCAAAAGGCGGTAGGTTTTCTTTATCTTGGAAACCCCTTTGAGATCCTTGCCAATCCTGGAGCTTATCTTGCAGGTTCGCGCCTTTTACAATCTTCGCGAGACGATCATCGAGGACAAGAAACTGCTGGTCCTGCTCCTGCCGAACATCGAGCCCAGCATGGTGCCCTCCGATGTCCGGCCACTGCTGGTCTTTGTCAACGTCAAGTCCGGCGGCTGCCAGGGCCTGGAGCTCATCTCCAGCTTCAGAAAGCTATTGAACCCGTATCAAGTCTTCGATCTGGACAACGGTGGTCCTCTACCAGGGTAAGCTACTTGTGCGGCTTTTCTATAACTTTGACTTGACCCTTCTTCTTTTGGTTTTAGTTTGTACGTGTTCCGGCAGATAACCAACTATAAGATCCTGGTTTGTGGAGGCGATGGAACCATCGGATGGGTGCTGCAATGCCTCGACAATGTGGGGCAGGACTCTGAGTGCTCGAGTCCACCTTGCGCCATAGTTCCTTTGGGAACAGGTATGTATCCTGTCTTCATTATTAAGGATATAAACTCTTGTGAAGATATAGAATACTAAACATATCCGACTCCTTCTTTAGGTAACGACTTGGCTCGCGTTTTGTGCTGGGGCTCCGGCTATACCGGCGGCGAGGATCCCCTGAATCTGCTGCGCGATGTTATCGAGGCCGAGGAGATTCGCCTGGACCGCTGGACGGTTGTCTTCCATCCGGAGGACAAGCCCGAGGAGCCGGCCATGAAGGCGCCCTCGCAAACAACCGGTAAGAAGAAGAAGGCACACCAAGCACACCTATCGCAATCGCAATCGCAACAAACCAATCAGCATCATCAATTACCGGCTCTGACATCGAGTGATATATCAGGTCATTTGGTGTTTTCAAAACTTCGTTCGTGTGTTCTTTCTCTACGTTACCCTACGTTATAATCGTAAACCCAGTGTCCAGTGTGTCTAACCCCCCGGTCCTCCAGAGATCCACTTCCAGTCCTCAGACCTTCCATGTTGTAATTAAACTCCGTGCTTTTGGCCATAAAAAAAAAACCACCCAATCCGGCTGTAAAAATTCGCTGGTCTTTCACCAAATCCCAAGCAAAATTAAACGATTAAGAAAGAGATCTTTTATTTGGCCTGAAACCTATAACTGGGAATCTAAACAGTTCTCAGTTATACGTGTTTTTTCAGGCCATTTAAAATCGATCCACAATAGAAACCCACTACTCCCACATAGATAATCCCAATCATAGTTTGGTATCTGATGAAAAATGCTGTTTAGTTTCGATGTGTATAGAAACCATTCGAGGGCACCTGCATGCCAAATCAGGTAAAGTATCATCCCACAAAGTCCAGGCTCTCAGAGACGACTCCGAAATGTCGGGTAAACCTTAGCTCATTATAGTATATGTCCAACTCGATGTTGTCATTTGTTGTTTGGTGTCAATAATGTGTGTCGACTCCAAGGGAGACCAAAACTTAACAGAGACTTACGTTTGCCTCGGTGTCCCTGTCCAGGTGGAGCCCAAAACGAGGACAACTCGCAGATCTTCGTGATGAACAACTACTTTGGCATCGGCATCGATGCGGATCTCTGTCTGGACTTCCACAATGCCCGCGAGGAGAATCCGAACCAGTTCAACTCCCGGCTGCGCAACAAGGGATACTATGTGAAGATGGGGCTGCGCAAGATCGTCGGCCGCAAGGCGGTTAAGGATCTGCACAAGGAGCTCCGCCTGGAGGTCGATGGCAAGATTGTGGATCTGCCCCCTGTCGATGGCATTATTATCTTGAATATTCTAAGGTGAGTTTCCCTTCTCATATATATTGCCAAACAAAGACTCAACCTCTTTTGGCAGCTGGGGCAGCGGAGCTAATCCCTGGGGTCCTGACAAGGATGACCACTTCACCACGCCCAACCACTACGATGGCATGCTGGAGGTGGTGGGCGTTACTGGTGTTGTCCACTTGGGTCAAATTCAATCCGGAATCCGTACGGCCATGCGCATAGCTCAGGTAAGGAAGAAGATGGGCCTTTTCTCATCATTTTTATACATTTATGATTTTTTATCCTATGTAGGGTGGTCATATTAAGATACACCTGAACACCGACATGCCCGTTCAGGTGGATGGTGAGCCTTGGATCCAGAGTCCTGGAGATGTGGTCGTTCTGAAATCGGCCCTCAAGGTAAGTGATCCTGTTCGGATTTTGCCATCGCCGTTGCCTTTGCCTTGCATGAGTCCTTTTATGTTTATTTTCCAAGGCATGCCTGCTTCTTTAATTACGAGCTATTTCTGCTTTAATTCTAAATAGTTAACATTCAAACTTTAAAACATACTAATTCAGCTCATACAAGCGCACCTTTTGTTTCAAACTTTTTGTTTTTCAATTTAAAATTCCAAAAAAAAAAACTATTATTAATTACACTTAATTTTGTTAAAAAAAAAAAGAGAAAATACTTGACAGTTTGAATAAAGTTCTAAGCCGTGTTCTTGGGAGCTACTACCACATATGTTTATAAGGACACGACACTAGGAATGCGTATGATTTGTTTGTTTAGTGTAATATTTTGACAAACAAAAAAACAGAATGGCGATCGGTTGGTTAAAAAATGGCGATTCTAAATTAATTCAGATAATTTAAAGAGAATCCTAAATGAAATTAAAGGGACTAATTGCCACCGATTACCATCCAGTGCGTGTGTGTTGGATATGCGAGTTATGTATGTTAAGTTTGTAATTTGTCCTTTGGTATAACTCCCGCCCGATATGTCGTAATTAATAGAGCACACACCAACCCGGAAAACCCCCAGGGCACTAGCCGCTAACCTCCTAACCCTAACCATGTAAAATATCCACCCAGTCCAGCCACGTATTTTTGTGCATTTTTTGTTTGTTGATTGTGGAGATGGCAGCTAAAAACCAAAATCAAAGTAATTCAAAAACATTATGTAATCAGAAAATAAAAAAAACCATAAACTTTGTAGTGTTCTCTCTGTTTAATGTGTGTGAGTGTGCGTGCGAGTGTATGTTTTTGTCGGATTTGACAATGTGTGTGTTTTATGCTACATCCAGGCCACCATGCTGAAGAAAACGAAGAGTAAGCGCCGCCTCACCGAGCCGCATATCTCGCCGGCGGTCTTGAGTCTGTCGGTGGTGCAACAGCAACAGCAAAGCTCCCCGCAGTCCCAATCGCAGTCGCAGTCCCAGCAGCAACTGCAACAGCTGCAACAGCAGCAACAACAACAGCAGCAGCAGCAGCAACAGTCGCAGCAACAGCAGCTGGCCGAGAATGGGGAGAAGGAGTCATCCTTGGCGCTGCCCTCTGGTTTTGGCAGCACCTAGAGCTTGGCCTTTGGCCTACGATATTGGTTCTCCTGTTTATTCCCCTAAAAAAAAAAAAAAAAAAAAAAATTTAAAAAAAAACCAGATAGAAAATAACAGAGTAACTCCACTAAAACCAAAAAAAATATAACCAATAACCGATAACAGATAAGAATAGCCGCGAAGAATCAGGGATGAGGCATCCAGAAATTGGCAAAAGCCAAGCTACAAACAGAGATCCTTCTTCCAAAGCCTAGAAAGCCAAATAGCAAAAATAGTAATGTGAAAAAATTAAAAGTTGAAAAATAGATGTAAATAAAAGTTGGTGCTGTCAAGCTCTAAATACGTACTTAGAACCACCCACAGCGAGAACACAACCAAAACCACCAACCAGAAACCACCCACTGCACAAGAAGAACTGTGACCACCGCTATTGATCTTGAACTAGCTAACTAAATCCACCACACCCATACACTGAAACACGCCACACCCACACACCAATACACCACAGCAAGCCGAGCGCCTAGAAGATGTCTACAATTTTCGTTTTTACTTTGGATTCTTCTAGTTTCTTTGATTTTGATTGGAAAGAGCGCAAATGCAATGCCATAATTCTTCGAATTTAATTATTTGTTTTCTTAATTTTCTTAACCAATGCAATGCTTTCGTAAACCATCATGCAGTATCGAAATATGTATAACCGAAAAACCATTTAGTTAATTGAGTTCCGTTGCATTTTGCCTGATTTGTCAGCCAGTTTTTTGCGAATCTAGCTTTTGAACTACAACTCTAATCTAAGGCAATCGAAATTAATTTCCTTTACATTAACTCTCTCTGTTCTTTACTCTCTCTTTTTTCTCCTTCCTAACGAAATATATATAAATACACAAAAAACTAACACGAAACCCTTACGAACCGATCCAAACATATCCGATCTTGACTCTATGATAAATGAATATTTTTACTCATTAATGCACCGGATGCTTGATTTCCGTTTTGAAATTTTAAACTATCTCCCAACCTATATCTCCTTCTGCAAAAACAAACCAACAAAAATTATAAACATATTGAATTGAAAATTACCCGATTCAGGCCACCATGTTGAAAAAGAACAAGCTGAAAATGAAACGTCGGAACACGGAACCCACCATGATGGTGGCCGGCTCGGCCGCCCCGCCATTATCCCTGGCCCTGCCGCCCAGTGTCGGTGAGGTGGGCGTGGCCGGCGAGGGCGCCGAGGCAGGCGATGGCGGGACAAACAATACGGATTTCTGAATATGGTACAGCGAGCGTCTGATTTAACGTGCTAATTCCAGCGCAGAACCAACTGCAGCACCGCCCCCACAGACACCACCCACCCACGACAAACCCACCACCCGATCCCCCACCCAAACCACCCAGAAGCCGGAGCAATAGCAGAACCAGAACCCGAACCAGAGCCAGAAGCAGGAGCAGCCAGTAACCATCTCAGCAGTCCACACTCACATACTCTATACTGTATAGTCCGCAGGCAACTCAAATCAAAAGCTGTAATCAAAATTACTTCTTACTTCTATATACATCTATATACATATTATATGTATAGAGTCCAGTCCATATTAGCCAAATTATAGTAGCTCAGCCGCCTTTTCCATGTCTCTGAAATAAGTACGTTAAACTCAAACTGCTCGAACCAACTGTCTGCCCCTCTATTAGTCCCCCAAAGAAACGAAGAAAAGAACCGGAAATGGATGTTCTCGGGGTGGCAGAAACTATACTAACTTTAAATATATAAAACAATAGATGGTAAAAAACGGTAATCCAAAGAATAGAGGAGGGAGGGATTTTATTGAAAATTATAAGAACCATTTAACTCAGCAATAGTCTGGCCCAAAAGTTGTATCAAATTCAAGTTCACAATTATGTTCCTTCAGCAGAAACCGATTAGTGATACCGTTAAACAGAGAGAAGCGCAAGCAGATTAGCAAAAGAAACAGGGAGAACCCAAAGAAACAAAACAAAAAGTACAAAATTGTTAAAAATTGTTTGTTATAACTAAATGAATGAAATCGGAGATGAAGAATACCAAACTATGTCCAAAATATGTCAAAATGGAAGAAGAACGGAACCGGAAGTGTGTTTCAAGATGCAAAAAGAATAAAACCCAGCTAGGTCGAATATGAAAATTGTACAGCAAATGCGAGAAAATTTGTACGAAACCTTTTCTCAACTTTGGTCGATTCGATAGCGAGATATTGAGAAAGAGGTGAGGGGGAAAAGGTGCTAATTGCATAGTTGGCTAACACTAATTGGGACGCAACAACCGGAAATTTGAAGCCACAGGCCGTGTGCTTAGCATTCGGGCCGTGTGGGGTGGATTGAACCTAAAAATAAAATCTTGGATTGTGCAATTGGTATGAATTTTCTCCGCTGCTGTGCTTTAACAAGAAAACAACAAAAGTTATTGAAGAAAACCAAAAAAAAAAAAACAGAAAGAAAATGCATTTTCGAGTGTAGGAAACGTGGGCGTCGCTGTTAACCCAGCGATGCATAAGTATTTCACTTGCATTTGTCTAAGAAGAAAACCCAAAAACTTTTTAGGATGTCAAATCCTCCAGAAGAAGAAGGCAGAGAAGGATGTAGAACGACGATGAGGAGTAGGAGAACAAAATAGGATGAATGAAGATGGAAAAAATCCGAAAACTACAATTTCAACTTTAAAACGCTTATAAAGAAAAACAATTTTTTAAAGTTTTATAACTAATTTTACATTAAGTCTTATGTACACACACGAAGCGGAGCGAATCGCGACTAGAATGGTTACCACCTTGGGTGGGTCGAGTGCGAATCTCCCGCGCCTGCGGATATTCGCCTGCGCACTCGGCCCATCCCTGGTACACAACACTGCGTGGCGGCCGGCCCAGCTGGGTGTGCGAATATCCGGATTCGAGTAGGAGGCATCCTGCCCCACTCGGCTTACGGCAGCGGGACGCACTCAGCCGGTGCCGGCCGTCCAAACAAGGCCACACACACAGGCGATATGCCCACGAGCAGACCGTTATTATATCCCCCGGGAAGAGCTGTCAGGAGCTCGCCTATTGCCATGAAGCGACACGGAAATCGCATGGCACTGGTCACCAAAATCCAAAAACCTATAACCACCTGCCAGACCCGTCCCTCTCGGGAGGCGGGGGACAGCAGGGGGGCTTTTGAGCTTATCAAAGGAACAACCACTCACCTCTTGCGTTCAGCAAATCACCTCGACCGGCTGCGATTAAGGGGCTCAATGCCTGGGGTTAATCGGACCCACACTAGACCGATTTCCGTGAACTAAAATTATATAGGATGGCCCGCCGGGCGCTTCACCAGATGGCTATGCAATGGATAAACGAAAGGAAACGCGCGCCAGAGCCACAGTTTTTTACATTTTGAACATTTTGCGATTATTTAGCTTAACGAATTCGACACTCTCCCATCCCAGATTGCGTAGCCATTTGGAATTCACAGCGTTGCGGCGAGGTTGTCCGCCATTTTCCAGGATTCCGTTCCAAAGTAGGGGCTCTGGCCCCGAAACCGAATGGAGCCTGGACCAATTAGCCCTCGGCAATTTAAATCGCAGCCCGCAGGAGATTTGGGTTTTCACCTCATTTCGTACAAAGATAAACCATAACAAAGATACACTGCACATCGTTTTTTACCACCATGCGTTATGTTTTTTAAATGTATTTCAAATAAAAAAAAAAAGTAAACAAAAAACCAAAAGAATAAAAACAAAAAAACAAATGAAAACAAAAAAATCTAGTCTAAGTTTGAAAGGAAATTACTATAATATGCTATTCAAAGAAATCCAAAACATAATTACCACTGAGCCAGTAAAAATACTATTTATAGTACATACATTGATGTAGTGTTAAATATAAGCAAAACCGAAAAATTACGACAAAAACAAGAAAAAAATGAACAAACAAAATTTCAAGAGCCAAACAACAATTTGTTTCATAAATGCCAGAATAAATGAACCGAAAACCAAAGAATCCAAGCAGTCGTAGATGAAGATGCAAACGTGCATCGCAAAGATTCAGATACAAATCCATAAGTGTACAAGTAACTATTTTTCTCTATACCAAAGTAAATCTCCACCATTTTTGCTCCACATTATGAAATAACTCGATGCAGGCAAAGATTGAATTTGGGAACGAGGGTACCGCTACATACCTAGTGCGAGAATTGCCAAGCGAACAAGTTCAACCGAATCTTTATGAAATTGTTAATTGATTATTACAACAGACTACGCAAGCAAACACGGAATTTAATGTAAAATGTACAATAGCGTCGCTTTAAAGTCTATAAGAACATTTTGTTGCAATGCAAACGTGAAATCCAAACCAAAATCCGTTTGACATTATGGCAGATTCGTCAATAACATCAACAACCAGGACACACACAAACAAAAAAATAACTGCAAAATAAATGTAACTGACATAACAGAATTTTGTATTACTGGTTCGAAATTGGAGGGGCTTTTAAGAGCAAAAGTAAGTATGCCAGATGAATACGGGGCGTATGAGTAATCTGTCTTTCAATGGCTTTGAAGCCTGCCTTCTAAGCGGTTAGCAGAGTCTTTGGTAGGTCTGTCTTTTGTTATTTATAATTTTATTCAACTAGATATGTAAAATGGAATATTCGATTAAATATATATACATAGAAATACATATCACTTAATGGGCTTATACGTTATTAACATAATTTCGATTTACATTACACACAACTACTGTTTACTACATAAATACGGTACGCTGATTCTGGGTTTCCGCCTCGATAACTAGAATGAGGACTGAGTGGCATACGATGATTATAATGCACATTATGAGAAATACGTAGAGAATTACAAACTCCTGGCTGCTTTCAGACGCACACAACTATTTGTTTTGTTCGGAGTCTGAAGAGGCATGGGAAACGATCGGGGGAGTAGACCGGCCGTCATGCTGCTGCTGATTCACCAAGCGCTGGCGCTCCAAATACATGGACACCTTGATATTTCGCACCTGGTGGTTGTCGATGAGTTTCAGTAGAGCGATAACGCCAATTCCCACCGAAATGGCAAACGATCCCCAGGCGCCAAACTGTTTACAAAATAATTTAATTACTGAGTTCAACGATTTATCTAAGATAGTACTTACCTGGGTCGTACCCATTTCAATGTAGAAACCGGAAGTATTGATCTTTTCCGTATCGCCCCGAATGATATTTTGGCCAGCAGAAATCTCGCAGGAGGGAAAGCGCTGGGTCATGCCATCACACCACACAATAAATCCAAGGGTAATAAAAATTGCCGACAATATTGACATGGCCAGCATCCAAATGCCCAAAACCACATCAATGAACAGTGCTATAAATGACGCCTCCTCCTTCATGCGAGCGTATCTATTTAGAAAATAAAAGAAGCAAGCAATAAGAATGTAAATCTTCAAGATTAGGTGTGGATACTGGAAGCCCAAGCAGTTACCTGTATATCTGGACCACGGAAATGATAAGCAGGAAAAAGCCTGTGATAAGTGGGAAATTGCAGAAACCACTGGAGGCCCACTCGACATCGAACATGCCATCCTCCTCTCGCCATTTTCCAGTCGTAAACAAAAGACAGTGGCCACTGTTAGGAATGTAAAATAATTAAATTATTTGCTAGTGGATGGAAAAACTGCGCACTTCCGTACCAGAATTGGTCGAGGTTGATGAACAGCGGCACGATGATGCACAGCGACAGGATGAACAGAATGACATGTCCTGCTATTTGGCTGAGCAGCAAAACATTTGCCAGAGCCATTTCGAGATTTTATCTAAAAAATAAAATTGGCAAAGAAAAACTGCAGCTGTTTCCGTTGCTTTCGTCTTTTCCGATATATCGTGATATCGGTCAGATGCATCGGTATGCGAGTAATCGATAATTTGCAGTGGCCCTGGCCTATAGATCGACCATCTCTAGTACGTCCTCAACTCGTAAAAAAGTGTAAAATTTGTTTACATTAATAAAAGGTAAAAAAGTGTACTTAAAAGGCACTTATTGTGCCCTATTGACCTAAGATAAGATAACCAAGGATGAGGGGCTATTGGCAAGAGTGTGGGAGGCAGCATGAGGGTTGGGAGTGTGCTGCAATGCAAGCAAGAAGAACAAAGAGCAATTAAAAACCATGGGGAGTGGGAGAGAGAGACAGAAGAGAAATGGGAACTGCAGCCGTCGTCTGGTTTCTCCCCCCCACCCCCACCAGTAGAAGCGAAAGGTGAAGATCGCTAAGGAGAATTGTATACCGATTGAACAGCACTCTTCCATTTGCTATCTCCCTCGTTCGCAGACGAAGCGAAGACAGAAGAAACGGAAAAGAAAGCGGGCCAGCGGACTGCAGATCGACGACGACAATGTGCTTATGAGCTAGCCAAGGACCAACAGGACGGCCAAGGAAGCCTAGGAACAAGGTCTGCATTCGGAACTGGAACCGGAGGTCAAGTCGCAGGAGGCAGAAGGTGACCTAGTTTGGCAGGCTGAGGAAGGTGAGTGGGCTGTGGTCCTTTGACACCCAACAACTCTCACTTACATTGATTGCAGCACAATCCCGTAAAGACTCAGGCTGTTCTGTTGCGTTAATCGAACCTTGGAGCATCAACGTGCACTGCCATTAGCTGTAACCTTAATAGATATACTTAAAGTAATTAGTGAACTTGACTAGACGAGCAGAATGTCCAATTCTCACTACAACTATCAACACCAACCGCACTCCGGAGGAAACCACTCAGGAAGCAACGGGGACGGTGAGTACCAAAACCAGCAGATGGTACACCATCCTCAGAGATTGCTCAATGGCCACAACGGCGTTGCGGTGCCGGACATGTGCCTCTTCTGCTTCGAGGTGCTTGACTGTGAGCTGAACAACATGGACGGTCCAGGAGTGCCAATGTTCAGCAACGACGCCTACCCGCTGTTCGTCACCTGGAAGATCGGTCGCGACAAGAGACTGCGCGGCTGTATCGGCACCTTTAGCGCCATGGAGCTGCATCATGGGCTCCGCGAGTATGCCCTGACCAGCGCCTTTAAGGACTCACGCTTTGCCCCGATCTCGCGCGATGAGCTACCCCGTCTCACTGTATCCGTGTCAATCCTGCAGAACTTTGAGGAGGCTCAGGGTCATTTGGACTGGCAGCTTGGGGTGCACGGCATCCGAATCGAGTTTCTTACGGAGCGTGGATGCAAGCGCACTGCCACCTACCTGCCGCAGGTGGCCACCGAGCAAGGGTGGGACCAACTGCAGACCATCGACTCGCTGCTGCGTAAAGGCGGCTATCGGGCTGCCATCACCCAGGAGATGCGAAAGTCCATCAAGCTGACACGCTACCGCTCGCAGGAGATCCAGATGCACTACAGAGAGTATCGAGAGCACCTGGAACGTCGCGCCGGCCAGTTCGGCAAGGTGCAATGCTAACAATCGCACATGCCGGGGCCGAGACGATGATCCTGGCTGAGGGCAGGCCTGATGGCAGTCGTCCTCCTTCTGCTGCTAGCCTTTCAGTTCAGTCCAGCTTGGCGCCCGCTCGCTTAATTCAATTTACAGCCACATTAAAATTCTTTCAAAATATATATACCATGAAATGCTTGACTTACTTAAGCGGCCAACCCCTAAGAAAACAAAGCAACCGAAAGCAATGCATACAAGTTGATTACTGATTACTTTCATTGATGTTGTGGCTAAGGTCAGGCTGGTTTCTATTTTAAATCAAACACACAAAGAAACAATATAATACAAGCATATATAGGAATATGTACTACCGAATCAATACAAAACGCATATATGTAATTCAAGTAAAATGTTCAGCAATTATATTAATAGATTTAACAACTAAACAAATTACATTACTAATTCTAATTCTATGCGCATTAAATAAAGATCGACGCCTTTCGAGTCGTGCAAGACAATGCAAAATATTGCCTCTCATTACCGCCCGGTGGCTGGAGTGATCCAGCGAGTTGGAGTCTCAATCGATTTGGCATTACAAAGTTTCATTGTATATTGTTTTCCATTATGTTTATTGTTCCATTATGTTGTGCGTTGTTACATGGTTTGTACTTCTAACTCTAGTCGATAATATCGATACAATACCGGCATTACATATGTTATAATCTCAACAGGTTGCTATGGAATCGGCCTCTTGGATAAATTGCTTAAAAAAAACTGCGCTACGCAGCAAGGCTAATCAAGTGTTCTAACAACTAAGCTAGTAACAGAGCAAGTTAGTCTACGGCTAAAGCGACGAGCAAGCGCTCCAATAATTACTGGAATACGGTGTACATGTGCAAATGTATATATGTATGCATATATATTCAATATATATAATATTGTGTAGATCGCGGTTATCGCAATAAAGTATGAGTCCATTGAGCTCGCTTTTGAAAAAGCATTATTATTGTTTCGATGATGACAGATGTCATCCGGAAGCGGGTCAGCAAATAAATGGAATTTCCTTCATACCCATCTAATTTTTATGGCAGTTTCGTTAAATCAAACTATGGAAGCTTCAGTGTCCGGTGTCCAGATAGCTTAGCAAACGAATTACGTATACATCCTTTAATGTAAAAGTTTTCTCTGGTTCCTTTCAATCACGCCCCGATTTCAGTCTCAGTGCTTGCACAGAAACTGCTCCAAGCACTGGCACTAGGTGGTCGATAAGGCATTCCACTCGAAGCGCGGATTCTTCGAGTGTGTCACCGGAAGACACTCGGGCTCTACCAGCTTCCATACCCCGTCCACCTGTTCCACTGTTGCCAGGCTACAGTACGGGATCTTGTGAATGACCTGACGGAGTTCATTGGTGCTCCGCGGACATCCTCCGGTCAACTGGCGGGAGCAAGTGTCCAGCGTAGTGGCATGAGCCACCACTAATATATTGCCGGCTGAAATTATTTAACATTGTAGTTGTCGAAATGGGCAAGGAAATCCATTACTTACTTGTACGCTCGAGGAGTTGCAAAATCACGTCATGGTTTCGTTCATAAAACTGCTCTGTGGACTCCTTAAGGCGAACGATCAAGTCTGACGATGGCTGCACCGGCTCATAATCTAAATCAATATCATATTTGGCTTCCACCAGCTCGTTTTTGGACAGCCAGTCGGGCACTCCGCTGGGATACCAGGCCATCCACTCGAACAGGCCAGGCTCAAGCTTAATCTTTTGCTTGCCCTTCAACTTCAAGCCCTCCAAGGCGCTCGTGCAAGTCTGGATGCAGCGGTACGAGGGAGAGCAATAGACATGGTCGATCTGGACATCAGCTTCCAGCAGAGCTTGGCCAATAAGACTGGCCTGGAAGACACCCACGTTGGTCAGCGGTGAATCGTTTTGCCAGCCCTCTGGGCTATTCTTCCGCCTCGGCAGGGTCTTGGGCATGTTCAGATCCTTGCGCATGTAGTTTCCAAACTCATCGAAGCAATACGGTATCCAAGTACCGAATGTAAAGTCAACGCGCTCTCCATGTCGCATGATGTAGACTTTCCGGTTTTTGGCGTGCGAGGCGTCCAGCGAGCCCAGTTGAAGCGAGTGATCCGAGTGGACACTGAGTGTATCGTCCGGGCGAGGAGCCTGCACAGGTGGCGGCTCTACCTGAATTTCATCCACTGGTTGCTTAGAGATTGAGGTGGAGCAGGAAGACATATTGGTAGTGATCTCTATTGTAGGCGTGTTCGGATTATGCTGGTGAGCCAAATTTTGGCTATTCAAAAGCTGCACGGAAGGCAATTCCAGGCAGGGCTTCAGGGTTTGTCGCAAATACTTTTCCACGCTTTGCTCGGACTCCTCAAACGAAGATCCTTCGATGATCTCGGGATGTGTTGCGCCTATAAGTGGAAAATATCCAATATGTTATGAAATTTTCCAAAATCTAATCAGTAAGATAACATACTTTGTTGCAATTCGCGCTGGCGGTCCTCCGGTTCGGTTGATAAGCTACGGCCGTCCACAATGTCCAGGTCCTCGGCTGAGGTCAGCGAAGAAGCCACACTCTTAGAGAGCTGCACCACTCTGTGTAGGGTCCAGGCGTCGGACTCGGCAGTTCGTTCAGTGTAGTTCACTGGTAGGTGACCCGTGCTTCCGGTTAGCCAGGAGATACCCTCTGCCCAGCCGTCACTAGAGCTGTCCACCACCTCGGTATTCAAGTAGATGTAATCCCCGATGCGCAACTCCAGCTCATCCGTCTCGTGTGGATTGTGCGGATAGACGACCTTTTGGACCTGCAAGTAGGGAATCAGGAATTAGATTCGATTCAAGAGGATGGCACTGGTATGTGTGCTAACTTGTTTGGTAGCGAGTCGCGGATCACGCGAATAGAGGCGTAGCTCCCAATTAGAGGCGCAGCTGGCGTCTAGTGTTTCCACGAGTGCTTTCAGTGCATTGAACTGTGCCTGCGGGAACTGGTAGGCGAGAGTCAGGTGCAGGCTCTTAACGTGGGGTTCGAGTGAAATGGCTACGGGTAGTCAGAGGTTATTAGTGGAATGAACGCTGGAAGGGACACTGAACGTGAGTGTCACAGCGGTGCTGCTTATATGCGGTGGAAGGAACTAGGGTGAGTCGACACTTTGATAAGGAATCATGCGAACTGGAACTAATCTTTGGGCGATTCCATAGAAAGTATCGCTTTGGTAGTGAGTGCTTGCAATCGACCCACCCTAAGAATTTTAAAGATATTACAGTAAAAATTCCAAACAATTTTGAAGCGTCACGAAGAATTGCTCTAATTAGCTATATAGATTAGTAAATTATCTACTGGTGGTAGTGAGGCATGCATCGGTTGATAAGCTATTGTGTTCTTAGGTGAGTAATAATTATTAAACTAGGCTAATGGCTTACATCGACTGCTGCGGGGAATACAGCGAGTGCCCGAGGATACTGCTCCGCACCAGGGGAAGCATGCCACAATGGCGTCCAGCTGCTCATAGGTATCGCTAATGACTGCATCATTAACCAGATCCAAATCCAGTTATTAGTGGGCGGACAGGCGTGAAAAAAGTAAAACAACATAGCCGTAAGCCACTCCGAAACTTGGAAAACCGTGAACCGAACCGAACAAAATGTAAAATAAAGGAGAAACCGAAACAGCCCAAAGAAAGTGCAACCAACAGAAAATAAACTGATTGGAGCGTACTTGAGTTGGACACCTCCTTGACGTATTGCAGGGCCAGACGCTTTAGGTAGTTAGCATCCTCCTCAGCCACAAAGAAGCCCATAAAGTTCTGGCTCATGTAGGGCTCCAGCTTCAAAGGACGATCGAGAAGAGCACCCGTCATATCCACCACCTGCTTGAGGGACTTGGACAACTGGAGCGAACATTCGTCAGGGGCCTATCGGAAAAACAAATAATGTAAATTATCCGTGCTGGTTAGAGCAAAACCAATCTTCACCTTGAAAAAGGATACCAAAGTTATGTGGGGCACGTAGTTGTGGGCTCCGTTCCACCCGCACACCTGACGAGACTTTGCCCAGAACTCCTCCAGCTGCTGCAGGAAGGGACCGGTTGGACATGCATAGATGATATACTCCCTAGGAGCACACTCGTCCAGAGTGGAATCGTTTACATGGGCCAGCAGCCAGTCGGAGGCTATTTGCACCCCTCGGTTTCCTGTCGACGCCAGAGCCTTCTCCCTGTAGGGTTGCAAATAAAAAAAAATCAATAAAATCTCTCCACATAGAAGCCACTTTGTAAAAATAGGGACAACTCACGCCCTGTGCCTGGGAAAGCCCATTTGGAGCAGCGTTTGCAGCGGTGTCAGGTGCTGCTTTGAGATGCAGATCCGCGTAGGCGTCTGACTCTTGCGCGGCGGAAGCGTGGCCATGTCGGTGCACCTCAATGATTCCAGGATCCTTTTCCCTTTCAACTCCTTTTCTTCTGATCCTTTTTAGATGCCCTTTTCAGTGATAATTTTGGCAAAAGGTGTTGATAATGAGTTTACCAACTTAGGGTTGTTGATAATGTATCAAAATGTCAATATATCGATATTCTTTGTATATGTATGCAATCTGTATTTTGTAATATTACACGACTTTTTTTTCAGTGTTTGGATCGTGTCTTCGCTAGAAATTACCAGGCGCGAGTAACATATGGTGGACAAAAAATACCAAAAAAGCAGATGGCGCTGCGGTGGTGGACTTTTATCGATGTATCGATACACCCATCGCTATTCTCCGCCTCTGCTGCGTAATTAACTAAATATTTTTCTAAAAAAGAGGCGACCACAAGAAACAAATTCCGACTTTTCACCTGTTCAACGTAAGTGCGCAGTGCAAGTGATCAAGTAAAGCGTATATTTAGGCGTGAGCGTGTTATGCAGCAAGAAGGAAGCGTGTATTTTTCCAAACAGAGGAGCTAGAGGGACTCCCTTGGAAAATGTACACACAACACAAAGAGCCCGCACACCGACGTACCTTTGAACTGGTAGTGGTGAAGAAAAACAAGTCACAACACAGCTTTTTGGAGCTGTCGAGCGGGGCGGGGGTGGTTGGCTTTAATTTCGCACTCATTTAGCACTATTTGGACTGTCCCATGTAGAGCAAATCTCCCGTGGCCAGGAAATGGGCGTTTCCAGAGCCCCTTAGAAATGCATTGTTTGCGTATTCCTGTCGATTACGCTGGCAGAGTGACCTCGTCTTTGTGTTCGCGTGTGTGTGTGCTGCGCACTTTCTCCGCCTCGCGCGAGTAATTTTCAGTGATCAGGCTTTATCACCGATGCGGGTAAACCCGCCCACCCTCATCCCCTTCCGGCGATCGTTCATTGTGACCAGTGTAATGATGAGTCAGTGGTTTCGAGTTATCGTCCAGCTCAATGGATCACCGCCTGGCTCCAACCGTGTTATCTTGTCAAAAAGAATTTCCTTTCACAGCTGTTGTCGAGCCATTGCTGTTCTCTTGCCCGCGCTTAATCGAATTAACGCAAAGTCCGAAGTATTTTTAACTCGCCTAATCGATATACACCTTGCTTTTTGCAGCCAGCCAACCAACCAAAAGCACCAATCCAGCAAACAAATTACTAGTACATCGAAATGGCCAGCCGAAAGAAATCCCTGCTGAAAGTTATCATCCTGGGCGACAGCAGTGTCGGCAAGACCTCGCTCATGAATCAGTATGTAAACAAACGCTTCTCGAACCAATACAAAGCCACAATAGGAGCCGACTTCTGCACAAAAGAGGTGGTGGTAAACGACCGAGTGGTCACAATGCAGGTAAGAACGAATCAAGCTCCGGATGTTCACCTTCATTTATAACTCCCATCAACACTTTATGAATTAGATCTGGGATACTGCTGGTCAGGAACGCTTCCAGTCGCTCGGTGTGGCCTTTTACCGGGGAGCTGACTGCTGCGTGCTCGTCTATGACGTTACGGCGCCCAACTCCTTCAAGAATCTCGACTCTTGGCGCGACGAGTTCCTCATACAAGCCAGTCCACGCGATCCTGAGCATTTCCCCTTCGTGGTATTGGGTAACAAAGTGGATCTGGACAACCGCCAGGTGTCCACCCGTCGGGCGCAGCAATGGTGCCAATCGAAGAACGATATACCTTACTATGAAACGTCCGCCAAGGAGGGAATTAATGTAGAGCTCGCGTTTCAGACTATAGCTAAGAATGCCCTGGAGCAGGAAGCGGAGGTCAGTGCCCTTTAAAATATGTGAATAGCCATCTATATTATTGAATTCCTATCTCACACAGGCTGACGTTGTCAACGATTTTCCCGATCAGATCATTTTGAACTCGCAAAACAATCGTCCTGGCAACCCCGACAACTGCCAGTGCTAATGTAATAACACAGCATGGATAATTACACAATCTATATTATTAAATAATATTTCCAACATAATATTGATCAAGAGATGCAAGAAGTACGACGGACGACGGAAAAGAGTGTTCTATGATTAAGTAAAACAATTTCAGCAAGCAGCATAGTAATTAATTAATTGATAGGATGCAAAGTTCAGATTCAGATAGACATCATCTAACAGCCGACTCCTTAAGGGCCTCTGGCAATGGCTGCAACCGTATACCCAACCCAACCCAACTAACTTACCCATCCAACCGTTTCACAAAGAAGTGTACTCGTATTACAAATATTCATATTCATGCCCGCCTTCCTGTCTAGTTCTATTTTGCCGTTTAATTAGTCAATTTTTGCACGCATCGTCTGGCTATGCAACAGCAGCTAAAATTGAGAATACAATAACAAAGTATCTTCGAAACACAACAAAACAAAACAAAAAAATCTTGTGATTGTAAATTAAATAAAAAATAACTTTTTTAATGTGATTATCGACATTATTTCCAACACTATCGAATCGGCAGTGCACCGTCCTGATCGGCTCAGCTCCTAAACACCCATTGCAAGACATTCGGGCGAATTTTGGATTAGTAACTATGTTATTTGTGTATATCCTATGATTATAAATAGTATTCCATGTAAAATTTCTCCTTGTTTTTTCGTAATACACTTGTAAATTGCGTATATTTGGTATTTACTTTATTTCCCTTATCAATACGAGATATACTTTGTTTAATTTACAAAATAAACAATGAAGAATTTACAATAAATCGTACGTCATTAAGCTAATACAAATGGGCTTCTTACTGTATGTGGAAGATAATATTTTCCCCTTATTGCTGTCTGATTACTTCAAGTGGTTAGTTTGTCATTTCATGAATCATAGTATTACTTTTTCGATCCCTGTTTAGGGGAAGATAGTTAGTTCGAATGCGAATCCAGACTAGGAAGTACGCAAAAAATGAATAGTAAAAAAAAATGTCTTCTGAAAGTAATTTTAATAGGTGAGACGGGTGTCGGAAAAACATCGATGGTAAAGAGGTACGTAGAGCGGCGCTTCAGCATTAAAGAAAAGGCTACAATCGGGGTCAACTTAAGCATCAAAGAGGTGACTGTCGACGATCACTTGGTCACACTCCAGGTAACCCTTAAAATACTCGCTATTTTTTGTATGAACGAATTCTTAAATAATTCCAGATCTGGGACACTGCGGGACAAGAACGCTTTTATTGTCTCACTAGCGGCTTCTACCGAGGTGTCGACTGCTGCATGCTTGTCTTCGACGTTACTTCACGGGCCTCCTTCGATGCCCTAGACAGGTGGCATGACGAGTTTCTTATACAAGCCAATCCTCACGATCCTGTACATTTTCCCTTCGTATTAGTTGGCAACAAGGTAGATCTTGGCAACCGCGTCGTTTCTAATCGAGAAGTAAATGAATGGTGCCAACGAAACAATAAAATACCCTACTATGAAACGTCGGCTAAGAGAGGCACTAACTTGGATTTGGCATTTCATACTTTGTCTTTGAAGGCTCTAGAGCTGGAGGCAGATGTGGGTAACTCAGAATTTTCTTCTATTTGAGCAAATATTGAATTGAAATTTTTATTTTTAACAGTCCAACGTTGATGCGGACTTTCCTGTTACGATCATTTTGAAATCTCCATCTAAGCGTACCGACAAATCACACTGTCAGTGTTAGTTTAATAACAACGGATCGAAAATAAATACCTTTTGGTTGGTAATCGTAGTAATTGAATATCTTAGATCTGGCCGGTATAACATTCGTCGAGAATTGGGGAAGATATAGCCATCACTGTAGACCCTATAGGGGAAAACCCCATTTTCAATGGATCCCTCACGAAAAATGGACAAAAAATGTAAAAAATATTTTGTCTCAGGATTTTGATGCAGAATGGTGGAGAATCAATCCAGAAATCGTTTAAGGTACCCCGCTTGAGAATCGGATGAGAATTGGGGAAGATATAGCCATCACTGTGGACCCTATAGGGGAAAACCCCATTTTCAATGGATCCCTCACGAAAAATGGACAAAAAATCTAAAAAATATTTTGTCTCAGGACTTTGATGCAGAATGGTGGAGAATCAATACAGAAATCGTTTAAGGTACCCCGCTTGAGAATCGGATGAGAATTGGGGAAGATATAGCCATCACTGTGGACCCCTTAGGGGAAAACCCCATTTTCAATGGATCCCTCACGAAAAATGGACAAAAAATCTAAAAAATATTTTGTCTCAGGATTTTGATGCAGAATGGTGGAGAATCAATCCAGAAATCGTTTAAGGTACCCCGCTTGAGAATCGGATGAGAATTGGGGAAGATATAGCCATCACTGTAGACCCTATAGGGGAAAACCCCATTTTCAATGGATCCTTCACGAAAAATGGACAAAAAATCTAAAAAAATATTTTGTCCTAGGACTTTGATGCAGAATGGTGGAGAATCAATACAGAAATCGTTTAAGGTACCCCGCTTGAGAATCGGATGAGAATTGGGGAAGATGTAGCCATCACTGTGGACCCTATAGGAAAAAACCCCATTTTCAATGGATCCCTCACGAAAAATGGACAAAAAATCAAAAAAATATTTTGTCTCAGGATTTTGATGCAGAATGGTGGAGAATCAATTCAGAAATCATTTAAGGTACTCCGCTTGAGAATCGGTTAATAATTGGGGAAGATATAGTCATCACTGTAGACACTATATACGAACTTTGAGTAGCTATGGTTTGCTTCAGTTTTTGAAAATCGAAAAATAAAGTAAGGATTTTTTTTTTTAATTATGACAAAAGAAAACCCGTAAAACATTTTTGAAAATGTGCGATTTTAGTTTGGTTTGATTGAAAATCGATTTATATCGATTTAAAATGGGTAAATCTGTGTTGGATAGCGAATGATTGAGGCGCAGTCAGCTGTTTACTGGATTGGTGTTGTGCAGCGGTTGAAGCTTAGCATCATTTATTTTCCAAAATATTCTAGTTTTTTGTAAAATTCGTACTTAGTTGGTGAGAAAAAGTCAGATCTGGAATGAGTTAAAATATAAAATAACTTAATTGAACTATCAAATATAGTACTGGTGTATAGATTCCTTCAGGAATCCATTGTGAAAACTACTTGCATTGAATCATCGAGGAATTCATATCCCGAGAAAATCCTCCTTTGAGAATATTTGGGAATTCCGTGACTATTAATGCATCTTTGATTGTTTTTATCATGGCTGAGTATGGCAACTACAATTGTGAGTACTCAGTAGATGTATGAATAAGTTAATTAACGTATTTGTTTTTCGACAGACCAATATCAAGATTTCGACAGACAACAACAACAAGAACAGCAGCCACAGCCTATTGACCGACTTATTTCCACTATCAGAGGTAACAGCTTCCCTCCATCTACTTACCGTCAAATCATCTAAATCCGCAGATACATTTTACTTTTACAGAGGAAAATGAAGACTTGCGCGGAGACATACAGTCCCTTAGAGTCGAGATTTCCAGGCTCGCAGATGCCATTGCCAATCAGACGGCTTTTATGCAACAGTACGTGAATATAGAAAGTGGTAAGACGATCATAGAGCCTGTGGTAACACCGACTCTACCGATGATCGAGCCGGTGCCTGTTAATTTTCCCATTACTTGCGAATCCGAACTGATTGACTTTAATGAATGCATAACAATGGAAACGAGAGACTATTATGTATGTATATTAATACATTTGGTTTAAAAACTATATCTAATACAACATTCAACAGGTGAATCGCATGAAAACGATTTTAAGTGTTGGTGGAACTTTGTCTAGGTCCCTAAAAGGTATTTTAACGCCAAAACTTGTTATGGATTATAATCTTGAAGGCGTAAGCAACAAAAAGGGACTTCGATGTTACAATAATTTTATATCTGCACTTTTTGGTAAGAAAATCATTTTTACTAAAAAAATATAAACTAACGGTGTTGTATATTTAGAGGCAATTGAAATGGTTACCCCGGGGAACCCAAATAAGTCACTCCGACACGCGATAACATGTATCAAGAACACATACAGCAAAAACAGTATAAAGGAAAGAAAACTTATGAAGGAAAGCAATCAGGTGCTATCTAGTAGCAAAAACTCTAAAAGCTTAAAGGAAAAAAAACCTGTAAAGGCAGACGATCCTATATGCACCAAGTCGATACACAAATCAACAGAACAAGCTACAAATGAAATTGAATTTCCCCTTAAATCTGAAAGTGATCTTATTTTAATAGATTCAGAAATGCAGAGAAATGGCCATCCCGATTACGTAAGTGAAAACATATAATCCTAACTTTATTATAATAAAATTTATTTGTTTGTAGATAAAAAGAATTAAAGATTTGCTTGGTACCGGAAAACTTTCTCAATCTATTAAAAATGTTATGACAGAGGATATCATCAACGACTTCAATATCTTGGGACTTAATTCTAAAAAAGCCCTTAACCAATATTTACACTTTTTCCCCTGTCTTTTAGGTATGTTTTCTTATCCTTCATATTTTTTATGATTTAGCCTTTGTATATTAATATTTTGTTTTCAGAGGCGATACGATTGTTGGAACCCAATAAGCCGGCAGATTTGGTCCTTAACAAAGCAATGGTTTGCGTTAAAAACAATTTGAATAAGAAAATACGTAAAATAAAAAGACTTGATAAATATGGAATTTAAAATTAGAATTGATACAAGTATAGTTAAGCTAAAAAATAAAAATAAAAGAAATTGACTACACAATCTATTTGTAAAGTTATCGTAATTTGGCGCTAAACAATCGACATGCATTTACCAACACTGTCTACACCTAGAACGCAATTATCATATGTTTGATGGCCTCTAGTGTTTGGTCCGGCAAAAATAAAGATATTATTAAAATACAAATACAAAATATATGACTTATTCTTGAATTTGAGGCCCAAAAAGCCAGTGGAATCCTGACTTGTTAAAATGAAATACTACTTCTTATTGAAAGGATCGGAATTCACTTCGGAATCATTGAGGAATCTTTCTCCTTGATTCATACATGACTGAAACTATTCAACCACTAGGGTGAACTTTATCCACAATGGCAGAAGCAACAAACAAAATCCGTCATGACCCACAACTGCCCTCGGTTGAACGCATATTGGCAGTAGTGCGAGGTAAATATTTAATTTAAAAAAAGATAAAACAAATAATTCAAACTTTTATTTTTAAGATGAAAATAAACGAATGCATGAGGAGGTTAGGACCCTAAGGAATGAACTGCGGGAACTGACGAGTGCTGTAGCCACGCAGTCGGCTTATATGCAACAATATATGAAGCAAAAATTTATGCCCCAAAATCCCCCTTCCAAAGCCGTAACAAAATTCGAATTTCCTATACAGACAGAATCAGATCTTGCAGATTTTGAAAACTCCATTACCGACGAAAATCGCGAAGACTGTGTATGCCAGTATATAAACCAAATCTTTTGGGAATCTAAATTGATCCTTCTTCCACTTACAGGTAGCACAAATAAGATCGAAAATTTTTAGAGTCGGATCGCTTGCCTCATCCTTGACCAATATTTTATCGGAACAAATTCTTTTGGAATATAATGTAGATGGAATGAGTGGAAGAAAACGACTGCGACATTATGTTAATTTTTTTAACGCTCTCTTGGGTAAATACCCTTTGATTTTCTAATTATCTGAATTAACCAGTTCAATCTACTTTAGAGGCAATTAAACTGAATGATTCGTCCGAACCAGCAACTAAGCAACTGGCAAATGCTATTTCCAAAGTAAAAACCAGAGTCCGATATAAAGATAAATTGGGAAAAAGTTTGACTAGCTCTGAAGTAGTTTACTTGGATTCAAGTCCCTTTGATGGTAGCTGTGATGATGCCGACACGATGCCGTCAATGGAGGATGATGAAGATTTCCATGAAGACAAATTAATTGCAAACAGCGAGGATGAGTACCTGATAACGGAACTGGTTGATGAAAGTAAATTGAACTTAAAAGATATAGAATTTCCAATAGAATCATACGAAGATCTAGAGAAATTGGACAATGAGATAGCCAACGGAAAACAAAATGAATATGTAAGTTATGAATTACTTTTTAACTGATTATTTAAATAAGTTATATTGTAAACTCCACAGACAGCCAAAATAAAGCATCTGCTTGGTGGAGATGCTCTCCCCAGAACTCTCAAAAATGTTTTTTCGATGGATCTTGTTTATAATAGCAAATCACCCTGGAAAAGAACAAACTTAAGAAATATAAAAATATGGAAATACGAAAATTTTTTTGATGTACTTTTGGGTATTTATTTTCACACCTTTCTTTTGGATTTTCATAGTTAAAAGAAATAAATAATTTCAGATACTATTCAGAAGCTGCACCCTAAGGAGGCAGCAAAGCCACTCCTTTTAAAGTCCCTGGCTGCGATCAGAAAACAGGATTGTGAAAAACGAAATAAAAAAAACCTCCGACGTTCCAGATGAGCCAGATCCTCTAATACATACTTACGTAGCTATAAATTAATACAAATTGTTTTCCTTTTTATTCAAGGACTATAATAACTAAGTTAAAAATAAATACAATCGTAACTAGGATGACGAACTAGAAAGATATAAGAAATGCGCCAATACAAGTCGTGACTATAACATCTTCCCAGGTGTTGCGACCCAATGTGAATTGCACTGTTTAATGATTGCGACTGGTTTCATTGTCAACGGCACGATAAACCCAAACAGGATTAGGGAAAAGAATTTCGACTCAATTGATTATGAGAATCTGATCACCAAATTGGAAACAACATGCAACTCCATCAAAAACAACGAAAAATGCGGCTTAGGAAACCAGTTGGCACGTTGTATCTATGATACATGTAGAAAAAACAAATATAAGGAATCACACAGTGTTTGCAGAATAGTTGCCGGTTAAAATTAATATTTCATTTCTAAGCTGAAAATTTATGCTATGAATTATCGCATTCTTATAAATAAACTTATGAAAATCGTTACAGAGTGTTGGCAACTTATTTTGATAAGATACGACAAAGAAGTTTTTGAACTTTTCAAGTACATAGTTTGCTGCCATTTGAATAACAAATTTAGTTGTGGTTTGAATCCATGAAACATTCACTAATATGCAAATCTAATTCGCATAAAATATATTCCTATAAAAGCCCAAATAAAACATAAAATATTATACAGAAAAATGTCTAATATATGGTAAATAACAACCTTTGTTTTACTTATTTTTGGGTTTTTATTGGGTGAAACACAATATTTTGAGAGATTAAGAAAAAAATGTACATTTTATGTACATTTTATGGAAAGAACAGAGTTCTGTTATTGACCGAAAACAGCTGTTCTGCTGTTAGAATCGGAAGAGTTCGTTTATTTATTTACTCCACATAAATGTCGCACATTTCACCAGTCGCACCGCCTCCACCGCCACCGATTCCCTCGGTTCCAATACCACAGACGTCCCCAGGATTGAAGGAACGTCCTATTAATATAAATATTTACACGGACGAATGCAGCTGGGCCAAGGAATATCCGGAGCTGCAAAAAGGGTGCTATCTCAGTCGTGTATGTCAATATGAAGCTCCAAAAAGCTGCCAGTATTACTCGGTGCCTAGTACACTCCAGGTGGGGGCTAAGTTTATGTTTCTTCGTTTATTACTTATGTACCTACTTATGTATACTCTTCCAGGTGGGACCTACTTGTGGGTTGACGGCCCTCAGCATGTTGCTCGGTGGGCAGCCCACGGCTGCGGAACTTCTCAAAGAAACCATTGCGCAGGAGTATACCCTTAACGGGGAGCTATTCAGTGGCCAGTATTTGTTCGAAATAACTCGCAAGTATTTGCAACAGCGCGGCGCCTGTCAATTGCACGAAGGTGTCCTCAATTGCAACAAGGTCAAGGAGTTGCTACAGGCAGGAGGTTGTCTTCTTGTACCGTATCCTTTTACAACAAATTTGCATATTTTAAGATTTTATTTAAACCTGGTTTAAAACTAGTTTTAGATTGATATTTTTCGCGGCCGCGCTAACAGCTCCGTTTTGCAATAACAGCTCCGTAACAGCTGATAGAGTCGCCAGATTGTTTAGTGTTGTGAAACGTTGTGTTTTAAGCAAAAAAGGAAACATTTAATAATTGTTTATAAAAAAAACGTGAATTTGTTTTTGCAATGGCCACCGAAGAAGAGCAGGTATGTAAAACTTACGAAGTATCTTTATACTTAAATTATAGTTTATATTTCTTAAAATATCTTTAATTCATCCACTTGCAGCTGAGTCAGGTAATTTTGCCGGTTAAGGAGCCCTTGGATCTGATCCGCTTGAGTTTGGATGAAAAGGTGTACGTAAAAATGCGAAATGAGCGGGAACTGCGAGGACGTCTTCATGTGAGTTAACTTCGGTGGCTATTCGGTAGACAATTTAATAACACTCTCTCGGCAGGCCTTCGATCAGCATCTGAACATGGTTCTGGGTGACGCGGAGGAGACGGTGACCACCGTGGAAATCGACGAAGAGACCTACGAGGAGGTTTACAAGACGGCAAAACGGACCATTCCCATGCTGTTTGTGCGAGGCGATGGCGTTATCCTTGTTTCGCCGCCAATGCGGGTTGGCTAGCCAGTCTCCTATGGATTTTAAGCTAATTGTCCCTCATTTATACGCCTCATAATTATATTGCTTAATAAAAGTTCCAAAACAACCCAACTGCATTACTGAAACTCTTAAAATTGTATTCTAACTATAATTGGTTGTCCTTAATTTAGTTATGTGACTAAAAAAGTTATGATGCGGATGTAAACCACGCACCTTGCCTGAAGTCTGGCCACAGAGCCCATTGGGCGTTGATCGTGGGCTTTCTGGTGGATATCCAGGATAAGGTAAGAAGCTTGGACCCACTTGCAGACCTACCATGTTACATATACCCCTTCCCGCAGTTCTATGTCCTGGCCCGTCATGGAAAGACTCGAAACTTGGCCGTTTGGTCCCTTGAAACCCTTAGCCAGAGCAATGCCAATCTTTTGGAGTTCGCCCAACCCAAGGGCTATCCGGATAGTGAATTCCTGGTACCACCTGGTGGAATCGCAGGACCATTAGGTCTCAACGAGCGCTCAATTCTAGTCAATGGCCTGCCGCAGCAGGTTCTGCACGTATGCTAAGCTTTTCACCAATAAAGAATCTTGACAATTTCGTATTTAACTTTTAATATATATTTAATAGTACAATTATAAATTACACGACTTACAATGCAGTTCTTTCCTTTCAACTCAACGCACCTCGAACGTCATTTCCATATCTCAAAGGGGGAAAAACACGCAGGGAGTTGGGAATTCAATATAGGTTCGCAACTACTACGGTGTGGGGAGGGATGGGGATGGGGATACGAATGCGGGGTAATAGAATATATATATTGTACAATAATGATATATCGAACTGTCTTCTCTTTAGCTATGCGATCTATATAGATTTACTTTATGTGTATACATGTATAAATTTACTTTTCTCAACACGCGCTAATACAATAGGGCTGCCTTTGAAATTTTTCGAAAAATCACAACAATAAGAGTAGTACACAATGGCTTGTATATGGTTGATTAGATAGGAATACTACATATTTTGAATATAGTACGTATTGTATATAATTTCACATATAGATATTTTCTCTGATTTAGGTAGTATATAGACGACGGGTTGGTTAAATATGTGTCAAGTTTGTCAATTAGTTTCAAGATTTCTGCATAACCTTCAGATACACTCGATAGTTGGCCAGTCGGGAGCAACGATTTTTGAGATCAGGAAGCCTAGTGCCCCGATTCCTGACACGGGGATACGGGGGATATATATGCTATAGCCTGCCAACAGGCGGCAAGAGCAACGTGTTTATAGACAATTTTTTTTGAAACGGTAACTAACGGTTTTAGTCCTAGAAACTAGACCTTCTGGTACAGGATTATTTTGATACGCGTTGTTCATCTTTGACGATTTTGGTAATTACTTTAAGCATAATTTTAAACTAGTAGAGTGTCTCTGGTGGTTGGTTGGGTTGGGTCTGTGTGATGTGTGGCTCGAAAGGAATTAGTTCGCAAGCTGGGCGCGGAAATGAACCTTAACTTAACTGGAGGAGTACATACTAATGGTTTAGGTTTATTAACTAAAAATTTACAAATACTAATTATAAATAAATTATCATTCTTTTCAGTTAATAATATTTATTGCCGCGCAAGTGTCTGACTCCCTTGCTCCAAGCACGCGTTGTATTTTTTTGTATTTATGGTAGTTTCAACTTCATCTTTTTTTTTGTGTGTGTCTCTGTGTCCTATGAGCGTAGGGATTAAAATGACTAGGATAATTCGGCACAGGACATGGGCGTGCAGCCGATGAGTGCAATGGGAAAGTTCTTGACATGCGTTTGCCATTGCGACGAGACCTGGAAGAACTTAACGCCCGTCCACTCAGTACCATCGATATACACTGCAATTAAAAAATTTCAAATAATTAATATGCTGTGTCTTCAATGAGTCTGACTCCCTTACCTCGTAGCGGCACCGGATGGGATTGCTTGGGTGAGCAAATTAGACGAGCCACACCCTCCACACACTGCTCCTTCTCGAGATCACGCTCCTTGTCCTTCTTCTTTCCCAGGCGCATAACTGAAATAGGGATTAGGATGTAGTAATCTTCTAAAGACTCTTATAATTCCGATGGACTTACTCTGCTTCTGCTTCTTCTCCTTGGTGGCGAAACTAACAGTCAGTCCATTAAACATATCACCCAATTGCTGTGCATGCTGTGGCAGTCGCCACACCTGCAGGTTCCTAAACGTACTCTTAATGCTATTCTTTCCGCCGGCATCGCCGCCCTTCGATCCACTGCCGCTCTTCGATTCCTTGGCATGGCCCTCGCCTGGTCGCACCACTGGCCAATAGTCCACCTGCAGCTCCACAGCCTCGGCGGCCGCCAGAGCTCCGCTGAACGTTTGCTGCTGCAGCGACGATGGTGTGCTGAGGGATTCGCTAGCAATACGCTCCCGGTGGGACGACGCGGACGACGGTGGCGTCTGCAGCGGCGGGGAGATGCGTCCCATAATCAGCTGCTGTTGCTGGGGCGGGGAGCCCGACACCACACCGTGCACATTGGGAGAACTCTGACTGCCAATAGGAATGGCCGAGCTGGAGCCCAGACCCAATGCACTGCCGGCACTGGAGCTGGCTGCATTTTCCTCAAGGTCCAACGAGGCCTGGGCATCCAAGTAACCAATGCGCACATCCTGAAGTAACATATTCACAGTTAGTTTCGGTCATCGATTTAAATCCCATAGAGACTGGATACTCACGCTGACAAACGGCACAAATATTTGGCAGGAGTCTTCGTCCTTGTAGTTGACCATGGCTTCGGCAATGGGTATCTGAGTGCAGGGTCCGGCTGCCAGCAAGTATCGTTGGATGCGCTGCACCAGCTCTGCGATGTCCGACTTGTTCACCCCAGCCGCATCCGCCAGATTGGCTGTCAAGGCGGTCGCATTTACGGTAGTGACGGCGCTGACCGCCGCCGCCGTAGCAGCCGCTCGTTCGCACAGCTGGGTCCAGTTGTCGGAGCCAAACATGGCGGCGTACGCCTGGTCCATCTGGCTGAGGTGGCGCGCCACATTGCCGCAACTGCCGCCGATCGGTACCAGATAGAAGCGCAGATGGTTGAGCCAGTCGGGCGGACGGACGCCCATTAGCTCCACGTAGTGCCGCAGGGTGGCACCTTGCAGCCAATCTCCGCCGATGAGCAGCACCTTGACCGTGTGCGGTGGCTTGGCATTCGAGTTACAGCTGCCGGACAAGATTATGAAGTGATTTGAAAGGAGAGCTGGGAAAGGAACACTTACTACTTCTGGATCTTGGCCATGAGGGCCTGCAACACCGCCTTGACCTCGGCCGTGTTCTGTGGCACGAATGCCGGCTTGAAGGAGTTGGCGAATAGCGTGACCAGCTTGGCCAAGAGCCCACTGCCACCCAGGGCCTCCGGCGGACTGATGATGGTCAGCACCTCCGGTATGACACTGTCCTCACCGGCAAACACGCGATTCAACTGGTCGAGCAACAGCTTACGTGGCTCCACATTGGTGGGCGACAGGCAGGTCTCCAGCACAGATCTGGGCTCAGCACTCAGGCTCAGGGTGTGCTTCCTTTTGCCACCCCCCGAGGCACTAACAGCACTGGCGCTGTTGCCCCCACTGCCCGTCACCACGGGTGTGTTGCTGGAGGTCCGGAACAGACGTGATCGCTTCTCCGTCTGGGCGGGCGTTACCAGGTTGCCGCTGGCCATACTGGCGGCCACCGAGCTGACTGGGGTCAGTTGTTGTTGCTGCAGACGCATGTAGTCCTTGTCCCGGGGCGGGCTGTTCTGGGGATCTGAGGTCTGACCATCATTGTAGCCGGTGTTGGCCTCGTTTCCAGAGCTATCGTTACCACCTCGGTCTGTGGGGACATAGATTGGTTGAATATATTAGTCACTCATATATGCGATGGGAAATTGGACAATAAGGGTATCAAGTAGAGTCGTACTTTAAAAGCAACTTTTAACCAATGTTATTAGGGATTATTATAGTTTATAAAGCTGGTTAAAAATTGCTCCTAAACTTGAGGGAACAAACACTATTATTATAATGACCACAAGTGAAGTATCGGGGGGATTGTGATATTCTAGGGGAGGGGGGGACAGACATGCGAAGGCCTCTAAGGACAGAATCGTGAGACAGAACGGCGGCCATAAATAGATAGCCCCCTCCTCCGAGGAGCTCGTGTAAATAAATAATCAAATAAAAATCCCCGAACCGAAAATATAATTAAAGCTTTCATTATTTTACGACCATGACTTGGATGGGGGGGAATGGAGGCGACTAATGGGCAGGAGGGTGGAGCAGCCATGCTTCTTTCAAGGTAGAATTTTTCAAAGCCATGCGCATATTAATCAAAACTCGAATCAAAATAGGAAGGCAACGCACGACACGTTAGGTGAAAGTGAAAGAAATGGGGGGGAAAATGGTGGGGTGGGTGGTTGCTCAAGACTTTATGAGGTGGAAGGGGCGGGGCGGGCGACAAGCCGGCGATTAGGGCTACAGTTCTCAAGGGTCTGACGTCTATGCTGGGGCTAATTTGGAAGCCAGCTCCGAGAGTGCGTCGGTCGGACTTGGGGATCTATTTTGGGGCCGCAGTATGATGGGGAGTTTATTTTAAGATCCCGAAACATGCACCTGATAGGGAGGCACACACACATGTGTGTGCTCTACAGATAAATACAAACAATCAATGAAATTGACGCACAAATCAAAGAAGAATTCCGAATGGGGCATGCAACGGAATGGTGCAACAACTAAAGTACATAGAAAGCATACGGTTTACAAAAATCCAGTTAACATGTGACTGTGTGTGTGGCAGTGGCAGTGTGTAACTGTAGGCGTGTCTGGGGTGTGCGTGAGTGTGGGCCGGGGCGAAGGATTTGTGGACCAGAACAACCTGAACCAGAGGATCATCATGCTTTCGGGGATTTCTTAATGTTTCAGGTTGTTTCCGGATATGGATCCTATTTTTTATTTACAAACAGACTGTGATGATGACTGATTTGGGGTCTAATCTTTCGGGTGTGGTGGTGGTACAATGCAGTGTGTGTTCTATAATTTTGATAGGATTGGTGGTGGTGGGTGATAATATTTCTTGAGGGATATACGTATTTTGGGGGGGATTTCTTTTCGATTTTTTGTTGTAATGTACACAGACCTGGTGTTGTTGCCGAATTGTTATTGTTTGTTAAATGAATGCATTTTTGGTTTTTGTTATTTTCAAGATTGTAAGATGAATTGGTCAATTGGTCGCTCTTATCCGATGATCGGCGCTCAGAGTTTCCTGCAAGAGAGATTTGTTTTCAAGCCATGCAAAAATGTATCTTTTTTTGTTGTAGTTTGTAGTTGTATATATTTGTTGTAGTTTGTAGTTGTTGTTATTGTAATTAACAGTAGTTTAAGTAATCAAACGCTAAGCACAACTAATAATTATCAGTACAAGAAAAGAAGAGCCTATTTTTTTTTGGCAAAAGCTACAATATAATACTTGGATACTGCTGCTTCGCTTGAAAGATCCAAGGACGCACCGCCCCCATAACTCTGGTGGGCGGAAGCTACACTAATGGTCAACAGGACTAGCAGGACTATTAACTGCCTCAGTGCCACAGTGCCATCCTGCCATCGTGCCTCTCTGCTTCCA